CACTGGCTGTTTTATAATACTGGCTATATTATGTACTACATTTAGCAAGTTCTCGCCACGCCTTTCCGGAACATTACTGATTTCGGCATTACAACTTCTCGATATTTGTTCCATGTAATCCAGCCTTGCCTGTAGCTCACCAATTTCCTTATGATCTGTCTCTGATGATATAGTACTTGTCTTTTTCTCCAGCTCGCTCAATCGATGGTCAACATCCTCAACTTTCCTTTTCAACTCATCAAATATGTCACTCATTACTCCTATTGAGGTCTTGACATCCTCAGTATCCTTTACCAGTTTGGAGATCTTTTCGTCCTGTCGTGAAAAGTAACCCTCCATCATGCTGAGAATTTTATTTTGGAAAGATTGAAGTTCATTCCTGAAGTCTGGATCTATGGTACTTGAGGCTGTTTTACGAAGTGTCACAAATGATGGAGGTGGCACCGTATCATGGTTTTCGTCCACGCTCATGTCACCAGATCTGAGCGGACCCTCACTATCGTCTGATTGATCCTTTTGGCAGAAGGTGATGTTAAGGTTGTCCATGGTAGCAACAGCACGCAGTCGCCTCTATACTAGTTATTACTCTGTGCCAAATACACAAGTCGCTAAAGCGCTGCGTCGTCGTTCTGCCGCGAAGCCGACCGGTTCGAATACACGCACACTGAGAGACAACTCGTACGCGGGAAGCGCTTGCACGCAGGCGATGCGGATGACGACGCGCGCGCGAATGATGAACTTTATGGCAAAAACTATCGCGGCTTAATTGGGTCAGGCTCATTAAAGCCGCTTCTTCACCGCAGATGATCGGTAATACATAATCGAATGTTGATAAGTTAAAAGCTATAAATTTTTGTAGGGTTTTTAGTACAGCAACTATTTATAGTCAAAATTAAGTAGGAATAAAGCTAAAATTATAAAAAATATTTTATTTAAAAGCAGGGTTATGTTTTTATGAAGCACGTTCTGTCTGTTGATCTTGTTAAGATTACGAGGATATAGGTCTCTCTGCCCATATTTGACGACATCAACATCTAGCAACTTAGTAGAACGATTGGAAATTGGAAATGACCCACATCTTGAGTGACATTCACTAAGCAGATTACCGGAAGAAATAGATTCGATCTATGACNCTTTTGACACTTTACCTGGGATTTTACACCTTCAGAAGCAGCACAAATCGTTGCACTATTGCAAGAAGGGCTCAGCCAGCGGGCTGTCGCACGTCAGCTCCACATAAGCCAGTCCTGGGTTTCGAAAGTTTTAAGTCGCTTTCGGGAGACTGGTGGCTTTATCCCGAGACCAAGTTCTGAACATTGCCGGTGCACATCGCAGAGGGAAAACCGTTTTTTCATGTCAACTTCTCTACGAAATCGTCATTTGCCTGGTATCGACGTCCAGCAAGAGCTCAGAAATGTTCGTAGGACAGCTGTTAGGAAGTGGACAGTTCGTCTAAGATATAAACAATAGAATTTGACTCCAAAAAGGCCTGCCACAGGCTTGAAAATGACGGCAGGTCACCGATAAGCACGCTTTCAATTTGATCCTACACATCTCGATGGGAAGTCGAGCAAGCCACCCCCATAAGCCAATGTTTTAGCGAACCAGCACTGCACAAATCGCTCCCCAGGCCGTCTATAGACCCGACCTCTTCGACTGCTGCACTGTAAAAACAGTCTGCATTCATCGGAAAACAAAACTCGCCTCCATTACTCGCCTTCCGAGTGCGAGATAATTGAAAGCGTGCTTGTCGATGACCTGCCGTCAGTTTCCAGCCTGTGGCAGGCCTTTTTGGAGTCAAATTTTATTGATCATATCTTAGACGAACTATCCACTCGCTAACAGCTATCCTACGAACATTTCTGAGCTCTTGCTGGACGTCAATGCCAGTCAAATAACGATTTCATAGAGAGGTTGACATGAAAAAACGGTCATCCCTCTGCGATGTGCACCGGCGCTGTTCAGAACTTGGTCTCGGGATAAAGCCACCAGTCTCCCAAAAGCGTCTTAAAACTTTCGATATCCAGGACTGGCTTATGTGGAGCTGACGTGCGACAGCCCGCTGGCTGAGCCCTTCTTGCAACAGTGCAACGATTTGTGCTGCTTCTGTAGGTGTAGAATCCCAGGTAAAGTGTCAAAAGAAGCAGAGATGTGTATGGATCAACGTGTGAACGCAAAAAACCGATAACACGTGCTTTTTTAGGGGGTAAATAGGCCGCAACTCGCGACGTATCAAACAGTTGGTATATGTCTTTTTTCTTACTTCTTCACATCAGCCGGGATATCTTTTTAAATACCGGTGTGATTTAAATGAATTTGGTATCAATTTAAAGTTAAAAGTTTAATCTTTAAAATGTTGCTACTTTTTTTGTTACTAACAAATTCGTTAGTACACAAGATCGCGTGGAAACAACTTCATGGAAGTGATTCCATACTTTTGCTCGCGAGTGTAGTTCATTCTTGTAAATTGTACTTGATGAAATTTCATTTCATATTATTTATTAATATGTAATTCAAAGCAAAAAAGGCTTATTACATCTGAATTGTCAAAAAATGACAGCTGTCAGAATTCCGTCGAATTAAAAATCGGACTTTAATATAAGTATTATAACAGTTTTTGCATAGTGATTTAAATCTCCTACGATAAACTGCAAAAGTCTCATAATCATCTCATTTGATGAGAGCTAGAGAAAAACGGAAATGAGTAGCTGGAAAGATCACTGGGCAACTAAGTATGAAAACTATACGAGGGCTGCACTAAAAGTATCGGGAATGGAATATTTCCACTGTTCCAGTCATATTAAAATCTATTTAATTGCAAAGTCCAGGGTTTTAAAAATCGTATACCATTTATTTATTTAAAAAAAGATTCTCGGTCGTATCACAAGGTCTTGTCAAACTTGTTTAGTCGTTGAGAAAATGGAATTGACTCGAGAAAATTCAAGAGCGATGATTTATTATGACTTTTGAATAAAATTTTGTAAATGTAAAATGGCAGATCGATAAATAAATAAGAGGTACTTACATAAAGTAAATCGGTTCCCGATTGGAGACTGCGTCTCGCCAAACGTATTTCAATGTCACCTCGATGGACTGAAGGAAGACTTAAAGAATGACTGGCAGTGACTAGTGGGTGATAAAATTTAGAGATCCTGTGTCCAGCACTTGACTGAAATATAAAATACTAGCTTTTGCCCGCGGCTTCACCCGCGTGAGTTTAACACAAAAACAGTGTGTTGACCGGATGATTTCTGCATTTGGTAATGAAGTCCCATCCAAAACCACAATTTATCGCTAGTTTCCTGAATTTCAACGTGGACGTGTCAAGCTCAGTGATGATCCCCGTCAAGGTCGTCCAAAAACTGCAGTCACCTAAGAAAACGTTGATGCTGTGCGTAAGCTGATTGAACAAGATCGACATGTGATATACCGCGAAATTCAGGCAACTTTAGACATTGGCATGAGTCAAATACAAATAATCTTGCATGAACAATTAGGTGTAAAAAAGTTGTTTTCCCGATGGATACCGCATTCGCTCTGTGAAGAGCAAAAAGCGGCTCGCGTTACTTGGTGCGTCAGAACTCTCGGGAGATTACATGCAGGATCCTCAAATGCTGTATACAACATCGTATCAGGTGACGAATCATGGATATACGCGTACGAACCCGAAACAAAAAACCAGTCACGAGTTTGGGTGTTCGAAAATGAATTAAAGCCAACAAAAATTGTTCGTTCACGGAGTGTTGCAAAAAAAATGGTGGCCACGTTTGTCTCCAAAACCGGCCATGTTGCGACTATTCCTCTTGGGGGACAAATTACGGTTAATGCAGATTAGTATGCTAGCATTTGTTTGCCACAGGTCGTTTCTGAACTCCGTAAAGAGAACTGCAACCGCCGCATCATCCTCCATCACGACAATGCGAGTTCTCACACCGCGCACTGGGCAAAGGAGTTTTTAGAGCAAGAAAACATAGAATTATTAGTCCATCCGCCGTACAGCCTTGACCTAAGCCCTAATGATTTCTATACTTTCCCTTAAATAAAGAATAAATTGCGTGGTCAGAGATTTTCATCACCTGAAGAAGCTGTGGAAGCCTACAAAACGGCCATTTTGGAGACCCAAACTTCCGAATGCAATGGTTGCTTCAATGATTGGTTTCGTGTATGGAAAAATGTGTCAAAGTTCGCGGAGAATACTTTAAAAAGCAATAAATACATTTTTAAATAGTAATGTTGTTTCACTTCCTTGATTCCCGAAATTTTCAGTGCCGCCCTCGTACTTCTCCCGCAGTTTATAAAAACAAAAGATACACAAAATGAAATGTGGATTAACACTCAATAATTTAGAACTACCTACTTTAATTTCTGTAGGAAATATTTCGAAAATAGGTCAGATTATGCCCAAGGACCTTTATTTATAATATTCATTACATGTCAAATTGTGACATTGTACGGGAGTATTTCCATCTCTCGTATCCACCTCTGCAACTTTTGTGTACTGTGTAGCCAGGCTTGACTGCCAATAACAACCTAACCAGTGAAGGTCAAGTTTGTCCCGGGGGAAAGTTAAATTACCATTGGACCCGCAACGAAATTACAGAAGAACATAGGAGGAGTTCGAAGTTAAGGTTCGACTTCCCTCCAGTTCCCTCCTTATACTTGAGTTTGTAAACATACATCTACAAGTGGAATTTCAATATATTTGTGTATTATTCTATGTTTATTACCCTCTTTATTAATATACTAGCGGCCGCCCGCGACTTCGTACGCGTGGATCCCGTTACGTTATAAAAGGAACTCCCATGCAAGAGACTTGTAGTTTATGGGATTTCGTGATGAGTCAGTGAGTCAATCAGTGACCTTTCGCTTTTGTAGATATTAATAAGATTATTTTTATAATTAAGATTGATTCGTAGCTGTATTTTTACTAAACGGTATTCTATGTACTGTAACTGTACCTATTAATAAATAAATAAATAATGTATTTTTGCGACCCACAGCGATAGCAGCCATGACGGAGCGCGAGTCGGCGCACCCCGCGCCGCCGCCAGAAGGCACGCAGCTACTGCCGCGCCGCAGCGGGGATGGACAAGACTTAGCAGCGACTACGCCGGAGCCAGACAATGATAAGGACAACGACGACGAAGGTGATAGTGAGCGGGTGAGTTATTGTTGAATTCCAGCCCCTACAGACATAGTCACAAGCCGCAGCGGAGACGGACAGGACCTAGCAGCTACCACGCCCGAGCCAGAGAATGATAAAGACAACGACGACGAAGACAATGAGCGGGTGAGCTACAATAGACTAAGCTCCAGCCCCCCACAGCTATATCCAAGCTACGGTCAAAACCTTCCAGACAGATAGTGAAAATGATGATACTGAGCGGGTGAGTCGATAGGAACTCTTTTTAATCCTGTGACGTCACACCCTGCGCCTGCGCCGCCGCGCCGCAGCGGGGATGGACAAGACTTAGCAGCGACTACGCCGGAGCCGGAGAATGATAAAGACAACGACGATGATGATACTGAACGGGTAAGTCATTATGGAACTTTTATTGAGCTCCCTACATGCTATAGCCATAGCAACGGGCCGTAGCGGCGACAGACAAGACCTGGCGGCAACTACGCCTGAGCCGGAGAATGATAAAGACAATGACGATAATGATAATGAGCGGGTGAGTCGACAGGAACGCTCCTTAGACCTGTGACGTCACGCCCGACGGCACGCAGCTGCTGCCGTGCCGCAGCAGCGACGAGCAAGACCTGGCTGCAACCACGCCTGAGCTAGACAACGACAAAAACAATGATGATGATGACAATGAGCGGGTGAGTTGTTGTGGAAAATTCCTAAAGCCATAGCGAGGAACCGTAGCTTAGAGGTGATAAACAAGACCTTACAGAAACTACACCCGAACCTGACAACCACAAAGACAATGACGACGATGATACCGAGCGGGTGAGTCAATACGAACTCTTCTTACGACCTGTGACGTCACCTCGCGCCGCCGCCTGAAGGCACGCAGCTGCTGCCGCGCCGCAGCGGAGACGGACAAGACTTAGCAGCGACTACGCCTGAGCCGGAGAATGATAAAGACAACGATGTCGAAGACAACGAGCGGGTGAGTTCTCAACGAATCTCAAAGTGTATATCCATTGTGAATTTACACGCGGGACAGTGCGGTTAGTAAGTGACACATTACATTGTTAAATGTTCTAACCTTTAGCTCCAACGACAAAACCGATTGGCTTGTTGGCCATTATTAACGTACGGATAGGAACGCTTGTACCAACACCAACCTCAATCACTGCCCTATGGATCTAACAATTTTTTCATCATCATCATTCATTTCAGCCATAGGACATCCACTGCTGAACATAGGCCTCCCCTCAATGATTTCCACAATGACCGGTTGACAGTGGCCTGCATCCAGGGCCTTCCTGCTGTCTTTATGAGGTCGTCGGTCCACCTTGTGGATGGACGTTCCACGCTGCGCTTTCCGGTACGTGGCCTCCACTCAGAACCTTGCTGCCATCGGCCCTCAGTTCTGCATTCTATGTGCCCTGCCCATTGCCATTTCCTTACTTTAAATTATTTTTTAAACTAAAAAATTCTATTCTGAAGACGAAAGTCTACAACCAATGTGTGTTACCTGTGATGACTTATGGCTCGGAAACGTGGCCCCTCACTATAGGCCTTATACAGAAGCTAAAAGTTGCACAGCGTGCTATGGAGAGGGCTATGCTCGGTGTTTCTTTACGAGATCGAATCAGAAATGAGGAGATCCGTAAACGAACTAAAGTTGCTGACATAGCCCGACGGATTAGCAAGCTGAAGTGGCAGTGGGCAGGGCACATAGTACGCAGAACTGACTGCCGATGGGGCAGCAAGGTTCTGGAATGGAGGCCACGTACCGGAATACGCAGCGTGGGACGTCCACCCACAAGGTGGACCGACGACCTGATAAAGGTAGCAGGAAGGCGCTGGATGCAGGCCGCTACCAACCGTGCGATGTGGAAGTCATTGGGGGAGGCCTATGTTCAGCAGTGGACGTCCTGTGGCTGAAATGATGATGATGATGAAAAAATTGTAATATCTGATTGCAGAGAGACAGCATAAGAAAGAACAGCACCGGCTCCGTCAAGTCGTCGTCCGAAGCGAACGCTTGGCGGCCCAGCAGCGCGTGGGTGGCGAGCTGGCGTGCCAAGCTGCCGCTGCAGACCATCATGCGCCTGCTGCAGGTGCTGGTGCCGCAGGTCGAGAAGATCTGCATCGACAAGTGAGTGCTGTCTTAGACAGCTTCAAGCTGCGACTGCACAGTCAACTGCAGAGTTCTATGGACGCACATACACGAACCGCTCGAGCGGTTGCAACTGATTCGGGCGGTCGACAGCACGGCGAATTCTCATCGTGCGGTCAAGCAGTCGCCAGCCATACACTGACTGCTCGAGCTGTCGACAGCTCTCGCGCAGTTATCTCCGCCCACTTTCTTTATACCACGGCGCGCGCGCTTGTCATTTGTTGAGCAGTTAATACCAACTGCTCGAGCAGTTATCACTGGCAGCTTCAAGCTGTTCGACTCTTGACTGCAAGAGTATGGCGGGCCTTACGACCGTTACATTAGGCCACCATCACGTCACAAAATAGGAGCAGAAGACGGAGCACGGACATAACACGAGCGAAGTGTCGAAAGTGTGCTGGTGCCGCTGGTCGAGAAGATCTGCATCGACAAGTGAGTGCTCTGTTGTGATGCAGTACAGACTTCAGGCAAATAAATCCTGATGTTAAATGAAGATGAGGACCTGGCCTCGAAAAGACCTAAGTTACGTTGCTTGTAGAATACACCAGCTTGCAACGAGCTCCAGAAAATGCATGCGAGTTTAACTTACCACTAGCGTGGTGCTTGAGTAAACGGACTGCGTAAGTAAGATCTCGTGCAGACTTGCGTACAAGCAATTCCTAACTGAGCAAATAGAGGGGTTATGTTTTAAGACAAACTTACGTTGGACATGGATCTGCATCCGCCGCTTGTTCCTGCCTATTAATGCACGCCTGCCTCCCGCCGCTTGTGTCAAAACGTCACACGCATACGCGCCACACTGCGCTGTTCATACTATTTTTCGATACAGAAGCGCGTGTGGACGCCCGCGTTAGCGGAGGCCCCAAGGGCAATTTGGTAAGTTTAGGTAGCGTATAATTTTTTTTATAGAAACGTAAGTACTTACGCATGGCGCTACTGTTTTCTGGGGCCATCAGAGTGGTACCATGCCTGGTCCTCTGCTGGTTTAGATGACAGCCACGGAAACGCGGAATCTAAATGGGTAGACTACTACTGGGCTCTACTTTACAGGGTGTTAGGTAAATGGGTATATGAGCCGACACTAGCCCATGTTAACATGGTCATATAAATGGTATGATGAAGTCAGAAAATTGATATCTTCATTTTAATTGTTTTAATTTTCATACAAATCGGATTTTATAAAATTTATTTTGTATGAAAATTAAAAAAATCAAAATGATGATATCAAATTTCTGACTTCACCATACCATTTATATGACCATGTTAACATGGGCTAGTGTCGGCTCATATACCCATTTACCTAACACCCTGTATACCCCCTAGTGTATTGTATGGAAAGTGTTCTTCTTCGTATGATGTTTCTGATACATGAATATTGTGCCAGGGGCCTGACGGACGAGTCGGAGATCCTGCGCTTCCTGCAGCACGGCACGCTGGTGGGGCTGCTGCCGGTGCCGCACCCCATCCTCATCCGCAAGTACCAGGCCAACGCCGGCACCGCCGCCTGGTTCCGTACATACATGTGGGGAGTCATCTACATACGGTACGTACTTGTTACAAATGTTCTAGCTGTTACAGCGTAGTAAGCCCGGTTTCCACCACGGAGCTGTGTGGAGACAAGGAGTGTTTTGGAGAAATTTATCATAAACCAAAAAAACACCATTTTAAAAGCAGATTTTTTTGCAAAAAGTGTATTTTTTTTATTATTTGTTGGCATTTTCTGAGTATTTTATGTATTTTTTTAGTATCGCCTGTTATTTAGCATCATTACTACCCCTTAGTTTAAAAGTTATTACGTTTTCTTTACAATAAGTAATTGGAAGAAAAAAAATTATATAAAAAATAAAAACTTTAAAAATATTTGACCTCTTTTTTGTCGATAAAAATAGGTCTAGTTTCACCTATTTTCATATGTACACTTTATCGTGACTCACACTGTATTGCTATCGCGACTGTGCGACGGGCGCCCGCAGTGAGTGTGCGAGCGCGACAGCAACATAATTACGCGCGAGCGATAAGAATGGGTAGCTTGGGGTCATTGGACAAAATTTTACGTGCTTACAGACCAGACTATAGCAGGAACTTACAGCGTACTAGGTCTGGTTTCCACCACGGAGCTGTGTAGAGACAAGAGATGTGCGGTGAAACTGTCCGCACCTACATGTGAGGCGTCATCTACATAATTTAAAACTTTCTCGTTCTAAAAATACTCAACGCCATATTTTTATGAGTTACGTATGTATTCTCGGCTTGCAGCATTTCAGCCGAAACTTAAACCATGAGTACTCATAAAAATTTCGCGTTGAAACCCATGTTTTTCTATTTTACTATGCCAGAGTTCGCGGGTTCGATTCCTCCACAACACGATTCAAACATTTGTGTACATTAATATATCTTGTTTATATTGGCCTGGGTATCTTCTAGTATGTTGATTTAACTAACCCTAGACGATCTGCAACAATTTTTGGTAATGAATGGATACTTACCAGCGTTCTCTGACGTCTATATCAAGTGATGCCACGAGATTAGTGTGTGCTACCGTAAACTAATGAGTTGTAAATGATAACACTATAGTTGATTCGACCGTTTATTGCCGCAGCGCTCGATTTGTATGACTGCGACATGTTCTAATAATTTTCTATTTCCAGGAACGTGGACCCGCCCATATGGTACGACACGGACGTGAAGTTATTCGAGATCCAGCGCGTATGAGGCCGCACGACGCCGCGGCGGCGCTCACCAAAGCTACAGTCTCCCAGCATTTACCTTGTTTGCGGTTGTCACGCGCGGCTTACCTTGTTTATGTATGGACACTCACGGGTAAAACCACGAATGGATTTTGCACTTTGTGTCTTTGGTGAAAGGTTTAAATCAGTTGAGCAGTTTGTCGTTTCTTTTAGGCGAATGTACAGCTTGTATACAATGTGTGTGATGTATATTCATAATCCTACACATACAAAGTGCATTTATTCTACTACGCGAACCATATCTTTTCTATTGACCCAACGTTGGAGTATAAAAAAATATAAAACCCATAGCAGCTAACATCTAGTGAACTAAAGACAGATTATTGCATTGTAGTTTTATAGTAACGTATTAAGATTCTAAAGTCCCCGTAAAGTGCATTATATCGACCTAGCGTGGTTTGGAAAAACCTTATATCCAGTAGGTAGGCTGATAATGGTAAATGAATTAACCGTTTTCATTCGTGCCTTTTACACGTTTTGTATAGTTCGTACTTCGAAGTAGTCACATCCAACGGGAATTCTCATTAAGTTGTGTCCATATTTTTGGATCTCTTTCACTTGTAGCGGTATGAGGTAAAGTCTGGTCGCCGAGCAGATAGAATTTCGTATAATGACCACAAGCTACCCATCCTTATCGCTCGCATCAATATAATGAGGGCTATCGTTTTAGCGCTCACCAGTTAGCGCCACTGTAGAGTAAGGTCCTGTCACTTGCTAGTAGCGAAGACAGTGGCACCATCTGGTGAGTGCTAAAGTGGTAGGAGGACTATCGCATTTGCACTCATCAAGATGGCGCCACTGTAGAGTAAGGTCCTGTCAATCGCCAGGGGTGCCAACTGTTAAGTATAAAAACGATAGCCCTCATTACGCGCGAGCGATAAGGACCGGACTTTAGTGACAAATAAACCCTTCAATACTACCGAATAGTAATATCGAAGTATCTTGGGTCGTGTGAAACGAAATAGGCTATCGATGTTGTTAGCGAAACGATTTTTCGCCAACGCTAGCAGAGCTGTCTGACAATCGACACGTCTTGTAAATATAAACAGGAAACAGGATAGTTAGTTCGTCACTAAAATTTTATTTTTCTAACACAAATTGAGATTTGCGGATGAGAGAAAATGAGTTACATCTTAGGTTTAAACGCTGTGCGTGACAACAAAAAACTTTTTTTTAAGTCGTGTAATCTCGTCGTAGATTTTTGGAATTTTTCTCGAAGGAATATTTTAATTACTGCTATTTTGTGAATATGTATTTGAAACAGAGCTATAACAGTTTTTATCATTAATTGCTTTGTCTCTTTCTTTCAAAATGATGATCACTGTGTTGGAACGAGACAAAACAAAACATGTTGTAGGACTTTTGGTTTGAATTAAAGAATACAATTTATTATAACTATTTTTTACGATTGTTGAGTTTTCGATGTATCGGCACAGTCGCCCGACTCATTACTATTAAAATAACATAAACAATATTAGTTACTTACTTTATTAAGTCAATAATATTAATAAAAACTTCCCTAACAGTACAATACCTATTGTCATCTAGCTGAATTTTAGTTCTGTAAGTAAATAAATGGATTTGTACGTAATTATTTAATAACTCGTAGTTATCGAACGAATAGTCTTATGAAAATTAAACCATAGTTATTCCGAATGTATCATTTGAATTTAAATGGAAATATTTTATCAATTTTATATGTAACAATATGAATAATGATTATGAAAAATATAGTTTATTAGGTTTACGAAATCTTATGATATACAAGTGCTTACTCTCTGTTTCATACTGTGGCTGTATCTAAGTGACAACTCGACTAGTCATATTTAATTATTATCTTAACTATAGACCAAGTATGGCATGTGTATCTGAAATCTGAATGGTCACCAACTCCGAAGCTTATGGTAATGTCAATTTATTTATATTATTATGTATCATAAAAAATATATACCTACATTCCTATTGTATGAGTTTACAAGCTATTTTGCTATATTTAAGAAGCATGTAATTTTGCTTTAATCGCTTTTTTCGAGTTTAATGTTCTTTTGCAACTTATTTGAATAAATGTGTAATGTTTATCTCGAAATAATTCACACATGTATTGTATGGTATGAATGAGACGTTATTGTACAGTCGATATCAAAAATTAACTTCCAGTTATAATGTACAATGCGTAATGCGGAAAATATGTACCCACATATTTATGAGCTCTTACTTTTGCTGTCGACTGTACCTGTAATAACAAGAATGTTGTAATATTACCTGTAATTAATATGTAAGTGTTACCTAATGAACACACTACCAAATACTTTAAAGAAAGTTATGTGCACCATTATTTTATTTTATTGTATAATAACTATAGCTTTAGTTACATGAAAATTAGAATATTCTATTTATTTTCTTTACGTACTTAATGTTATTAGTTGAAATATATAAGATTGAGCTTGATTTCGTTTTTGATATCTAGGTAAATAAGTTTCAATAATAATTCGAATCACAGTTATAATAATTTATTTCAATCAAGCGTCTGTTACAAAATTCAAACTGATGCTATCATACAAATAAATAAGTTACGCGAGTAACAGCCAAATAATGCCAATTATAACTAAACATCACATTCAATACTATTGATTAGGACTAGGGCTTATTAGCATAGCTGGGCACCGTTAATCAAATAGTTAACTTCGTTAATCGTTAATCCGTTACTAAAAAAATTAACTTCGTTAAACGTTAAAACGTTACATTTCGGAAGATTTAACGCAAGTTAACGTTAATCGTTAATCCGTTAACATGTGATATTAAGACGAATAAAATACCAATAAATTCGAAAGCTTGTATACTCTGTCTGACTCTGTAGAATTTATTCCTCTTTTATGTTTGCGCTACAAGCTTTCCAAATTATTTGAACCTTGCATAATATAAATTGTGGATTTTTAACATCTTAATTAAGAAAATTAAAACCTAAAAAAATCATATGATGTACATTCTCAGATCATAGTATGATCTGAGTGTACATTACTATAAAAACTACCAACGAAAATTGTTTTGAACGAGATCTAGTAAGTAGTTTTTTTTTATTACCTCGTAAATCGTAAACCGCTTACCTATTACCGCGTAATCTTTCATACAAATAACTCAAATTTAAAAAAAAATATATTAATCAATGGTACGGAACCCTTTGTGCGTGAGTCCGACACGTACTTGGCCGGTTTTTTTTTTCGTTTTAGTACAACTGCATTTCAGAATAAAAGCTTGTTTTTAAAAAGTTTTTTTTTTTAATTATAATTTTATTATACAAGACAAATCCAACAAACCCAAACTCGATAAATTTCCTCCGTTTCGTTTAGGAATTCCTATGGCCACTTCCTGACTCCATCATCAGGACCCTGGACATCATCTAGTACTAAAGTGCTCAAGAAGATAAATCCAACGAACCCAAATTCGATGCGATTCCGCCGTTTTATTTAGGAGTTTCTATGGCCGCCTCCTGACTCCATCATCAGACCAGTTCAATAGNACGTACTTGTCAGAATGCGTTTTTCAGCGTGCCTGCTGTATCTTTTTGATAAATAGTAGGTACTGGATTAACGATTAACGGACTTAGGATACTTTAACGGAAGTTAACGAGTCCGTTAACAATTTTTAAAGTTAACTTAAAAGTTAATCCGTTAATAGAAATGTTAACTTCGTTAATTAACGATTAACGGATTAACGAGTTAATGCCCAGCTATGCTTATTAGGTACATATTTATTATCATCTAGTAGAAATTAAAGAAGATTAATGTAACACGATCAGGAATATAGTGATTTAAATAATTAATTAAATTAGGTATAGATCATTTTCATATGTAATATTAGCAAGTAGTAATTAAAATTTATAAAATATCTATAGCACCAAGACTTCTATATTTATGATAAAGCAATGTTTGATTCGATGATTAGTAATGAAATATTTTGTGTCGAGTTTCGAATTATAATATGGAATTTTGAAAAATCTCAAGTAATGTTTTATAACTTGTAAACTTTATTCCTGATCGTGATTATTCCAACTGAAATTGATAGTAATCTCAATTGTGCGTCAAAGTTTTGAATATATCTCGAGAGATTCTCAAAACTCACAACTTTAGGAGCTAGGGTAAAAATATAACATCTATGAGATCATGGCATTAAAATAGTCTAGACATAGCAGGCTAGGGTGGCCTAGGCCTTTTGAAATAAGTACATTGAAGACAAAAATAGAATCTTAGGGCTCATAAGAAAATAAATCACATTCTAATGTAGATTAAAATGTACACAGAGATTTAAAATTCCCGCTAACAATATTGGAAATGTAGAAGTACCAAACACCAGTTTATCAATTACCTCAGTCAAATTCAGTTTTCAGGGTCCTATAAGACTCTGCCCGTTTCTTTTCCAATAATGTACATAGCTCGTTATATGGACACTACCCTATACACTGGACGACATACTATGTATAGACGCTATTCTAAACATTTTATACATACAGCTGCAGTTAAATATTGGGGTTTTAAAATTATGCTCACCGCATAAAACTGCATACAAAACTAAGTAGAGATATCTATTTTGTTTGATATTGAACACCACTTATTGTTATGTACAATAAATTACAATGTTTTAAAATGCGTGATAGATACAAAGGATTAATTTTTAAAATGCCTTATTAAAATTTCGTTACATAGTTTTAGTGGTCGCGAAAGTGGGGAAAGTCTAAAGCCTGATCCAGACGAGTGTAACGCGTAATGTAATATAATGTATCGTGTAATGTAATGGAAATAGTATGGGCAACACTTTACATGTAATGCTCGTAGTGCCGTCCACACGTAGAATTACACATTACACCCGTCTGGGCCCGGGATAAATAGAATGAAAATTAGGCCGAAACAAGTGCATACTAAGATATCTTCTGCTTGGAAAATATCACTAGCATCTGGTGAATTTGGGAAGTTTTGGGTGAATTATTATAAAAAAGTGATTTTTCTAACAAGTGGCATTTGAAGATTTTTTTTTAAATTCAACAATGAATTTTTGAATAATTTTAGTTTCTACTAATACAATTTAGTAGAGATAAAACTTATTGGTTTTCTAATACGCTTGTTGCGTTGTAAAGATGTTTTTAAAAATATTAAATTTAATAATCATATCTAAATTAATCATTTGAAATGATAAATAATTCATTTCACCATACTTGTTTGTCATACAAAAATGTCACAACTCAATAAAAACATCAAAGCTGTGACCTCATTTCACAAACCATTCAAATTCCATACAATTTTATATGTTTTTGGAAGTTCATTTTCTAGGGTCCCTATCTACCTTCACACCCATAGCAAACAATTCCCTGTACTTCAAAATGAGGAACCATTTACTGGAATACCCAGTTGTTTTAATAAATTAAACTAACTTATTCGTATATTGGATAGATAGGCAGTTTCTATCCATTGCGGTAAAGTTTATACACACGGAACTGACTATTTATAAATTCCTAAGTCATTTAACAAAAGAGACATATTGTATAGACATTTTGTCTGTTTAATGTAAACTAAATCTATAGTAAAATAAATTATTATGGCTAAAAAAAATAACATTACTTCTCTTTGTACAGTCGCAAGCACATTGTTCTAAAATCGCACCTGTTACAACTGCATAAAGTGACTTGCACTTAGCTTGATGTGCCGACGCTGTACAAGGAATAATATCTATCACTAACATTAAAATTACACGGATGAAATGTAACATTACAACTCGACTGAGCTAACTGCGTACCTGGCTGGAATGCGACTATCCCTCGCACTTACCCGCGTTCACCCTGTCCAACCAGAGCGTCAGTGTGACGTCACGGCCTCCGGGTACGCAGTCAACTCAACCGGGTTGTATAAGTGTCACTTATGAGATTCGTAATGTATCTACCCTTTATTTCATCACACCAATCGTCTCTTCGCACTAGTCTTCATGTTATCAACGCATTAACATTGAAGAATTATTATTTATACATGTATATTGGTTACACTACAGCACGTCAAGCTTGACACATTTATCTTGTGGCCGCTCTTATCCCACGAGTAATTGGAGTGACTTTAGTCAAGCAGCTGTCAATCTTGACCTGCAGTCGTGTGTACTCAAAATGTACTTACGCAATGGGTCTGATTCCGTACCATACATTTGTCCCTTTCCCTCCTTCGTAAAAAGGGTTGGTCTTTCAATACAAATTTTGAACCTTCAAACAAAATTCTAAGGAAGGAAAGAAATAAACGACTGTTACCGTGGAATCGAGCACAATATTATCACGAGCGAAGCTTTACCATATTTTACCATTTCTAGTCTAATATTTGTAAAATTGTAAATTTACAACATACGAGCGCCTCTTACGACTCTTGTCATTATACATTATTATTTTTAACTGGGATGAACTTCAATGGTTGACTAGATTTCACTAGAAGACGATGTTTCATAAATGAAGCGCAACAAGTGACGTTCAACGTGTGGTAGGTTACTAGAAACATGACTGTAAAAGTGTGACGTTTCGTATTGTACAATATTGTTAAAATTGTTGACCGTCACTGTTACCAATATTTTAAAAATATGTGTTAAGTTACCATTTGTTTCATGGTAGAAGGATGATGCGCATTGAAGTTACAAAACATCGTACAATCGCTTCCTTCTTCCTTAAAAATCTCACAATGCGATTGAACAAACAAATTGGCCCTTATTATGCCATTACTAAGTTCTCTCGCTACATTCTCCCATCCCAGTTAAAGTCAAGTTTATTAAAATGTACGTACTAAAGTTATTTTATTATAATCAATACACATAGCGTCATTTCCTGGTCTGCGAGGCCTCCATGCCTCGCGGTGCAAGCCGGGAGTATATCCTAACTAGGCCTACGGGTAAGGTTCGTCAACAAATAGGTCATTTAACTTAAAAGGTATAGTCAATTTTGGTAGTGACCTAAAACTGTGCATAGATTGTAAAGTATATGGTACATAAGAAGAAATAATAATGAAATTATGGTTCTGAAAATTGACTGACGGGTTCATGTAACCGAAACGACATATTGTAACTTACATAGGGACAAATGAAGCGACATGAAACATTTCGCTTCATTTGTCCCTATGTATTTAGATAAATATAAAGTTTGGAGTGTTCATAAAGCATCGGGGCATTAAGCCGCTTGTACATGCTAAGAAATATATAAAGCCATTTTTAGTCACTTGTCCGGTCCCAGCTCTGCGGAAAACACGTCTTCATGAAAATAAAATTCTCTAGATACTTATTTGCTTAATTAATGTAAAAAATCTGTACAACTTTGTTTCTGTTAAAACTTAGCACATGTCTGTTGGATTGATTTATACCTATCATTATAAAATTATATAATGTATAATATTAGTCTTCACGTTAAATGCATGCTGTGTTTGCCTGTAATAAGTTAATACATTGAACATGTACCTATTCTTATTAAGATTTATACAATTGTATGGGTGTAATTAACTGTTGGTGAACCAAATAAATAAAATAAAAAAATAAAAAAAAAAGAAAAGTCGCCGGGCCTACGCAAGAATTCCTGTAGTTTCTACACACGAACTGTGTACAGTTGCCGTCAGATATATTGGAGCAGACAAAGTGACAAAACACGTCTGCGGCAGACACGGTGAAATTCTTTCTTAAGGCCTATTCAAACCTGAGCGATATTCGCTGCCGCTGTGGAGGTACATACCACGCGGGTTTCGCTCAGGTATTTAGTATCAAGTACCGCGGCTAGAGCGACCTGAGCGATATTCGCTGCCGCTGTGGGTAGAGGTACCTACCACGCGGGTTTCGCTCAGGTATTTAGTATCAAGTATCGCGGCTAGAGCGACTTGAGCGAATACTGCCGCTGTGGGTAGAGGTACATACCACGCGGGTTTCGCTCAGGTATTTAGTACATATCAACTATCAAGTACCGCGGCTAGAGCGTTTTCTCTGCCGCAGACGGTAGCGAATACCGCTTAGGTCTGAACAGTATTTTTACCGCATACCCACTGGGTTTTCTCTGCCGCAGACGGTAGCGAATACCGCTTAGGTCTGAATAGGCCTGTAGCGTGTACAAGAAGTCTACCCTGCGCTTGTTGTTACCTCACTTTCAGAACAAATAATAACTACAACTCGCACTAACCTCACCGTCCCAAATCAGCCTAGATGATATACTCGGGCCCCGGGCGCTAGCTGAGTGCCGAGTATGGCGGCGGCTCGCGCTCCACGCCCGGCATGAGCACCGCCACGCTGTAGGGAGGCGGCGCCTCCGCCGTCTCGCGCGCCACGCTCGGGACAGGTCGCTCCGGCCCCAGTAGCGTGGCGAGGGAGATGTCGTCCGATGGCTCGGAGGGAGCTTGCTGGAAATAATAGGCAGGTGTTATTATTGTAATAGTTGTCGACGACATGATTTGTGATAGATCCAGTGAGTGGGGTAAAACCTGATAGAGCTAAGTGCGCACCTCGCTGGAATGCGACTCTCCTCGCCGCGTTCATCCCGTTTCGTCCCAGATTGTATTTAGAATTTTAGATTGTGATTGTTGTAGTTGTAAATTTGAAATCGAAGTCGTCGATGTTAAACTTTCCCTTTGCAGTTGGAGAATTGCGCATTACCCAATTATGAGAATTATTTGAGCTTTATTTTTAGTGCATAGCCGCAGAGCTAATGGCCGTTGGGGCAGAAAATTTCTCGAGTGGCGACCACGAGCCGAAAGACGTGGTGTCGGCAGGCCCGTCACAAGGTAGACCGACGATCCGGTGAAGGTCGCGGGAGGTGCCCCACGTGGCCCACTCACCGGCTCCCTGTGCGCGGTGGAGGTGACGCGCTCGGGCGGCAGCGCGGGCGGCGGGCGCGCGCGGCACAGCGACAGCGCGCAGCCCACGCCGCACCGTGCCCCACGTGGCCCACTCACCGGCTCCCTGTGCGCGGTGGAGGTGACGCGCTCGGGCGGCAGCGCGGGCGGCGGGCGCGCGCGGCACAGCGACAGCGCGCAGCCCACGCCGCACCGTGCCCCACGTGGCCCACTCACCGGCTCCCTGTGCGCGGTGGAGGTGACGCGCTCGGGCGGCAGCGCGGGCGGCGGGCGCGCGCGGCACAGCGACAGCGCGCAGCCCACGCCGCACACGCAGGCCACGGCCGCGCACACCACGCCCGCCTCGCCGCCGGCGCCGGCGCCGCTGCCTTCGCGGACGATCTGCAATCGCGACGAGATCCTTAGAGCGCTTGTAGACGTCCGTTTTTTTGACCGGACAACGGCCCGATATTTTCACCGGATTCAGCGGTGGCGTATGGTTTATAATGAACGTATGCACATGCATCGGACATAGGTCCGGCGAGAAAATTGACAGCAAACAAAGGATATCCGTTTTTTGACGGCCTGTCGTCCGGTGAAAAAACGAACGTCTACAAGCGCTCTTAGGCCCTTTTCACATGTTCCGGTTGCCGGCTATCCGGCGCCGGGTACCCGGTGGTGAAGTGTATGGGCATGCCGGATTAATTACACCGGAACATGTGAAAGCTACGTACCATGCCCATACACTTCACCACCGGATACCCGGCGCCGGTTAGCCGGCAACCGGGACGAGTGAAAAGGGCCTTAGGCCGCTTGTAAACATCCGTTTTTTGGACCGGACAACAGCCCGATATTTTCACCGGATTTAGCGGTGGCATATGGTTTATAATGAACGTGTGCACATGCATCGGACATAGGTCCGGCGAGAAAATTGACAGCAAACAAAGGATATCCGTTTTTTGACGGCCCGTCGTCCGGTGAAAAAACGGACGTCTACAAGCGCTCTTAGGCCCTTTTCACATATTCCGGTTGCCGGCTGACCGGCGCCGGGTACCCGGTGGTGAAGTGTATGGGCATGCCGGATTAATTACGCCGGAACATGTGAAAGCTACGTACTATGCCCATACACTTCACCACCGGATACCCGGCGCCGGTTAGCCGGCAACCGGGACGTGTGAAAATGGCCTTAGGCTGGTTTTAGTGTCACGCGGACCGTCCGGTGCGGACCCGCTCCGCACGGCCAATCTGTATGAACTTCTAGGGAGCGATTTAGAGTAATGCGGTTCGAACCGCTCCGCTCCCTAGCAGTTCATACAGATCGGCTGTGCGGAGCGATCCGCACTGACAGTCCGCGTGACACTAAAAGCAGCCTTAGAAGGAAGACATTTGAAGCGAGATTAGAAAGGATTTGTCACAGCGGCACTGCGACACATCTCAACTTCGCTATCATCAGATTACAATATGTAGAACTACGGAGCGGCACCGCAACGTCAACGTCCGGTGACGAACTTGGATTGCGACGTCATGACGGGCGAGTGCTGCAACCTCAGCGCCTCAGACAAACGTTTGCCTTTCATTAACACTGACCTGCTTATCGAAGTAGTACTTGGCACCAGCTAAGAAGACAGTAGCCAGCGCGAAAGACACCAGCATCCCGAACTTGAGGTGGGGTGCCATACCAGGCGAATTCTAGAGCCCCAGGGTCTCTTGACTACTAACCTGCTTATCAAAGTAGTACTTGGCTCCAGCTAGGAAGACTGTAGCCAGCGCGAAAGACACCAGCATGCCGAACTTGAGGTGGGGTGCCATCACGGGCGAATGTTATAGAACCCCATCGTCTCTGACTACTGACCTGCTTATCGAAGTAGTATTTGGCACCAGCTAAGAAGACAGTAGCCAGCGCGAAAGACACCAACATCCCGAACTTCAGGTGGGGTGCCATTACAGGCGAGTGCTGGAGCCCCAGGGCTGCGGTCCGCAGTAACGTATCGGGAGTGACGCTGCGAGCCGCCGCCAGGCTGGCGATGGTGGGCGGCGCCTTCTACCCCTCACCCTTACCATGCCAGCACTAACCTGCTTATCAAAGTAGTATTTGGCACCAGCTAGGAAGACGGTAGCGAGCGCGAAAGACACCAGCAAGCCAAACTTGAGGTGGGGTGAATTCTAGAGCCCCAGGGTCTCTTGACTACTAACCTGCTTATCGAAGTAGTACTTGGCGCCAGCTAAGAAGACAGTAGCCAGCGCGAAAGACACCAGCATGCCGAACTTGAGGTGGGGTGAATTCTAGAGCCCCAGGGTCTCTTGACTACTAACCTGCTTATCGAAGTAGTACTTGGCGCCAGCTAAGAAGACAGTAGCCAGCGCGAAAGACACCAGCATGCCGAACTTGAGGTGGGGTGAATTCTAGAGCCCCAGGGTCTCTTGACTACTAACCTGCTTATCAAAGTAGTACTTGGCTCCAGCTAGGAAGACTGTAGCCAGCGCGAAAGACACCAGCATGCCGAACTTGAGGTGGGGTGCCATCACGGGCGAATGTTATAGAACCCCATCGTCTCTGACTACTGACCTGCTTATCGAAGTAGTACTTGGCACCAGCTAAGAAGACAGTAGCCAGCGCGAAAGACACCAACATCCCGAATTTCAGATGGGGTGCCATAACAGGCGAATTCTAGAGCCCCAGGGTCTCTGACTACTGACCTGCTTATCGAAGTAGTACTTGGCACCAGCTAAGAAGACAGTAGCCAGCGCGAAAGACACCAACATCCCGAATTTCAGATGGGGTGCCATAACAGGCGAATTCTAGAGCCCCAGGGTCCCTGACTACTGACCTGCTTATCGAAGTAGTACTTGGCACCAGCTAAGAAGACAGTAGCCAGCGCGAAAGACACCAACATCCCGAATTTCAGATGGGGTGCCATAACAGGCGAATTCTAGAGCCCCAGGGTCTCTGACTACTGACCTGCTTATCGAAGTAGTACTTGGCACCAGCTAAGAAGACAGTAGCCAGCGCGAAAGACACCAACATCCCGAATTTCAGATGGGGTGCCATAACAGGCGAATTCTAGAGCCCCAGGGTCTCTGACTACTGACCTGCTTATCGAAGTAGTACTTGGCACCAGCTAAGAAGACAGTAGCCAGCGCGAAAGACACCAACATCCCGAATTTCAGATGGGGTGCCATAACAGGCGAATTCTAGAGCCCCAGGGTCTCTGACTACTGACCTGCTTATCGAAGTAGTACTTGGCACCAGCTAAGAAGACAGTAGCCAGCGCGAAAGACACCAACATCCCGAATTTCAGATGGGGTGCCATAACAGGCGAATTCTAGAGCCCCAGGGTCTCTGACTACTAACCTGCTTATCGAAGTAGTACTTGGCACCAGCTAAGAAGACAGTAGCCAGCGCGAAAGACACCAACATCCCGAATTTCAGATGGGGTGCCATAACAGGCGAATTCTAGAGCCCCAGGGTCTCTGACTACTGACCTGCTTATCGAAGTAGTACTTGGCACCAGCTAAGAAGACAGTAGCCAGCGCGAAAGACACCAACATCCCGAATTTCAGATGGGGTGCCATAACAGGCGAATTCTAGAGCCCCAGGGTCTCTGACTACTGACCTGCTTATCGAAGTAGTACTTGGCACCAGCTAAGAAGACAGTAGCCAGCGCGAAAGACACCAACATCCCGAATTTCAGATGGGGTGCCATAACAGGCGAATTCTAGAGCCCCAGGGTCTCTGACTACTGACCTGCTTATCGAAGTAGTACTTGGCACCAGCTAAGAAGACAGTAGCCAGCGCGAAAGACACCAACATCCCGAATTTCAGATGGGGTGCCATAACAGGCGAATTCTAGAGCCCCAGGGTCTCTGACTACTGACCTGCTTATCGAAGTAGTACTTGGCACCAGCTAAGAAGACAGTAGCCAGCGCGAAAGACACCAACATCCCGAATTTCAGATGGGGTGCCATAACAGGCGAATTCTAGAGCCCCAGGGTCTCTGACTACTGACCTGCTTATCGAAGTAGTACTTGGCACCAGCTAAGAAGACAGTAGCCAGCGCGAAAGACACCAACATCCCGAATTTCAGATGGGGTGCCATAACAGGCGAATTCTAGAGCCCCAGGGTCTCTGACTACTGACCTGCTTATCGAAGTAGTACTTGGCACCAGCTAAGAAGACAGTAGCCAGCGCGAAAGACACCAGCATCCCGAACTTGAGGTGGGGTGCCATAACAGGCGAATTCTAGAGCCCCAGGGTCTCTGACTACTGACCTGCTTATCGAAGTAGTATTTGGCACCAGCTAAGAAGACAGTAGCCAGCGCGAAAGACACCAGCATGCCGAACTTCAGGTGGGGTGCCATAACAGGCGAGTGCTGGAGCCCCAGGGCTGCAGTCCGTAGTAACGTGTCTGGAGTGACGCTGCGAGCCGCCGCCGGCTGGCGATGGTGGGCGGCGCCTACTACCCTTACCATGCCAGTACTAACCTGCTTATCGAAGTAGTACTTGGCTCCAGCTAGGAAGACAGTAGCCAGCGCGAAAGACACCAGCATCCCGAACTTGAGGTGGGGTGCCATTACAGGCGAGTGCTGGAGCCCCAGGGCTGCGGTCCGTAGTAACGTGTCTGGAGTGACACTGCGAGCCGCCGCCAGGCTGGCGATGGTAGGCGGCGCCTCGCCTACTTCCACATATAAGCTGGCGCCGCGCCGCCCGCCCGACGGCGCCGGTTGCGCTGGCGGGCTGAAGAATGGATTATTGTTATTTATATCGGGCTAATCTAGAGGGCATATGCTGGCGGGCTAGAGATTGGTTTTCATTATAATATTATAATATCTACGATAAAGCCATGGCAATAAATACAAGACTATTCAAACCTCTCTTTCTCACCACAGAAACTCTTGTCAATGTGAATGCTGCAACATCAGCAATTCAGCTACGTTCAGTTTGTATTTAGGTTTGTTGTTGACACAAGGACTTCAGCTTGTCCGCCAGTGAAATCGCTTACGCACGTGGGATGTGTTCAAAAGGAAAAGTTGAGCTCACTTTTTTCTCACTAAGGTTATGCATCACGCAAATTACGCGTTGCCAGGGCTGGAGATAACGATTGGTCACGGGCTCACGATTCTGCCGTAAAGCGTCCAATGAAAACACTTTATCATTTTGGAGGATGACACATCATACATTAGCATGAAGCAGTTATGCCCAATGAAATCTTACGGGAATCACATCGCAGGCGATGAAATGTAAAAAGGCAGTAATGACCTCCTAATGGTAGATGAGAGAAATGCCAGCTCTAGTAAAACAGTAAAATATTTCTAGCACATGCTCCTNCCGAACTTGAGTTGGGGTGCCATAACGGGCGAATGCTGGAGCCCCAGGGCTGCGGTCCGTAGTAACGTGTCGGGAGTGACGCTGCGAGCCGCCGCCAGGCTGGCGATGGTGGGCGGCACCTTCTATCCGTCACCCTTATCATGCCAGTACAAACCTGCTTATCGAAGTAGTACTTGGCGCCAGCTAAGAAGACAGTAGCCAGCGCGAAAGACACCAGCATCCCGAACTTCAGGTGGGATGCCATCACGGGTGAATGCTGGAGTCCCAAGGCCGCTGTCCGCAGCAGGGTATTGCGAGTGACGCTGCGAGCCGCCGCCAGGCTGGCGATGGTGGGCGGCGCCTTCTACCCCTCACCCTTACCATGCCATTACTGACCTGCTTATCGAAGTAGTATTTGGCACCAGCTAGGAAGACAGTAGCCAGCGCGAAAGATACCAGCATCCCGAATTACAGATGGGGTGCCATCACGGGCGAATGCTGGAGCCCCAGGGCTGCGGTCCGTAGTAACGTATCAGGAGTGACGCTGCGAGCCGCCGCCAGGCTGGCGATGGTAGGCGGCGCCTTCTACCCCTCACCCTTACCATGCCAGTACTAACCTGCTTATCGAAGTAGTACTTGGCACCAGCTAAGAAGACAGTAGCCAGCGCGAAAGACACCAGCATCCCGAACTTCAGGTGGGGTGCCATAACGGGCGAGTGCTGGAGCCCCAGGGCTGCGGTCCGCAGTAACGTGTCGGGAGTGACGCTGCGAGCCGCCGCTAGACTGGCAATGGTAGGCGGCGCCTTCTACCCCTCACCCTTTCCATGTCAGTACTAACCTGCTTATCGAAGTAGTATTTGGCACCAGCTAAGAAGACAGTAGCCAGCGCGAAAGACACCAGCATTCCGAACTTCAGATGGGGTGCCATAACAGGCGAATGCTATAGAGCCCCAGGGTCCCTGACTACTGACCTGCTTATCAAAGTAGTATTTGGCACCAGCTAAGAAGACAGTAGCCAGCGCGAAAGACACCAACATCCCGAATTTCAGATGGGGTGCCATCACAGGCGAGTGCTGGAGTCCCAGGGCGGCTGTCCGCAGTAACGTGTCGGGAGTGACGCTGCGAGCGGCCGCCAGGCTGGCGATGGTAGGCGACCCCTTACCATGCCAGTACATACTAACCTGCTTATCGAAGTAGTACTTGGCACCAGCTAAGAAGACAGTAGCCAGCGCGAAAGACACCAACATCCCGAATTTCAGATGGGGTGCCATAACAGGCGAATTCTAGAGCCCCAGGGTCTCTGACTACTGACCTGCTTATCGAAGTAGTACTTGGCACCAGCTAAGAAGACAGTAGCCAGCGCGAAAGACACCAGCATCCCGAACTTCAGGTGGGGTGCCATCACGGGCGAATGCTGGAGCCCCAGGGCTGCGGTCCGTAGTAACGTGTCGGGAGTGACGCTGCGAGCCGCCGCCAGACTGGCGATGGTGGGCGGCGCCTTCTACCCCTCACCCTTACCATGCCAGTACTAACCTGCTTATCGAAGTAGTACTTGGCGCCGGCTAAGAAGACAGTAGCCAGCGCGAAAGACACCAGCATCCCGAACTTGAGGTGGGGTGCCATAACAGGCGAATTCTAGAGCCCCAGGGTCTCTGACTACTGACCTGCTTATCGAAGTAGTACTTGGCTCCAGCTAGGAAGACAGTAGCGAGCGCGAAAGACACCAGCATCCCGAACTTGAGGTGGGGTGCCATTACAGGCGAGTGCTGGAGCCCCAGGGCTGCGGTCCGTAGTAACGTATCAGGAGTGACGCTTCGAGCCGCCGCCAGACTGGCGATGGTGGGCGGCGCCTCGCCCACTTCCACATATAGGCTGGCGCCGCGCCGCCCGCCCGACGGCGCCGGTTGCGCTGGCGGGCTGAAGAATGGATTATTGTTATTTATATCGAGCTAATCTAGAGGGCTAGAGATTGGGTTTCGTTATAATATCTACGTTAAAGCCATGGCAATAAATACAGGACTGTTCAAACCTCTCGTTCACACCACAGAATCTTTTGTCAATGTGAATGCTGCAACATCAGGAATTCAGCTACGTTCAGTTTGTATTTAGGGTTTGTTGTTGACACAAGGACTTCAGCTTGGCCGCCGGTGAAATCGCTTACGCACGTGGGATGTGTTCAAAAGGTAAAGTTGAGCTCACTTTCGAAGCCGAAGCAATGCATCACGCAAATTACGCGTTGCCAGGGCTGGAGATAACGATTGGTCACGGGCTCACGATTCTGCCGTAAAGCGTCCAATGAAAACACTTAATCATTTTGGAGGATGACACATCATACATTAGCATGAAGCTGTTATGCCCAATGAAATCTTACGGGAATCACATCGCAGGCGATGAAACGTAAAAAGGCAATAATGACCTCCTAATGGTAGATAAGAGAAATGCCAGCTCTAGTAACTGTTAAATATTTCTAGCACATGCTCCANCCCAGGGTCTCTGACTACTGACCTGCTTATCGAAGTAGTATTTGGCACCAGCTAAGAAGACAGTAGCCAGCGCGAAAGACACCAGCATGCCGAACTTCAGGTGGGGTGCCATAACAGGCGAGTGCTGGAGCCCCAGGGCTGCAGTCCGTAGTAACGTGTCTGGAGTGACGCTGCGAGCCGCCGCCGGCTGGCGATGGTGGGCGGCGCCTACTACCCTTACCATGCCAGTACTAACCTGCTTATCGAAGTAGTACTTGGCTCCAGCTAGGAAGACAGTAGCCAGCGCGAAAGACACCAGCATCCCGAACTTGAGGTGGGGTGCCATTACAGGCGAGTGCTGGAGCCCCAGGGCTGCGGTCCGTAGTAACGTGTCTGGAGTGACACTGCGAGCCGCCGCCAGGCTGGCGATGGTAGGCGGCGCCTCGCCTACTTCCACATATAAGCTGGCGCCGCGCCGCCCGCCCGACGGCGCCGGTTGCGCTGGCGGGCTGAAGAATGGATTATTGTTATTTATATCGGGCTAATCTAGAGGGCATATGCTGGCGGGCTAGAGATTGGTTTTCATTATAATATTATAATATCTACGATAAAGCCATGGCAATAAATACAAGACTATTCAAACCTCTCTTTCTCACCACAGAAACTCTTGTCAATGTGAATGCTGCAACATCAGCAATTCAGCTACGTTCAGTTTGTATTTAGGTTTGTTGTTGACACAAGGACTTCAGCTTGTCCGCCAGTGAAATCGCTTACGCACGTGGGATGTGTTCAAAAGGAAAAGTTGAGCTCACTTTTTTCTCACTAAGGTTATGCATCACGCAAATTACGCGTTGCCAGGGCTGGAGATAACGATTGGTCACGGGCTCACGATTCTGCCGTAAAGCGTCCAATGAAAACACTTTATCATTTTGGAGGATGACACATCATACATTAGCATGAAGCAGTTATGCCCAATGAAATCTTACGGGAATCACATCGCAGGCGATGAAATGTAAAAAGGCAGTAATGACCTCCTAATGGTAGATGAGAGAAATGCCAGCTCTAGTAAAACAGTAAAATATTTCTAGCACATGCTCCAGATAGAAGCTTGCAGTGAGAACGAGAGGAAACAGTTCTTATTGGGACAAGAAGTGTCGTGATCTAAGATCGATATTCTCCACATTTCCAGCACACAGCTTCTTTTTCTACAGCAATGTGGGCTATCGTTTTTATACTTAACAGTTGGCACCCCTGGCGATTGACAGGACCTTACTCTAAAGTGGCGCCATCTTGATGAGTGCAAATGCGACAGTCTTCCCACCACTTTAGCGCTCACCAGTGGGTGCCACTGTCTTCGCTACTAGCAAGTGACAGGACCTTACTCTACAGTGGCGCTAACTGGTGAGCGCTAAAACGATAGCCCTCATTGTTTCAGTAGCAGGTTAGTCGTTTTCAGCCAAATGACGTCCACTGCTGGACAAAGGCCTCCCCCAAGGTTTTCCACAATGAACGGTCCTGCGCTGCCCGCATCCAGGCTCTTCCCGCGACCTTCACCAGATCGTCGGTCCACCTAGTAGGAGGCCTGCCCACGCTACGTCTTCCAGCCCGTGGTCGCCACTCGAGAACTTTCCTGCCCCAACGGCCATCGTCTCTACGAGCCATGTGCCAGCAGGTTAGTACTCACTTATAATGTCGATGCGGCCGGTGCGGGCGGCGCGGCGGGCAGTCGACGGCGGCGAACCGGTGCACCGGCGCCGCCATGCCCTTGCGCGCGCCGCCCGCCACGCAAACGCGCGTGCGCCCGCGACCTACACCTGCAAGCAACCACGTCAACCTTACAACCCGTTCGCGCTAAGTTTGCCCGTCTCACAGTGTTTTAGAAACGCTCAAAATCGGACATGATTAAGTTAATGCCATCAGTCGATAGCGTCTTATGTTTCAATCACAAGAGTGAAACTCACGTGTGCTCATTTTACTTGGTTTTTGAGAAAAAAATTGTGAAAGTTGGCCGTTTTTAAAATTCCTAAAAATGAAAAAAAATTTTTTAAATAAATTAAGAGGGTTTGTAAACTTGTGATATAGCTGATTCGATTGATCATTAAAAGACGCATGTATTGTACTTTATTTCATTTCTACAAGTCAAGTAGTTCCAGAGATTTTAATTATTTTTCATTATTTAGACTTTATTTTTTTTCTTCCATCCTAAATGGAATCCGCAATTTTATTTAATACTGAACAATACTTTGGTATAGCCTCTATATAGAAATGTTTTTATCTTTCGTGGATCGTGTCTTGTACCAGAGATATATGAATTTCTTTTTTTTATTTTCGCCTATACCATTTTTTATAGCAATGTTTCATCGACGCATTGGAATATGATAAGGCGTTTTAAAGAATAATTACAAGGGGACTTCGTCATCAAAAATACGTGTCTCCCGTGCCAAATACATTGTGTCGTTTATATTATTATGGACTTTTCATCCTCTGTACTGTGTTCGGTATCTCCAGTATCTTCGGTGTCTTGGTGTTCGTGTTGGCAAGGTTGAAGTAATGAAAGTACTGCTTTAGAGAAAGGTATTCTTTTCAATTTAATTTGCTAAATGGATTTTAGCAATCTCCCTACGAGTGTGGACCCCTTCCCGTGCCACACACAACCCTTCATCGGAGTATAGTTAACGTCAGATTATATTTCAATGCGTAGATGAAACATTGCTATAAAAAATTGTATAGGCGAAAATAAAAAAAATTAAAATTCATACATCTCTGGTACAAGACACGATCCACAAAAGATAAAAATATTTCTACATAGAGGCTATACCAAAGTATTGTTCAGTATGAAATAAAATTGCGGATTCCATTTAGGATGGAAGAAAAAAAATAAAGTCTAAATAATGAAAAATAATTAAAATCTCTGGAACTACTTGACTTGTAGAAATGAAATAAAGTACAATACATGCGTCTTTTAATGATCAATCAAATCAGCTTTATCACAAGTTTACAAACCCTCTTAATTATTAAAAAAAAATTTTTTTCATTATTAGGAATTTTAAAATCGGCCAACTTTCACAATTTTTTTCTCAAAAACCAAGTAAAATGAGCACACGTGCGTTTCACTCTTGTGATTGAAACATACGACGCTATCGACTCATGGCATTAACTTAATCATGTCCGATTTTGAGGGTTTCTAAAACACTGTGCGTCTGTGGAATGCGCGTCCCCTCCCCCAACCGCGATTAAACGCAATTAATTAGTGATTAAACGCAATTGATGTGTCTTATTTTACGCAAATACGCAATTTTTATTCAGAGTCCGGCTTTTGTGTTTTTGAACCTGGCAACCCTAAGTCTACAGAAGTACCTACACCTGCAACACAAGTCTACACAATGACCTACACATGCAAGGGACCACTACATCAACCTTACTCACTACAGAAGTGCCTACACCTGCAAGCAAACACGTTAACCTTACTAAAAATCATAAAACTCATTTATTTTTGCAAATAGGCTTTTAAAAAGCACATCCCAGTATTAACCCTACCACTGCTTCGGAAAAATAAATGGGCCAGTGCTGTAGGGCTTACAAGGTGTCCCAACTAAAACTGAGCGGGTGCCCTATTAACATACATTTCTTCCTTTCTTTAAATGTAACCTTTGTATTGTCTTGTTATATGTATGTTAATAAAGTTATTCTTATTATTCTTACATTTTATTCATTCTGATTGGTTATTCAAAACATTTCGCTGCTCTGCTTCCTCTTGGTTGAAACTGGGCCTTGACAACTACACTACAGAAATAAGCTGTAACAGGACCCAGTAACGATCAAGCACAAAGGTTGTCAAAAATCAGCCGGCAATTACTATCAATCACCACTACTAGCTGACCGGTCGAACCTTGTACTGTCTGTTTGTCAGAAATAATGTAAGATTCTAATTGTGAGACAATTTTTCAAAATGGTCCAGTAGTTTGGAGTATATTCAATACATGAAATCCAATAGGCAGAAGTTTGCAATATCAAATAATTAGAAAGGAAAGGTAACCAGAACAGAATGCTGACTTTTGTGGTCACACACATATCAAGCTCAAAATTTTTACCGTCTCAAATAGATTTTTATTTAAATTTAAACTCGCATTTTGTTTGTACTTAAAAAACTTTTATAGGATTAAAATACATTTTGAACTTATTGAAATTGAAATAATAAATAAAAGGATTCAAATTATTAAAAAATTTAGACATTCCTCGGACTAATGAACACTTGAACAGCTGGCAATGTTGCAGAAATATTCATTTGATAATATTAATCTAGATAATAATAACACACAGTAAGAAAAAGCATATTCATAAATTTATTTACCAGAAGATAAGGAAGATGGAACACGGTGCCTGCCGCTGTAAGCACACTGGCTGCGTTTATCAATCCAGAAATGCATCGGTGCTCGCGGGGCGCTGACTTCCAACCAGGACCGAGGGGCGCCAGGTCACTGCTCATTCATGCTTCGCAGTAACCTGTTCTAGTTTCCGAATGGAATTTTTCACACTAAGCTCCAATCCACAAATAATTTCGTCTATTCCAACACATTTAGATTTAATTACGAACGACCATTCAAAATCACTTGGAGATGAAAATAAGAGATGAATGATTATTTACAGCACTATTTCTTTACCCTATAAATTATTTACACATTATTTTTTCACATACACATTTTAACCACACAAAAACAAATAGATATATCTCATTCACCTACGAATAAATAAGTATTGAATAAAATTTATCAAATTAAAAACTTGCATTTGCTCTTGACAGCCATTTCTTTCACATTTTGTGGGCGGGGTGCGCCGCGCGCGAAGCGCAAATCAAAACAATCAGTGCTACCAACTATAAATTCATAATAAAATCAATAAAATGTAGTTAATCAAACTAATTACTTTTAATATTTTCTAATAGGATAATAAATGAAATCATAATAAAATATTTGATAACTGATTTAATTACTATTTATAAATCATGAATACTTGTTTAAATAGAATAATACTAGATACTTCCGGAAAGTTCTACTTCGCTTTTCGTTCAGAAATCAGTGAGCCTACTACACGCTCCGAAAATCGAATCCCTTCATTTTTCGATTCGATCAAAAAGTGCAACTTGTAAAGGGGGGCGTCGTCTTTTTTAAACTACACTTAAAAATCTTGAAACTAACTGTGACCACGGGAGCGAAGCGATTTCGGAAATACAACTTTCAGTTTTATAATTTTACCTAAGGAGAAATTTCTAAACGAAATCTCCAAAGCTATAAATACAACCTCCACTGTTGCCAACATTCATTCATTTTATGACGTCTGTCAGATAAATCTGTTGGTGTTTTGTGTTGACTGCTGTTTTTATTTATTTTGTGCTATTTAACTCTACTGTCCTACATTTTTACCCAAGTGCCAGTTATAGAAAGCATATACTTTGTGTTGAGTGTTGAGTTTGAAACAAACATGACTGTTCATAAGTGTGTTGGATATAGAACTCGCGCCAGCAGGGAGTGTGAACGCACGAATCCGACATCCTACTGCCAATGCTGGTCAAAGCGAACTCCAATGCAATGGAAACAGCTGAATACTTGTTCTTGTGGAGAAGAATACGATGGTAAGCTGTGGCTACCTTTGTATTATTGGGCAAACATTTTTTTAAATCACATCAGTTGTTCAGAATTCTTAAAATCTGCTGTTATTGTTATGGTAATCATAACAGCAGATTCAATAGAATCTGGATGCTGGTTCTCAAAACCAAGTCATTGCCAAAATAAAAAAAGAAGACAATAATTAATTAGTTTAAAAAAATGCCAATTCCAAGAGCTTTGTGATGTTATACAGTCTAGTTAATATTTAACTTATTATTACTTAGATTTTCCTAACATTACCCTCAAAATCTTACAATAATATATTCGGAGATACCATCCACATATCATTTAAGTCTGTAAAATGAAATCAATAAAATTAATTCAATAAAAATGTTAAAAAACACTGTCTTTCATAGAATTTCCATGCCCATCTCTACCTCCATTCTTTTACTTAGTTTATGTTATTTTGTTAAGGAGAGTCACTCCTTCTGGCACAGGTGCCATTGCACTTACAAGAAAGAGTGCACTTCAAATTCTATTAATTATTGTTGTTAACAAAATAAACATTTTACATTTTCATTCAAACTTTTAGTAAGCGAATGGAAATGGGAACATCCAGCTGACAATGGACTGAGTTGGGTGGTGATCAGCGACGACCAGAAACAAGTGACGTTCCACCCGTTCTACAGCTCCGGCACGGCGGCTGTCCGGGGAGACACGCCGATGAAACTGGACTACCACTACTATTGGGAAGTCAAAATGCTGACTGAAACATATGGAACTGATATTGTAAGTTTTTTTTTTACTTATGTAGTAAAATTCGTGTTCGTTTAATTGTTGCACTGCACATCAACAAATAAATGGAAAGTAAAATACATTATGTACTATCGGCAACCAGGGTTCGAGGATATATATCAAGGGATATATATCTTGATATATATCGGATATATATCCGATAAATATCCAGCCGGTTTTGATGATATATATCAATTTTTAAAATTTGTAACTGTATTTGTACTTTTTCATATAAGATTTTTGTTTTTTAGTTGATTTTGCCGTATTTAGAAGAAGATTTTATGTTTTTGCTTTATTTGTCTGATTTTAAGTTTTAAAAACATTAAAAACATGTTTATGTGACACATATGCAATGGTATTCATAAATAATACAATAAAATAATAGTATAGCTTTCATACAAATTTGATATATATCAAAGTTGATATATATCGGATATATTTCATAAATATCCGATATTTTGATATTTATAATAAATATCGGATATTTTCGAACCCTGTCGGCAACAGTGTTAACTATCCATTGCCTGTCATGTCATCTCGTACTATCACAAAGAATCACCATTTGATGAGAGCGAGAGCAATAACGGAAATGGATAGTTAACAGTGTGGCCGTGTGTACAGTACAAAGTAGAAAATTTGCGCATAATGCACCCATTTATTTATTTGCTTGTCACGTCACATTTACATTCAACAAAGGTTAGTTAGTTCGTTAACATGAATTGCTGGCATACATTTAAACCACTAGTCACTAAACATTGGAGATAACAATTTATTTAATCCATTTGCAAACTTCTCCTTATCTTTATCAAAATATTTTAGTTTCCAACATCACTTTATTGTTTTATGAATCAGGCAGACTGACTAAACTGATAAATTGTCATTGAACCGTAAACAAATTGAAACTAGGTCGGTCACATTTGTACATCTTTAACATTTTAGCTATGTTTTAGTAATCTACTAGACTATTAAGGACAATAGCAAATTCACTGTAGGACATGTACTTTTTTATTTTAATTGTAATAAATTGAATATTAAATTATTTACAACGTAGCAAATTATCATAATCTTTTAATTATAAATATTAATATGGAAAACAATCCGTATGTGTACATACATATTTACATAAGTCAAGGTAGAAAACTTTAAAATGCTATAAATTGTATACAGAGTCTGCCAAGTTCACAATTGGGCAATTGGACTTGAAGTGTAATATTTTTACTACTGTAAGATATTTTCTGAATAGTTTTCCTTTCGTTTGGCAGAATGCCCCAATGTCAGGCAGTTGGCAAATGCATTGACCGGAACTGGTCTGTTTTATCTATTATTCACTTACGCATTTAATTTTATATGATTACTAGCTGTGCCCGCGACTTCGTACGCATGAAAATAGTTTGAATAATATTTCCCGTTTTGCCTCATTTTTCTTTACTCCTCCGCCCCTCTTGGCCGAGCATTGGCGTAACTATAGGGTGGCCGAGGCCCCCAGGAAAAATAACCCTATAGATACGCCAAGGGCCCCATGCACAGATTTTGCCATAGGCCTCGGATGGTATATTTACGCCACAGTCCGAGCGGTCGTGGTCACGTTGAGGCGTTGTTCACATTGGTTTTAGAGGCGGATGGATACAGCTCTCCGCACGATCGTCCGCCATCTCTCTGTGTTCTGGCATTGCCTTTCAACTAGCCGAGCATACATACCCCCCGATCTCATTCTTCCTAATATCATTCATGATGCATGTGACGCACGAACATCTCTCATGCAGTGACGTAGAAACTGTATGCGTAAGAAAACTGTATCTCTGCGCTATAACTAGGTATACTATAGATAACAGATCTCGGATGTAGATGTCCTTAACACGTTTGTTAGATGTAACATTGTGTGCTAATTGAAGGGCAAAATATCTTATCGTGCAAGTAACTAATAACTATAAGAGAATAATCAGAAGCTAACCGGCCGACCTCGCGAGATGGGTCAAGACCTCGCAACTATTTAATATGAAGTGGACAATTATTCCTATCATGGAGAATTCGAGACTTTGTCTGGTTTATCAGCATCCTGCTGCATTATATAATTTATCTTGTTACACAATAGTCGTGAAAGGCCAAAGAAAGTTCAACACTCGGAATCGTTATCAAGCTTTCTATTATACACGTCAGTTTATTTGTCGTTTCTGTGCAAGTGATGCTCCACAATCGTTGAGTATTGAAATCATTTCACAAAATGACATTTATGTAAATTATTGTAATGAATATAGAATCATATTCTTGTCTTCTAAATTTATTCTGGCCACTATTTCGGGACTGGAGCAGACTACAAGTGTTATAATAATTCTGTTATGGAGCACCACAAGCGCGATATACCGCTATTTTCATACAGCCACTCCAGCTATGTTCTTCAGATTTTCATTCAATCCATCTCTCATTGCAACTGCGTTTACCGAGCCTCCAGCTCGACGACAGTAAAAGAGATTTACTAGGCGCGGACATTTTGCGTCGATCTGTACCTCTAGCATGAACAACTTTCGTCTTCGAATCGTTTGCGTATTCGACAAAATTCGATACTCAATCTTAGAATTAAACGATAACGTGACAGTTTTGATTCTCAAAATAAGTTTCGTGCAACCATTTCTCATACTAAGTTCACTTTACGACATGTTCACAAGTTGTTGCAGTTTTCGTACTAAATCTTTTGATGGCGATTCGAATACGCAAACGATTCGAACTCGAAAGTTTTTCGTGCTAGCCGTACTGAGCAGTATAGTACAGTCAGCATCAAATAGTACATGACACCCATAGTGGCCAAGAAGTTGACAACCTTATTCCAAATTATAACAAAGGCGTGCTGCAAACTTTTTGGCTAGTTTATGTGTCGCGACCTATTTGACGCTGACTGTTTCAAATAACGCGGCAAAGTATCGAAATTTAGAAAGCCCTAACATTAAACTTTGTCCCCAGATGGTGGGCCTGGGCTCGGAAAAAGTGAATGTCTCAGACTTCCAGTTCAAGTTCACGTCTCTCCTCGGGCTTGACACGGAGTCTTACGGGCTCTCGTATACGGGGGCCGTTCGGCACAACGCCTCATCTAGCGCTGAATCGCCTGGTTTCTGTAGGGGGACCATCATCGGCGTTAGGGTCAACATGTGGCAGGGGACCCTGGAGTTTTACCTCAACAGGCAGGCGCAAGGTGGGTGTCATCCAACCACTTATTGGAAAGAGGAATTGTTTGTCTCTCTGTCTGTCAAAATACTTGCAACCACTTCCGAGTAGCGAGGAACAATCGGGGAACTACTGTTAAAGGCTTATCGCCGATCGTCTTCAAACTTCAGATAATGTAAAAGTGTTTAGAAATATGTGCACAATTTTGTTATCAAGTACATGTATTAAACACTAGCTTTCCGCCCGCGGCTTCGCCCGCGTGGAATTTTGTCTGTCACAGAAAAACTTTATCGCGCGCGTCCCTGTTTCAAAAACCGGGATAAAAACTATCCTATGATCTTTCCCGGGACTCAAACTATCTCTATGCCAAATTTCATCAAAATCGGTTGCGAGGTTTAAGCGGGAAAGCGTAACAGACAGACAGACAGACAGAGTTACTTTCGCATTTATAATATTAGTTGGGATTTAAAGGTCGATGTCCTTTACTCATCAATAGAACAAATCTTGCCAATTTGCTTGTAGCCTTATTACATAGATTTTATTTATAATTCTTCTTCTTCTTCGTCGCTACACTCTTGGCAGGAGTGGTCGTGGTCGTCACACTTGGTGGCAAGCTTCACAATCTGTCGCCATTCCTCTCGCACTTTTTTTACTTATATTTACATGTTATTCTCATGTTCTTTTTAGTATTTGTTTATCGTTAGTTAGCAACAAGACCAGGAAATTTACATGGTACTTATCTTAATTATCGTCATAGCAATAACATACAGACGAAACATTCGGTCAGAGGCCGCTTAGTAATCGGTTTAGTAATTAAATATTTCCAGATAATACCTACTTGGATCATTCTAAATATTTTGTGTGCCAAGACTGCCAACACTGATTCTTATACACGAAGTGTAAATTCTGCCTTCAATCTGTTATATCCCAATTATTGAGATGTATACCTAGTTGTCCCCATCGGTTTTAATGAAAAAAATCAGAGGCTATATTCCTTTGTGAAAGAGTACGAGTAAAAGCCCCTTATATCGGTGTTATTTCGAAGTAGGAAATGGGGTAGTTATAACTTACTGATTTTCATTTTTTTTGAGAGAGTTGCACAGCATGTGCCCTATCAAGCCTTAGATAACGTCCGCATTTCTTGCTAACTACTTTACAAAACTAGCCCGAAGCGGAAAATCGTCAATCCCCAGGCCTCCCGAACCCATTTGCCTCTAGACTCTAGAGAGTGCTCTTTCAGAGAAAACCAAATGCCCTGATGCTAATTATTATTATTATTATGTACACACACACAGTTTTGTTTTTTAAATATTATCTTTTTATTTATAAATATCTTATCACATCTTTTCTACTTCGTCTATATCGTATATTATTATTTTCTACTACGTCTGTATTTACACTTAAAATTATTATTTATGTATGTATATTTTATGCAGTATAGGTTAGTGTCCGTGACTCTCACTCGTCATGGGGCACACTGAAAACCCTCACCGGGGGCCACGGCATATGCTGAGTGGGGTCCCATTGCGATGGGCATCGCTGTGCGACAGGGTGGCACTGCTTAGTTTACTTGCTCATTCATTGTATGTTTTATGTCACCTCTGTCTCATTTGCTTTTTTTTTATTTTACCTCTTTTGTCTTTTGTGATGTCCATGGCAATAAATGTTTATTTCTTTCTTTCTTTCTAATCCTGATGTCATCTTCCAGGCATATCGTTCTACAACCTGCGACGTCATCAAGAACTCTACCCCATCATCTGCTCAACGGCCGCGCAGTCGTCCATGAGACTGATATACGCCGCCTCCTGGCGCGCGTCACTCCTGGTGGACGCAGCCAAGATCCTGGCAGCCTCTGTAGACCAGGTCAAGCTGCCCCCCGGCCTGTTTTACGCGCTGCGCAACCAGTTCTGGCTCACGATGCCTAATGGAGGTACGTCGCGGTATAATAGTTCCAACAGCTGATATACGCCGCCTCCTGGTGCGCCTCACTCCTGGTGGACGCAGCAAAGATCCTGGCAGCCTCTGTAGACCAGGTCAAGCTGCCCCCCGGCTTGTTTTATGCGCTGCGCAACCAGTTCTGGCTCACGATGCCTAATGGAGGTACGTCGCAGTATAATAGTTCCAACAGCTGGTATATGCAGCGTCCTGGCGCGTCACTCCTGGTGGACGCAGCCAAGATCCTGGCGGCCTCCGTGGACCAGGTCAAGCTACCCCCTGGCCTGTTTTACGCGCTGCGCAACCAGTTTTGGCTCACGATGCCCAATGGAGGTACGTCGCGGTATAATATGTAGTTTCAAAATCTGATATAGGCGACGTCCTGGTGCGCGTCACTCCTGGTGGACGCAGCCAAGATCCTGGCAGCTTCTGTGGACCAGGTCAAGCTGCCCCTCGGCCTGTTCTACGCATTACGCAACCAGTTCTGGCTCACGATGCCGAATGGAGGTAAGTCGCGGTATTACTGGTAAACCAGCCACTGTTACAGACCACAACTTCTTTTAAATAACACTCCATTATCTATCTATAAAAGCAAAAGGTCACTGATTGACTGACTCACTCATCACGAGATCTCATAAACTACAAGTGCTAGGAGTCTCAAATTTTACATGGGGGTTTCTTTTAGAACGTAGGTGATCAGTGCTCACTAAGAACGGATTTTACGAAACTCCACCTTAGAAGGTAAAACGGAATGGACGCGTACGAAGTCGTGGGCGGCCGCTAGTATCCAAATAAAGCGTAGATTACATACAATCAACTAGAAATTGCTATTTTTAGTTGCATTAAAACTGATAAGTAGTGCCATATGACTGTAGTTGTTTGTTTCATTCATGGTCACCTCTGATCTTCACTTTCCAATCAGTGTGTACGAAAATATTTTGATGTTTTTCTAATTACCTACAAAAAATAAACCAACATAGATAATTCATAAAAACAACCAAACAATTCCAATCGGTTATCGCTTAATTTATAATTAGTTAGCTATAATTAGTGGGGCAAGCTTTAATTAACCCACTCAGATAATAGTACACAAATATGTATCTTGTGAAAGTATGGCGGGTCGTGTGAGTTGTTCTTTATGGCTTATTTATTTATTTAATGCTAAATTAAATACCTAAACTGGCACAAAACGAATGCCTTACTATGNGTACTATAATGAAGAAGCGGAGAAGTGTTTTAAATAAATAACAAATCAGATTTCATTATTCAGGTAACCAGGAAATCTGGTTATACAAAACACTTTTCCGCTCCCCCTTGGTGGAAACCGGGCCTAAGGGTGTATTTTGGTGGACTACCGGCTTCTTTAGTGCAAACGGTCAAGTTGAGCAATCTATGTAATTTTTATATTATATCTATTCACTGTAAATTGATTACAAACATCCAAATTTATTTTTGATTAGCCTTGTCTCTTTATAATAGGTCTAGCCAGGCCTGTTCATCTCCGCAAGTTTACATCGAAAACAAAACACGCACAATGGCCCACCTACAGGATACTATTCGACAAGGCCTCACATACGAGCGAACATTGACTCACGCACGCGTATTCTTGTGTATGATGGAAGAAAATAAAGAAAATGGTGTACTAAATACTGTGCAGTATTTAACTGCCTAAATAATAATAAAAACACAGAATGTACTTTTTTAAGTTGCCTCAAGGCACTGAGAGGTAAATAAGTAGTTAATATTATTCATGATAATTAATGCTAAAATTAAATCATGTATAGCCATTTTCCGCAGTTTGGCACCTCACGTCACATCATTTTACCGAAGTCAGCCCTATAGCTTCGGCGCAGTGCCGATCACTGACGTTTGTCAACAAAATGGTGCTTGACTCTTGAGACAGGCTAAATTACACCATATTGTTAATGACATTGAGCATACATTTTTTTAAATACCTTCGCGAAGTAAAACTTCTGTACGTAGTACTTATTATTAATCTGTGGTCTAGCGCATAACTTAGTCAGTGCCTGAGGTATAGGAGCGGCACGGGAGGATATTTTTGATGACGTCAAACGTTAGCGAGACTTCAGATGTGTTTCAGATTTGTATTCAATAGTCACGTGTATTCTATCTCTCCTACATGTCATTGGCAGAAGACAGACCGTCCCTTAAAAAAATCTCTGTCACGTCATAAATGTCAATGCTACCCTACGAAGGCACTGACTCAGTTAGGCCTATAGTTACCAACATACAACACCATAAGGTTTAGGTTTCATAGCCTGTCCTTTTGGAACCCACCAACAATCAAAACAAAAGGTCTTCACAAACTATACCTAGATTGATATCTCGCCAGTTAATTAGTACTATTATAAAACGCGATAACCACCCGCTGACCGCTGACCTACAACGTGAACCCTGTTTAGTTCATTATCACTACGAGAAATAGAGTGAGTTACAATGTGGGAGATTGCGCTATCACTGCATTATAAACTATTAAAGGGTATGTATTAGTCTTAGTATGATGTAGCTGAACAATATATTTTTTTATGTGACCTAAGGTAAGCGCAGGTAATACCGACAGGGGCCCAGTACTCGTCACATTTTACAAAAACGCTTGTTAAAATTTTCCACCAACATTAAACTTAACATTTTTTATGGCATCATATTTTTGGTATTTTAATGTATAAGTTGAAATAACAACAATTAGTTAAAACATGCAATGGATACCGAATAAAAATTTTTGAAAATTCTCTTTTCAAAATTTCTCATTTTTTGGCAATTTAGGCACTGAATTTGGAATCTGACCCGTCAGTTTAGTTTTTACTTTTTGCAAAATCTATCGGGTTTAGGGAGGTGTGATTTTTTCTGTAAAAATGTTAAGTAATTTTTCTAGCCACACAACTCATAAAACGACTCTTTTTTTCATTAGTTTAATATAATTTACGTGTGACATTTATTGGTTCACTAAATTCCTTGCTTGACCCAGTACTCGTCAAAATTAACACTATTTTGACGACAATTGGGTCATGCTTATTGTATTGCACCTAAGTTCGTCAGTGAATTAATTTTGAACTTTATTGCAAGGGAATAAAGTTTAAATGACATGCAGGTTATTTAAAAAATAGCAATATTGCACTTGCAGTGACGATATTATATTTTTAACAGAATCGCATGACTGTACTGATTATTTACAAAATTATTATCATCAGTAATATACTCGTATGTATTTCAAAATGTTTTCTCCCTCACTCTCGCCGTGATATCACAGGTAAGTAAAGTACATAAGAGTTTCATAATACAGAATCCAAAGTATGCGCTCACGTCTCCATTCAAGCATTACACACTGATTAAGAGCTTACAGAGGTATTCAGGACATAGGATGTCGTTTCCCGAAAGCCCAGCCGAGTTGGATCTCTTCTAGAAGTTGGACCTACCTACTCGTAACTAGAAGTTTGGTACTATTATGCTTCAACAACATAGAGTTTCAAGTCGAAAATCTTCGAGTGGATGCAGCCAGTGCTGCATAATGTCTGTACATTATGGTATAATTTTTATTTTGTCCATGTTTATTTTTAGACATATTAGTTGAGAAGCTCTATTGAGGCCATCAGGCATTGTGCATATAGGTCTTCTAACGTCTCAGCGTAGTCCACTCCAGCCTTAGGCTTTAAAACATATTTCATGGCGGCACAGAACAGTTTTGGATATATGTATTCTCCCTGTCTTCTTACCCCTCTCTGCAAATGGATAGGCTTCGAATTCTGATCTTAGAAACAGACGGATATTGAAGCGATTGTGTGTCGTTGTAGTTCTCACTAAAAAGACGGTATAGAACATCCCAAGTCTTGATGGAATTGCTGGTTTTCTCATAGTCCACAAACGGAAGGCAAAATACTTCTGTATAATCATCGTATGTATGTGGTCTACTGAAGCCTTTTCAGAAAGCAGCTAGTTCGGAAAGCTAGGAGTAGTAAAACATCCAAGTGGAACAATTCGTCATAACTCTCGATAAATGTACAGATAACCCAGAAGTATGATGAGTATACATACAATTCTTTAATATAGTTTTGGTAGTATTAGTAATTTATGCAATACAAATTGCTAATAAACTTTTTTTTTAAATACCTCAAGGACAGTTGTTCCTACTGCTTTCAGAAGCTCAGCCGTGTCTCCATTATTTATTACGTGGTGTCTTATTGTTTTAGCAATTTAAGAGTTATTACATGTAGGTACTCTTTCCCACGGTGACATCCCGTTTTATGCAGGACCCCACTTAGTAGTAGTACTATAAGTATTTTCACACTATCATCCTGTTTGCAGTGTTAGTAAATTAAGTTCTCAAAAATATAGAGAGTACCTAGTTTGAAACTTGAAGTTTGATGTATTATTTAATTGTTAACAATCACAATTATTATTGTGGTTGGACGTTCTACGCTGTACTTTCCGGTACGTGACCTCCACTCCAGAACCTTGCTACCCCATTGGCCGTCAGTTCTGCGTACTATGTGCCCTGCCCATTGCCACTTCAGCTTGCTAATCCTTCGGGCTATGTCAGCGACTTTAGTTCGTTACGGATCTCCTCATTCCTGATTCATAAAGAAACACCAAGCATAGCTCTCTCCAATCTCCATAGCACTCTGTGCAATTTTGGGCTTATTTTATAAGGCCTATATTGAGAGGCCACGTTTCCAAGCCGTATATCATCACTGGTAACACACACTGACTTTCGTTTTTAGGCACTGAGGTAGGTACTGACGCGCTCATAAAGGTAGCAGGAAGGCGTTGGATGCAGGCCGCCACCATCCGACCGTTGTGGAAATCATTGGGGGAGGCCTATATTCAGCTGTGGACGTCCTAGATGATGATGATGATGATGATGATGAATAACAATTATTAAAAATAATTTTAATGAGCAGGACTTCATACACAAAAGCTGTCAAAATCGCTTCTTAATGTTATTTGTATTAAATTGGCATAGATGATAAATACTAAGAATAAGAAATTTATTTATAATATTCATTACACGTCAAATTTTCAAAAAATATGTAACATCACTTACAAAAACTTCAATAATTCATCAAATCTCTGCGAAGATGTTGCTTGCACTAGCTAACACTCAAAATAATTATACTTTATTACCTAGGACATAAGGTTCAAATTAGTGCCGAAAATTGACGAGTACTGGGTCACTTTGACGATAATTGGGTCAAAAGTGTCGAGTACTGGTACAAATGGGTATTTTTTCAGTTAAATAATTATTTGAATTAATTCATAATACCTACAATAATGAATAAAAATTAACATAAAACAGGAATAAATTATCTACCTGGCCATGTAATCAAATTTTTTCAAAGTCAAATAGTTTTCTCGTACCAGCGTTGCAAAGTTAGCCAAAGTGCAAAAAGTGTCGAGTATACCTACATTATGCAATAAATGATTTTGATTTGATTTGATTTGATTTGATTTAGTTGAGTAAAGTGCATTCTTCAGTCATATTCTAAACAAAGAACTAGGTGCGGTCACAAGAGCTAATGAGCAATGAGGAAATCATACCTGTGAAACTTAGAGAAATTCTTCATTGATTTATTGTTTTGGGAATATTGCTCCTGCGTGCTGTTTTGAAATTGATTTTTTGTCAATTTTCTATATATCAGCGTCTGCACATCTGACTATAATTTAATTTGTTGCAAAATAACACCCTTTAGGGCCCGTTTATATGGGATGCTGAGAGGCCGCGCGGCGGCCGGGCGATAGCTTATTTGGTACGCCAAAAGGCCGCGTGAAAGTTTTTGCGTCGTCTAACTGAAGCCTTATGATTACAAAATGTGCTCATCTGCATAGTGCATTGTACTTTTAGATATTTTCGTATGGTCCTTGCCTTGTTTTGCGATCGCGAGAACTTAAAACAAGCCTAGTTTTCTATTGCCCGTTTTCACCATCAATCCCTAATTATTAAGTGAAACCTTTGAAAACAAAATTCCTGCTATGTGTTACCATAGGAGTCACTTAAACGGTCATAAAGTTACTAATTCAAATAATTGTCCATGTAAATGCACCTTCACACTGCTCTAAGCAAACAAAAGATGTAACCGTGACTCGTGTAAAATGTGCATACAATCCATTTGACATCACTTCACCCGACTTGTTTCACTCATATGCTGTGAGCATCCTATTCAGTTGCAATAAGAGTTATATTGCAACAAAAATGTGAAGTTTGATATGTAGTTCATTATACGATTATTTAAGTGCATCCTCGTTGTTTAAATTAGGACAAANATTATATCTATTCACTGTAAATTGATTACAAACATCCAAATTTATTTTTGATTAGCCTTGTCTCTTTATAATAGGTCTAGCCAGGCCTGTTCATCTCCGCAAGTTTACATCGAAAACAAAACACGCACAATGGCCCACCTACAGGATACTATTCGACAAGGCCTCACATACGAGCGAACATTGACTCACGCACGCGTATTCTTGTGTATGATGGAAGAAAATAAAGAAAATGGTGTACTAAATACTGTGCAGTATTTAACTGCCTAAATAATAATAAAAACACAGAATGTACTTTTTTAAGTTGCCTCAAGGCACTGAGAGGTAAATAAGTAGTTAATATTATTCATGATAATTAATGCTAAAATTAAATCATGTATAGCCATTTTCCGCAGTTTGGCACCTCACGTCACATCATTTTACCGAAGTCAGCCCTATAGCTTCGGCGCAGTGCCGATCACTGACGTTTGTTGGAACCCACCAACAATCAAAACAAAAGGTCTTCACAAACTATACCTAGATTGATATCTCGCCAGTTAATTAGTACTAGTTATTATAAAACGAGATAACCACCCGCTGACCGCTGACCTACAACGTGAACCCTGTTTAGTTCATTATCACTACGACAGATAGAGTGAGTTACAATGTGTGAGATTACGCTATCTCTGCATTATAAACTATTAAAGGGTATTAGTTGAGTAAAGTGCATTCTTCAGTCATATTCTAAACAAAGAACTAGGTGCGGTCACAAGAGCTAATGAGCTATGAGGAAATCATACCTGTGAAACTTAGAGAAATTCTTATTTGATTTAAGGCCTATTCAGACCTAAGCGGTATAGCGAATACGCTACCGTCTGTGGCAGAGAAAACCCAGTGGGTATGCGGTAATAATACTGTTCAGACCTAAGCGGTAATCGCTACCGTCTGCGGCAGAGAAAACGCTCTAGCCGCGGTACTTGATACTAAATACCTGAGCGAAACCCGCGCGGTATGTACCTCTACCCACAGCGGCAGCGAATATCGCTCAGGTCGCTCTAGCCGCGATACTTGATACTAAATACCTGAGCGAAACCCGCGCGGTATGTACCTCTACCCACAGCGGCAGCGAATATCGCTCAGGTTTGAATAGGCCTTTAGGGTGGATTCGACCAAAAAAGAGTAAATATTAATCTCAAAATAAATCATCAGTCATTCGACATACATATTATTTACCATACTGAAACTGTCAACGTACCAGTTATACCAGGAGTTATTCTCAGATAAAAGTTTTGTCAAAGCGGGCCTTATTGATTGTTTTGGGAATATTGCTTCTGAATGCGGTTTTGAAATTGAAATTTTGTCAATTTTGACGGGGGTTTTGGTCAATTTGATATGATTTGATTTGATTTTCTTTATATCAGCGCCTGCACATCTGACTATAATTTTTGTTGCAAAATAACACCCTTTACGATTACAAAATGTGCATTAGCACTCCTAGTTCTTATCTCTCTCTTTCTTTTGTTCCTTGATTTTTTTTTGTTTTTGTTTGCGTTCGCGAGAACATAGAGCAAGGCTAGTTTTCTTACTACATAATTTAAATGTAAATGCACCTTTACTTACACTACATAAGCAAACAAAAGGTTGCATCGTGTGCATACAATCCATTTGATATCACCTGGCTTGTTTCACTCTTAAGCTGTGAGCATCCTATTCAGTTGCAATAAGAGTTATATTGCAACAAAAATGTGAAGTTTGATATGTAGTTCATTATACGATTATAATTATTTAAGTGCATCCTCGTTGTTTCAATTAGGACAAAGTAACGTTCATTCACAAGAGATAAAGAGATTTAATTTTAATGCAGATTGCACTGAGAGCAAACAAGAACATTGTAGTATTTGTAGTACTTTTGACTGGAATCGTATGCACTGAGAGCAAACAAGAACATTGTAGTATTTGTAGTACTTTTGACTGGAATCGTATGCACTGAGAGCAAACAAGAACATTTTAGTATTTGTAGTACTTTTGTGACTCGAATAGTACTATAAATATTTATTTCTTTATTACAATAGTATTGCGATGCATGCAGAGGCATTCGCAAGATAAAAAGGCTTAACGGAGTTTATAGCACATGTATCTTTATGACGTAATACTATGGAATCGAAAATATCGAATAATTTTGCTGGAAATTCCCAATAAGTCAATTAATCCCCCTGTTGTTTGATCACTGATCACAACAAACTTCCATAGTCCGCGACAAACATTAACACAAACCTTATACGAAAAAGACGGTATTTTGAAAATAATATTTATAAAACGATCAGCTTACTGCGCACCTCGCTAGAATGCGACTTTTCCTCCCATTCACTGCACACCTCCCCGCGTTCGCCGCGTCCGTACCAGAGCGTCGGTGTGACGTCACGGCTGCCGGGTGCGCAGCTCACTCGACCGGGTTGTAACATCCCTTAACAAGATTTTGAGACATCTTTTTTTCTCTTTTCAGGTTACATAGAACAAGAGGCTAAAGAAAAAGATATGGAGTGTGAACAACAGAAGTCGGCCAACCTGGTGAGTGAGGAGCAGACCAGCTTCTACTTTTGCTAGCGATTCGCTATCCTGGGATTCCGACACTAGCCAAGTTTTCCAGACTTAAGGCTGATTTTTCAATCGTCGGATAACTTCTAACTGAAGAATAAGTTTGGCACATTGACAGTTAGTATGGGAAATATGTCAAAATGACAAGGTTATTCTTCAGATAAAAGATATTAACTGACGATTGAAAAATCAGCCCTTAGTCTAGACTTGCTTGTCCATGGTGCTATCATAGACGAAGCGACGATTGCCGAACGGTGAAGGTGTCAGACTGGCCGACTCGTGATCCGAGGAACGCGGGCATATTTGGCTTACCACGAGGGGTTAACGGAATTAGTAATTTGTGTTTACAATTTAATATTCTTTTAAAGAAAGTCCTGAACTAAAATCTAAAATTGGGCAATCGAGTTGAGATAAATGGTAAGATAAAAAATATTACACGTGTTGCAGTTGTATGACTTTTGAGTGTGAGACTGTCTTGTGACTTGTGTTTACATTTAAAATCTTCGTTACCAAAGGATTAATATTTAAACAGAAAATTTAGATAAAAGTTTAAATGTAACTATTCGAAAGTCACTTTTTTATCATAAAACTGAAGTTACTTTAATAAAAATAAATGGCTACGTCGGAATCACCAGGAAATGTTAAATCTAGTGCCATAATTATATAATCGTAATCTCCTAAGCATTTTAAAACCCTAATCTAAATGCACTTTATTTTCATGGGCACCAAATATCATTTATCTAAATTATAATCACACATATCGCTAGCTTATTCAATGTTTATTTATTATAGATTGTAGTGTATGTATTATTGAGTATTCTTCATGAAATCAACAAAGCCTTGTATAAAAAATTTACAATTTAAGCTACGTGATTGCATGTGAAACCATTGTTCTTTAACATTTAGAAAAGAATTGTAGAGTATTGTTTCTATCAAATAATAATAAGATAAGAATTTAAAATTGTTAAAATTGAAAGGGCGGGAGCGGAAGTGAAATAATTATATTTTTGCTTAAAATAATCGTTAAAAAAGCTTTGTTAAAATTTACTTGATACACAAATCTAGGTTTGATAGAGTAATTCTAGCTTTGCTTATTTAGATTTTGAGGCTTGGTGGAAATAGTAAGGCTATAGTCTCCTTTATGTAGGCGCGTGTAGTGTCGCCATAGACCGCGTCACAATGGGTGCGTTTGGCGGAAAAAATCACTTGTAAGCGCTTATAATCAAAATGGTGATCGCTAATGGTAGTTTTCGGTGAGGAACACGGCTACCTAAGTAAACTCCGACAAACTTTACTTCGACATTTCTGAATATCGACATGACTTTACTTCGACACTACACTACTCCGACAAAGGATATTCGCCTTTGTCTAAGTAGTGTAGTGTCGAAGTAAAGTCATGTCGATAATCAGTAGTGTCGGAGTAACGTAATGTCGAAGTAACGTTTGTCGGAGTTCAGTTTTTGAGCCGAGGAACACTTGCTTACTTCAATAATGACGTGTTGTTACATTGATTTTTTAGCAGTGACAGCGCTTACCGCTTAGCGATCGCCATTAGCTTATAAGCGTTTACAGGTGCTTTTTTCCAACAAACGCAGCCAATGCTTACTATAGAATGCACTGTTCTGGTCTCCGTCCATAGAAACGTTTAACGCTGACGTACCTACGCCGCGTCGCCGCGTATAGCGTTTGAAAGAGACCGTAGCCTTAAATATTTCAGGGTTACTCCTATGTAAATATCTTCGTAGCATTGTTTTTGAGTTTAAGAAACGCACTCGCCTTATAAGCACTGTAAGTCCTCCATATCACCCTCGGCGTGCTATTGGTCCCTGTGCGCAGACGCGGCCATCGGGCGCGGGTCTGAAGCGGCGCCACTGGCAGACGTGTCTGCCGCTGCGGCCCCCCAAATAAGGGCCTTGGACCAAGCTCACCATCTAAGGCCCCCCGAGTGAGGACCTTGGACCAAGCTCACCATCTAAGGCCCCCCAAGTGAGGACCTTGGACCAAGCTCACCATCTAAGGCCCCTAAGTGAGGACCTTGGACCACCAGCTCCGGTCCAAGCTCACCATCTAACCGGTATAAAGGTGCCTGTCCACTGAAGAGGAGCGGAGAGGAGAGCGGAGCGGATCGGTGCCAATATTAACTAATCTATTTAATCCGGTAGCCCAGCGACCTAAGATGTTTTCTAGCCTCTGATAAAATAGATGTCGCCATTGACCTTAATCTTGTGCAGTGTCACACTAGTTGCTTAAACCAATCTCTGCTCCGTAAAATGAATTCTTAATCTAGCTTGCAAGATTTTTTAAGCAAATTGTGCAAGCGGAGCGGAGAACAGAATACGGAAATGGAGCGGACAAGCAGAAAAAAACCGCGCTCTGGGCTCCCTTACTTAGTAAATGGATTAACACTCCGCAACTTCGCTCCGCAATTCTTCCTCGCTCCTCTGCCTCACTGCATCAATAGACGACGTAGTCCACTTAGAGCACCCGCCCAAATAGCACCCGCAGGAAAAGCACCTGGCCTAGTCCAAGAGCACCTATCGATAAATTTATAACGCTATTCGTGGATTCAAATTTATTTTAACATTTTTGTCCACGAACAGAGAACCCGAAATATCGATAGGTGCTCTTTGTGGACTAAGCCAGGTGCTATTTGGGCAGGTGCTCTAACTGGACTACTTCCAATAGACAAAAAGAGTCTGCAACTCCGCTCCGCTTTACTCTCTTGCTCCGCCTCAATGGATATGCACCCTTATGTATTTAAGGCTAAGTTCAGAGGGAAATTAAACATAGATTTTTAATAATGAGAACTCAAATATAATGTTCTATCTAAAACTCTAGACACAGGAAAAATCATTTTAATATTATCTCTTGTGCCAAATACTTCAAAAATCTCCTACATTTTGGCCAATATGATCTTGTATGCAGTATGACTCTTATTTGACTCGGTCAGGAACCGTGAAAATATTTCTTGCATTGTTTTAATTTCATTTACTTTCATATCATTTGTCTCTGAATATCAGATAGCTAAATAAGTGTTCAGTATAATTATGATGATTTTCTCGTCGATAGTGAAAATATTCTTGTTGATGATGTGTAGAATTACTTCTTTATAATATGCATTTTTGTGCCAGATCTGAGTATTTTGTTCGAAATTCTTAGACGTGCGGAATTCACTAATTGTTCAAAATGTTCTTTGTAAAACTTTGTCAGTCACTGAATATGCAATGTGTAATAATATCGCAATATTATAAATTTAATATAACGCCCCAATAGATGTCTTTAATATTCTTCATTTTATTCATAAGGCAGTTATTTTATAATACCACATCTGAATGTTAATTGTAAATGTAGTGTAGGTATACGCTTGCACACAGCATTTATCTATGTTATAAAGTTATTTCGAATCGAGTGCATTATCCGGCTTACACATTGTTTGTAAAGTACTTTTACTGTCACGTCATATACGGACGAATGCACGGCAAATTATGTCACCGTAAAATTATGAATTCCGTCAGATTATAAGACGTAGTTAGATTACAATCTAACCTAACCCACTGGTAGTTTACAATCTCACGTGTTAATATTAAAACTAATGGTGCAAATTATTTAAAAAATTTAAAGTTGTAGTTGTGGACTTTGCATAATTGTGACAGCATTTGTAGCATTTACTAGTTTTTTTTTTGGTGGAGGGATATTTATAGATGAATTAGAAAAGTACCTAATTATGAAATTTGTTAAGTTTTGATAAAAAGTTATCACCAGACAGAAAATCTCAAAACTAATATGACAACTTGACAACGGCCTTCGCTATGTTTACTTTTGTCTACGTCTGTCTCGTCTAATTAATGATGTAACCAAATTATCGTCAAATTACTCAAAAGATATTATTTTAATACGTAATATAAATGGAGTACTTAATACTGTCTTTTTGTAATCAGTTGTAGAATTTAATTACTTATACTAAAATCAAAATATTTTGATCTCTCAATGAACTAATAAGGTTGAGGCCGATAGCCGTAACCGTCTCAGAATCTTTCTAGTAAATATACTAGATATATCATCAATAGATGATTTGATGAAATGTAATGTGTAATAATAATATGTCGCGGCTAACTTGTTAAATGGGCTAGTAACTGGAATAGCTAGACTAACTGTACATTATACGCCGGTAACTAAAGCCCGGTCTGTGAGCACGTAGAATTTTGTCCGATGACCCCAACCTTATCGCTCGTGTATATTGCTGTCGCTACTGTGCGACGGGCGCCCGCAGTGAGTGTGCGAGTGCGACAGCAACATAATTATGCGCGAGTGATAATTATGGGTAGCTTGGGGTCATTTGACAAAATTCTACGTGCTCGCAGACCAGACTATAGCTCTGGTATAAGGTGGCGAGGTGGTTAAGCTGTGCAAATAATGTTTATTTTCATGTAAGACTGTAATTTGACTAAAAGGTGAATGTTATTGTTTTCTTATAAAATAAAATAACTGTGATACACTATATCATATTTTATTGTTATCCTCTAGGTTAGTAAGTAAGTATACTACTTGGCGTACAAGGCTTTGTTGTTTGCCTTCATTTCACTGGGTTCCATTCATGGTTTCCACTCATTCCTCATAGTTTTTGGTTTTTATTTATTGTTGGCACTAGAACTGGTAGCTGTGATCACTATAATAATGAATTTGCTAATTTGTTCTAAAGAATCCATAGCCTTAGCTTAAGGCCTTAGCAGTCAAATTCGAGATTGGCCAATGGTATAATATCTTAAAAAGTTGAAAGACTGAACATCAAAATCTGCAGTTATTGCTCTTAAAAAGCAAAAATTCATTTGAAATATTATGCCCTTTGCTGAGGGCACTGCTAGCACAGTAAAAAATTCTAGTATTTATTCCCAATAATTTCATTGTTGTATTCAAATACAACTCAAACAAAAAAAATATTTTGCAATTATATTCCCACTTAGAACGACACACTTATCAAAAACTCTGTGCTAGTGCTGCACTCTGGCGGCAGAACATGGCAGTTACGTTCCAGACTATGTCCTAGGTCCCCTAGAAGGGGCTGGATGGGACAGAGGGCGTCCACAACAGTCCTCCATCGCGTTCGGCCTTGAGCTTCGCGTTTGATCTCGCTCCAAGTCTTGCCGATTTTCTTCGCCAAGTCCCAGAAGGGACAGCCTTTCCCAGATATAATTTTAACAAGATGATAATAAAGCCATCAATTGAATTACAGCTCAGTGAGATCCTGCCGAGCCAGTACATGAACGGTTTCTACGTGGACAGCGTGGACCGCGACTATCGCGTCGTGGTGTGGGAGTAGCAGCCACCGACTCGCCCAGAGGACAGATGATCACTGAAATACCTTCAGTTGGGCTGAGTGTGAGTTAAGATCAAACGTCCTCACTATACATATAGTGAGTGCGTTAAAAAATGTATGAAAATTTTAGTTCTTGAACGTTTCCGCTAGGGGCGCTGTACAATCCGTCATACATTTTAATGTAATTTTTTTACGCGTTCACTAGTAAGCACGTTTGATGTCAACTCACACTCAGCCCTGAGATACTTTCACAGATTCTATTTAAATACCTTCGGACACCTTCACAGAGTCTATCTAAGGCCTTCCACCAAGGCAGAGCTTAGCGGAGAAATGCTTGCTGTGATTGAATAACCAATCAGATGTCATTCTGTCAACTTCATTCGACCTGAATGACCACTCATTGGTTGTTCAAAATACTTCTCATCGGGAAACCTTCAAATTCCACTGTCCACCATGCTCTTTAAACACTCGACATTAGAAAAACTATTGCTTCAAATACGCACCATTGAAGCCATTCAACAGAATAATATTATTTATTTATTTATATTAGGGAAACAAACAATTTTGATATACAGACAAATAATCACACAAAAAATAGGACAAAAATCAGCAAAGTTTCCACAGTTAAAATTAATACAGAGTGCAGACTAAAAATTAAATTATTAAATACTTCTTCGCTCCGTTCCACCTACCTAGATGGAAACAGGTCTTAACCCTAAGCCTAGGTGCGTACGTGTGATTTGTCATCGTGACAGAATGTCTCTCTTTTTCTGCCTACAAAAGTGTAAAAGAGACAGATATACTGTCACAGGGACAAAAACTCACCCGTGCGCGCCTAAGGTAATACAATTCTTTGCACCACTATGCCAAAAGGAGGTATTTCCGTGGTTACAAATAGTTACTAATACTTTTAAGATGGTTGGTAGATTGTCGTTAGTCGTAATCTTCTGCCCCAAACAATCCAGGGTATCGGAACAGTACAAGGGTGGCTCTAAGAAATCGTATACCTAATCATTATAGTAATGTAATAGCTGACAAATAAGTACTTGCATTCAAATATTTTGCATAGTACCTACCTGTTTAAAAAATATATTTGTCGTTTGTTTGTTCAATCCTTTTGTGCCAGCTTTTGTGAAACAAAACTAGATAACTGCCACTTTTATAGTAGTTTAAAGGTTTAAACATTAACATTTAGGTATACGTTCATGACTTTATGTGTAAGTAGAAATAAATTCCAAATTATGTTATTTAAAATCATATTAATTTGGAAATCTTTAATGAAATCTTTAGAAAGCTAGTGTATGAATAATATTATGAAGTTTAAATTATGGATGAAATGATAATATCATTGATAAACTAAATGAATTTTTCGCTGCTAGTTTATTTTTTAGCTATTCTGGAAAAATGGGTGGAGTTTATATTTATTAGGTTTTCCTTGCTGTTCTCTCATTTGATAGTTGCAGTACTAGGCTATTATTTAGTACGTGTAGTTTTACTATGATGTCTTGTAGCTTAATTGCATTAAGTTAGACAAAAATTGCTTTAAGTATTTTTATAAGAGCATGCATCATCGAATAAGGATACATTGTAAGATTAAAATAACATTTTAAAACGTGTTAAATATTTGTTTTATTATAGCCACCATATCAGATTGCGATATCCTTCCTTTCCTTTCCCTTTCCCTATGGATGGAAGATAGTACCGTGGGCACGAATAACTCTCTTAATGTGATTGATCCATAGGATTGTATCCTTATCCTTATGGGTTTCCGCTAAAACGTCCGTGTACTATTACGTGCTCTGTGCGTCCGTCCCGGCATAACGATTAGAATAACGTTATCATTAAAGCGGTACTGAGTTGGCCAACAACTGTGTTCCATTGCTCTTATGAAAAAGTAAATTGTCATTTTCAGTTGACGTTGTCATTTTTGCTGTTTATTTTTTTTTTCAGTCGATTTGTGATTTTTGGTGAGTGCAGTTGTTTTGCTTTGTAAATAATAACCAATTTTCGTTGGCGACATAACGTAATGTTAATAACTGGACTTAATTAGTTGTTCATTTGTAGTTAATATGGTCGCCAAATAAATAAAGATTCTTTACGAGTAACTTACACTTTTTTGCAGGAATCATAATTAAAATTGACCGTAAAGTCTAAAGTAGTTCGCCCTACTTGCTGTTTCTGGGTTTTGATCGACGTTGACAACAGCGAAGATGTCTCACCACGTAAGTATGCCCTCTTTATTCGTTTATTATACATATTTTATAAGTGGTATAGCAAGGGCGGTCCCAGATGACGTCAGAGCGTAAATAGGTCGAAGGGAGCCGGGAGTAGCCTTGGCCGGGTCACAAAAACTAGAATACAATAACATTACTTCCGAACTTAATTAGAATGAGTAGGGTGACTCACCTAATTCATAGTTTCCATTAGGTACAAGTCCCTATTTATATCTTGCTGACTTCTATGTACTGTATGAATATTAGAGTATATTTGGGCGCGTGAGGTAGATACGCGCATAGTCAATTTCGTAGATGATGAGTTAGAACTGAAGAAATAGATGTTCTAGATTTCCAAGACGGCCATACACTGTTTAAAAAAAGATTTGCAGGCTTCATTAAATTATTATCTTTATCTTGTTTGTATTTATTTATTATATTCAGGTAAATAAATTCTATTTACAATATCATGATTGAAAAAACAGTAAGTTGAATAGAAAGTACTTTCTTATCTCAAAACAGGTTACATTTACAAGTAAAAAGTAAACAAAAACATTTTATTCTATGAACGTAAAATCCTTTTTCCATAAAGCGTGAACCAACCGTATTTGGAGCCCCGAACTTCAATGCGCTGGAAGATGCCAACACCCTCCGAGCCGCCATGAAGGGCTTCGGCACGGACGAGCAGGCCATCATCGACATCCTCACGGCGCGCTCCAACCAGCAGCGCCAGGCCATCTCACAGGCCTTCACCCATGAGTATGGCAGAGTAAGTATTTTTTTTTTATCTTATATCCGTGTTCCCAGCGGCAATCTGTAGGGAACTACAATAATCCATTCATGTGTCCGTTTGCACTGTTCTTTGTCATGAGTAGGGTGGAGTCCAGTGACTCAGTTGCCCTCAGTGGTCATGGTTTCTCAACTGTCCTGGAATCTACTAAGGAAACCCCTGACACTAGATCTTTGTAGTCTGCTGAATAGGCAGAGTAAGTAAACAAAACCTTTTTAGCTGACTGCACTAGAAGGAGAGCTTAAAAAATCATTACAGTTCTTAGCATTGCTGTAATGTTTTTCTGGTTTATTGGTATTGATTTTTGCTAGCATAATGTATTCTGATGCATCTATCCTCCCTAACTAGCACAACTTCAATTTTGAGTTATAATTGAATTAATTAAAGGAATTTCAGTCATAGTGGTTATGTCCAGCTAACTCTTACTTAAAAAAACTATTAGAATTCAATTGACCTACCACAAACCAAACCTGAGACTGGTGGACTGGCTACGCTCAAGGCGATTCATCACGTAACTACGCCAAAATAGTTCTGTAGTGAAAATCTTGTTGATAAAAAGTTCATTATTAAAGAACTCAAACAGGAACTGACTCAGAGTAGTAAATTACGTAAAACACCATACACTGACTCAAGGCCGCGCGTCTCGTAGTGATTCATCACAAAAACTCGTACTATGCTACTTAATCTACGTTAAATTATCAAGGCCATTCAGGTAATAGCAGTATAGTTTAACTTGCGATAAAAACAACGATATGAAGACCGAAATGATATCTGGGTGAGGTTGAGTGAGACTTAGTTTTGTCCAGGGCCGTCTTTAACCTACTAGGGGCCCTGGGCGCATAAGGATCAAGGGAGGCCCTTCTCATCTGGAGAAAGATCTTTTATGAGAACAGACGGGGCCTCCTCGATCGCGGGGCCCTGGGCACGTGCCTGGAATGCGCAGTGGGAAAGAGGGGCCTGGTTTTGTCGCCGTGATTTTAAAACATTCTTCCTCGGTCCCTCGCTGATGAAGATCGCGCCCACATAGTGTTCCTCCACAAACTGCGGTCATAAGCTGTGTGGACCGCACAATGCAAACTTCCATACATACATACGTCTATCTATATGGAGGTAACTGAAAAGTGCACGTACCTCCGTACATCTCCATGGACTTGGTATGAGTTACGAAATAGTCACGCACGGCGACAAAAGATATGACAAAAGTCACCCGAGTGTGCGAACCCTTAATTAAAAAACTTGTGGCTCAATTAAATTGAGTCATACTGGGTTTTACTTGAACATGCAATCATCATTATAGATCTGAAGAATAAATGCACATCTCAATTCTCAGTGTCTGTTCAATATTAATGAATCAGAAAAAGCTTACAACTGCAAAAACACAAATATTAATGAATCAGAAAAAGCTTACAACTGCAAAAACGCAAATCATGTTTACCCTTGTGTGGTAACATTCCTTGACATTCGATAAATGCCGAAATTCGTTTTGAATATTTTAAAGGTTGGTGCAGTGGGTACTTGCATTATTTGTATTCAGAGAAACCAAGCCTTATCAAATAAATTGGTTGCAGTACACATACAATGTTTCCATAGCAATCAATATGTAAATATTGATATGATATCACAGATTGTTATCAAAAACATTCTAACTGCATAGACCTACATCAAAAGCCTGTAACCACTAACTATAGTATCTGTGCACTAACCATACAAAGCTGTATTAACCGATTGAGTCCCAGACGGCATTAATTAATGTAATAACAATTGATTACACAGGCCTGCAAAATGAGGGTCATAACTTCCTCTCTGGAATTTGATAGCTGATTCTAAGGTATTTTGGTGCGCTGATTACGAATATGTACTTAGTTTTTCTCCATCACCTCCAGATTTTTCAAAAAAGGTACAGATAGAAAATAGGAAAAATATCACAAGTTTTCACATAAAAAAATATATATTTAAAGAAGTAAATTACTTTTAACTTAAATAACTACTAAAATATAATAACAACTTATTACTGGTCTAAATTACATGTAAATTTTATTTGTGGAACCTGGTCCTTTTTTCCTGGAAGCTTCGGTTGTCCGATTTTCGCTTAAATTTCCGGTTTGGATCGTCACGCTTCAATAACCAACAATAGTCCGCCATCATGCTAGTATTCGATCTTCCTTGATACTGGACTTCAAGCTCTTTCAAATCTTGGTGAAATCTTTCGCCATGTCTTCGTTAACTGACTGACTGACTTCTGGGAAGTAATCAATGTGCGAATTAAGAAAATTAAGTTTAATGCTCATATTACAACCCATTACACCAAAATTTGTAATCATTTTGGCCACCATTTCTTTATAGTCGGAGCATAGACATATCCATAGCATAGTAGACGAAACGATTTTGAAGCAATTTTTCTGTCCTTTTGACCACCTTGCGAAGTTCTAATTAACAAGTCGTACAAGTTTTATGAGGAGTCCAAGTTTTGTCTTGATTACAACGTATCCAAAATTACTTTTGTAAATATTATATTTTTCACGAAGTCTGTAATGCTGTTTCGTTGTTTTAACACCATAAATTTCCCGCAAATATTACAAAAACTATTCGGAGAATTTAAACAACTTCGCGATGATATTTTAAAGTTTATATCCAGTTCAACTGTTAATTTTCCAAATCAGTGCGGGTACTTACACAACAACCCTTTAGTTTATCTTTATTTCACCCTTTTCTAATAATATTTACAACAATTAGGTAATATTACCTAATCATTATGTATGCATGAGCTCATTACTAAATTAAGCCAAAATACCCCTTTTTCGACATGTTTAATGCGAATTACTTATACTCATATGTAGTAATTAACAAATTACTTATTTGCATGTATTTCTATGTCCCCATACATTAATTAAATGCAATAAAAATTAAGCTAAAGTAATTTAATGACGTTTTATAAATTTTAAAATGTAGGTGCTCAGACATTTTTGAGCAAAATCTTAAATATTCAATATCGAAAAATCCTGACGTGATGGATTTTTTTTATTATTTTTCTCGTAATCAGCACATCAGAAACTCTAGAAAACGTTACTCAGATTTCAAAGAGGAAAACCATTGCAGACCTGTGTTATCTATTGTGTCTAGATTCGCGGAGCTTGAAGGATTAATTAATTTCCATGTTAAATTTTATATTAATTTTGTAAATATAATCCCTAATGAAATTACCTATCACTTGTGTAATTTTAAATGATTATAATTATGAAATCGCACTTTATAGTCAGGAATGAGGAACCATGACAAATTTTAGATTAGTTAGAATAGAAAAAAATCGTAACATCCGATATTTTAATCTAAAATGAGTGCATGATGCTGGCAAAGAAATCAAAATCATTTTTTTATGACGCTGAGGGTACATTTCACAGGCCACAGGATTTCAAAAATTGTGGGTAGGCATACTTCTCGCCTGACAGCCACGAGTCCGACTTAACCAGCCGAGATTCCATTTCTGTGGAGGGTAGTTGACCGGAAAGCGTGCATAGTCGATCTGTTTTAATGACTGTGAATTTGAGCGTGCATCCTTGTGTCGAACGTTGACTAGCGCTAAAAATGTTTGGGACTATTCCCACCTCTCGTTCCCACCGCTGCAACTCCTGTGTAGCCAGGATCTACAGCTTGACCGCCAATAAAAACCCAACCAGTGAAGGTCAAGTTTGTCCCGGGGGAAAGTTAACTGTCATTGGATCCGCAAAGATATTAATCAGTCATTGGACCCGCAACGAAATTAATCAGATGGGACCTCAGTAGAACCTAACTAAATTATAGAAGAAGGAAGAAGAATGACCGTTTCATTTGCCCTAGGACCTGATCGATGACTTGAAGTCGGAGCTGGGCGGGCACTTCGAGGACGTGATCGTGGCGCTCATGCTGCCCCCTGAGGAGTACCTCTGCAAGGTACGTTATTGGGACCTTTAACTTTCTATCTCTTGGGTGACCAATCCTAGCCTACCCTAGCGGTAGGGTTTTTAAAATTATAAGTTGTACACTGATTCATGTTATTAGATCGATTGCATTTACACATACATGAATCATTTCTGTGCCAAGACTTATGCAGTGCCACGGAAATGATTCGTTCATTTCTTTATTAATTGACTAGCTTTCCGCCCGCGGCTTCGCGCGCGTGGACTACATTATCCACATATTTTACGGAACCCTATTTTTTTCCAAAATAAAATTTAGCCTATGTTACTCGTGGATAATGTAGCTTTCGAATGGTGAAAGAATTTTTAAAAACGGTCCAGTAGTTTTTGAGCCTATTCATTACAAACAAACAATGTTTTCCTCTTTATAATATTAGTGTAGATAACATCATTTCTTTATTCGTTGTGCTCTGTGTTTTTATCCATTTACCCCTTCACGAAAGGTCACTTTAATAACTTTGCTGACTTTAGCCAAGTCAAGCTGACTATGGAAATTGCAATCAATTATTTTTAACAGAAATGTCATAATTTGTCTCGAGTTGAAGGAATCTATGTGCTACCCTAATGCCATTGAGTACACTATTGATTGACCGTGCTTATTAGGAACTGCACCACTGCATGGAAGGCATGGGAACAGACGAGGACACGCTGGTGGAGATCCTGTGCACGCGCACCAAGAAGGAAATCGCCGCCATCGTCGAAGCCTACGAGCGCTGTGAGTCACGCTTCATACCTTTCTTACCTATATACATACAGCATGCAACTCACTCAGGAGTTTTAATGAAACTTGGAAAATTATTCTTCAAAATTTGAGCATAAAATACATTTGAAAATGTTGACACATTTGCTCTATGTCTTCGTGTCTCCATGGTCAGAACATTCGCTCAGCAAGCGAAAGGCTTTTTCTTTTTTTTTTTTTTTTTTCAAAGTTTTTAGTTGTAAAATATTGTGATGGATTAAATGAGGTCCATATTATCACGGTAATACTATCTATACAGTATTCCAACTCGGCCATATTTTTCAAATAAATGTCAACAGCCGCGCGGTACGTCACGGTATGACAACATGCGATAGGGCTGCCCACCTGCAGACCCTCTTTTCATTACATCTGCCTAATAACAATTTCTATCTAATTTTGTGATTGTAATTTTTAATTTTATTTTGAAAAACAGAATACTTCGTGAATGAAATAGGATAAAAATGCATGTTGTTTTGTGATTAGTAGATTTCATTTAAAAAATATATTTGTAATGATATATGATTTAGTAACAAATCTTATAAACCGACCGCAAAATGTATGCGTCTCGACTGAGGCGTACAAAATGCTTGATTATTATACAGGGTGTTAGGTAAATGGGTTTATAAGCCGACACTAGCCCATGTTAACATGTGCATATAAATGGTATGGTGAAGTCAGAAAATTGATATCATCATTTTAATAATTTGAATTTTATTACAAATCTGATTTTATAAATTTTATTATGTATGGAAATTAAAAAAAAATTATGATGATATCACTGACTTCGCCATACTATTTATATGCATATGTTGACATGGGCTAGTGTCGGCTTATAAACCCATTTACCTAACACCCTGTATAAATAGGTACTTGTAATTATTTTTATAAAAAAAGAGCGCTTACTGTTTAAAAACAACACATCGTCCGTTTATTGCAGTGGCACATTCGCGACACCCCCGACTTTTGCATGTCGAGCGCATACCGAGATTTGAATTTCGAAGGAATTCTCGGGTTTCGTCCGTTTATATGAAGTTACAATACTGTATGATAATATTACCGTGATATTATCCATATCGTTTTCAATCCGAATTAAAAGTAAACGAGTAAATCGATTTTGCAGTAGAATTGCTGACTAATAGTCTTGCTATGCTAGTCGTGCTTGGGAAGTCACGTGAGTTGGTCTCGGTTGACATCCCTAGTCATTGAACTTGGGTGCTTTACCAATTACCACTCGCCCTTGAACTTGGTTGTCAGTAGACACTAAGCGGATGTATAGGACTTTATTTGCAAGATCGTGGAACGAGTATTACAGGGAGCATACAGGATGAATAAAATATGATAGTAGCACTTATTTTATATCCAAGAACTTAATCTTAATTTGATTTTTTTTACACCAAAGTAATTGCACATTATTACGCCGTGAGACTCGCTATTTCTATAAATACGTTTACGGAGTGATCGTATCAAGTGTTATGATGCTCAAGGTGTCAAGCTGTACTAAGCATTTTGGGCAGGCCTCCCGCTAGGTGGACCGACGATTGGCGAGAAAACCATTATTTTGTCCAGCAATCGATGTGATTTAGCTTTTTGACGATTTGTCAAACAAACGAATCATAAAACTTTGAATAACCATAAAACTTGTCCCGCAGTGTACGACCGTCCGCTGGCGGAGCACATGTGCTCCGAGACCTCTGGAGACTTCCGCCGCCTGCTCACGCTCATCGTCACCGTAAGTCTTCATCATCATCATCACCTTATCATTCGCTGATACTAACTAAATGAATAGCTCCATACATCTAAGATACCCCGCAGACTAAACACTTATGCTGGATTTCTATATTCAATCCTAATCCAAATTATACGGATTTGGATTGTCAACTGTCAAATTTTAATATGTTTTTGGCCAAAATGACTGCGGTTTTTGATGTTTTTACATTTTTATATTGTTTATAAGACTATTTAAACAATATTAAAGTGTAAATGCATCGAAAATTTTGGAAATATAATCTAAAACTGAATTCAATTTGACAGTTGTAATCCGGATTTGGACAATGATTGAATATGGGAATCGGGCGTTAGTCGGCTGATAAACTTGGTCTGCTTTCAATTTGTATGAAGAATCGACCGATACCAAATCGGTGTAATGTGCGAACTTCCATACATGCTCGTAGGGTTGCCAGGTCCAAAAATACAAAAGCCAGACTCTGTGCTTCATTTGACCGGACATTGTACCCTAAAAGCCGGACATTTGCAATTAGTGTCACAGCTCAGCATCGGTTGCCCAACGTCCTGACTGATGTATGCGCTTCATATTATTATGTGGCTCGACTTTTGCGGCAGCCAAATAAAAAGCCGGACAGGCCGGACAAGACCGTAAAAAGCCGGACACCTGCCAACCCTACATGCTCGTACTGAACAGCTCGACCATATTATCGGTCAACAAAATGTCTGTAGTCTGCGGAGTGTCTAAAAATGGGAAGACAAAGGCAGTACATTTCTGCCTTTCTTGCCTTAATTTTTAATATCCGACCCACTAAAGAATCTTGACCTATTGATTTAAGCAGTTTTTACGTAAGCCTCCATTATTTAATTTTTGTATTTCCATAGTTGTCATTAATATTATTAGATTGTTTGTTTCCTCACCATTTGTTGGTTATTTATACAGGATGTTTGGGACATTTTATCTAAAAGTTATTAATGAAGCAAATAAATTCGGGGGAAAACTGGTGTTAATGAATCTAGGGCAGTAGCCAGTAGCTACTTTACTATACTGTTTTTCAACAAGTCCCATACACCCCGTACTTCGATCTAACACATGGATACCAGACTAGAAAATAGTTACAACACGATACTAAACAATGTAACCCATCACCATCAATATTATAATACTTAATAAGAAATATGCTTGTGCGTTTGTTTTTCGTTTGCACACTAATCATAACTAATTAATTAACTCTTCAAATTATTATCATAATGATTAAATTTGGGAGATAATCGTATGCAATGTTTGGTGTTTGTTTTTGAATTAAAATATTAATTTAAAGTGTGTTGCAGTACATCCAATCGATAAAAAATACATTCAATGCTAAGTTAATTTAATCTGATATTTTATTACATTTTCACACGAAACGGCTAACACAATACAACTGCAAGTAATCATGGGAGACCCTGAACTACATGACTCATCAAAGCACCAAGGGCTGGGTAGCACCATGTCATGTTTACTATTTCCCGGTACCATTTTTAATTTATGCCACGTCAAGGAGTGGCTAAATGGGACATGGTTCTAACTAATCGAATTACGGTCAGCAATGAAAATTGAGAGAAATAAAAAAAGGATATTGTTTTGTTTGACAGTCTTTAATTTAAAATGAGAACTTTAGTATGAATGTGTATGTATGTCACCGTAAAATTGTGAATTCCGTCAGATTATAATCTGACGTAGTCAAAGTCAAAGTCTAAGTATTTATTTGCAAAGAATAGGTACAATGGTTTAGGTGTTAAATTTAGGTAGTGCTACTATTCTGCTTAACAATATCAGCATGCAAATTTTGTGTCTAGTGACGTAGTTAAATTACAATCTAACCTAACCTAACACACTGTTAGTTTACAATCTAACGCGTTATATTATAAACTGACAGAGTTCACAATTTCACGTTGACATGTATATCGCTTAACTGGGTCAATGCCTGAGGTATGAGAGCGGCAAGGGAGTGTGTTTTTGTAAACACCAAACATCAACGAGATTTCAGATCTCCTTCAATGTGTTTAGTACGAGTTTGCAATTGCATCNTATGATTAGTGATATTATGAATATCAATGATTATGTTTTTAAATATGTAGGTTTTAAATTTTTTATGAAGAATGATTATTATGATATCAAATTGTATGAGAAATATTTTCGGACCTCCAATGATAGGAATTGAAAAGTTATGTAAGAAAATGCGCTACCATTAAGGAGACCCCTGACACTAGATCTTTGTAGTCTGCTGAATAAGCAGAGTAAGTAAACAAAAACTTTTTAGCTGACTGCACTAGAAGGAGAGCTTAAAAAATCATTACAGTTCTTAGCATTGCTGTAATGTTTTTCTGGTTTATTGTTATTGATTTTTGCTAGCATAATGTATTCTGATGCATCTATCCTCCCTAACTAGCACAACTTCAATTTTGAGTTATAATTGAATTAATTAAAGGAATTTCAGTCATAGTGGTTATGTCCAGCTAACTCTTACTTAAAAAAACTATTAGAATTCAATTGACCTACCACAAACCAAACCTGAGACTGGTAGACTGGCTACCCTCAAGGCGATTCATCACGTAACTACGCTAAAATAATTCTGTAGTGAAAATCTTGTTGATAAAAAGCTCATTAATAAAGAACTCCAACAGGAACTGACTCAGAGTAGTACATTACGTAAAACACCATACACTGACTCAAGGCCGCGCGTCTCGTAGTGATTCATCACAAAAACTCGTACTATGCTACTTAATCTACGTTAAATTATCAAGGCCATTCAGGTAATAGCAGTATAGTTTAACTTGCGATAAAAACAACGGTATGAAGACCAAAATGATATCTGGGTGAGGTTGAGTGAGACTTAGTTTTGTCCAGGGCCGTCTTTAACCTACTAGAGGCCCTGGGCACATAAGGATCAAGGGAGGCCCTTCTCATCTGGAGATAGATCTTTTATGAGAACAGACGGGGCCCTCCTCGATCGCGGGGCCCTGGGCTCGTGCCCGGAATGCCCAGTGGGAAAGAGGGGCCTATTTTAATCTATTTCAAAATGCATGATGCTGGCAAAGAAATCAAAATCATTTTTTACGACGTTGAGGGTGTACATCAGGCCACAAGATTTTAAAAATTGTGGGTAGGCATACTTCTCGCCTGACAGCCACGAGTCCAACTTAACCAGTCGAGATTCCATTTCTGTGGAGGGTAGTTGATCGGAAAGCGTGCATGGTCGATATGTTTTAATGACTGTGAATTTGAGCGTGCATTCTTGTGTCGAACGTTGACTAGCGCTAAAAATGTTTAGGACTATTCCCACCTCTCGTTCCCACCGCTGCAACTCCTGTGTAGCCAGGATCTACTGCTTGACCGCCAATAAAAACCCAACCAGTGAAGGTCAAGTTTGTTCCGGGGGAATATTAAACTGTCATTGGACCCGCAACGATATAATCAGTCATTGGACCCGCAACGAAATTAATCAGATGGGACCTCAGTAGAACCTAACTAAATTATAGAAGAAGGAAGAAGAATGACCGTTTCATTTGCCCTAGGACCTGATCGATGACTTGAAGTCGGAGCTGGGCGGGCACTTCGAGGACGTGATCGTGGCGCTCATGCTGCCGCCCGAGGAGTACCTCTGCAAGGTACGTTATTGAGACCTATAATACTCTATCTTGGGATGACAATACCTATCCTACCTTAGCGGTAGGGTTTTTTAAAAATTAAAATTGTACACACAATTTGGCATTTACACTGATTCACGTTATTAAATCAATTGCATTTACACATACATGAATCATTGCAGTGCCGCGGAAATGATTCGTTCATTTATTTATTTATTCATTGATAACATCATTTCTTTATTCGTTGATTAATAATGTTTTGTGTTTTTTATCCATTTACCCTCCATGAAAGGACTTTAACGATTTTAGTGGCTTTTTGCCAAGTAAAGCCGAGGTTGCAATTTGCAATCCATTATTTGTATTTGAAATGCCACGATAGCCGTACGGTGAAGGGGTCGGACTGGCCGACTCGCGATCCGGGGAACGCGGGTTCGGTCCCCGCCGCCGCTCGACTATTGTGATGAGCTCACTCGTCGTGACACAAGCATATTTAGCTTAGTACGAGGGGCTAAGGCCCAGAATAGACGGTGAAACGCAACTGCAAGTTTGAAACTTTCAAACTGTAACCCTGTTTTATGCAAATAAATATATTTGATTTGATATTTGAGAAAAAGCTTACAACTGCAAAAACACAAATTAATCATGTTTACCCTTGTGTGGTATTGTTCCTTGACATTCGATAAATACCGAAATTCATGTCAGTCATGTGTGGTCTCTCAACGGACGCTATGGCAGAAACTTAGATGCAACTCAAAAGTAACTAGCAGTTGCAGTTTCGTTGCAGTTGCGTTTCACCGTCTGTTCTGGGCCTAACGGTAATTTGTGCAATAACAAATCATAACAATCTAAAAAAAACAGAATCTGTCTTGAGTTAAAGGAATGTAAGATAATCCTGAGGATATAGAGTATAATTTATTGTCCAGGAGTTGCACCACTGCATGGAAGGCATGGGCACAGACGAGGATACGCTGGTGGAGATCCTGTGCACGCGCACTAAGAATGAAATCGCCGCCATCGTCGAGGCCTACGAGCGCTGTGAGTCACGCTTCATATTTTCTTACCTATCTTCATACAGCATGCAACTCACTCAGGAGTTTTAACGAAACTTGGAAAATTATTCGTCAAAATTTAAGCGTAAAATACGCTTGAAAATGTTGTCACAATGAGGGTTTTCGTGAATGAAAAATCCGCCTGATGGCAATACGTAGACACGAGATCCAAATGCTGCATGATTGGTTATTTTTGACATGACATTGACAGATATGTCACGCAGCAGTCAGACCCCACATCCACGTCCCGCCATCTAGCGGATCTTTCATTCGCGAAAACCCTCATTGCTCAAAGTCTTGGCAGCTCAGTGGTAAGAAAATTCGATCGCCAAGCGAGTTTTTTTTATCGGGCCTAAGTAGAATTTTTCACTGATAGACTCCATGCTTGGGAAATCACGTGAGGAGTTGGTCTCGGTTGACATCGCTGGTCATTAAACCTGGGTGCTTTACCGATTACCATTCGCCCTTGAACTTGGCTGAACTAAGCAAAGTGAAGGACGTTATTTTCAAGTTTGTGGAATGAGTATTACGCGGAGTATACAGGTTCTAAGATTTATAATATACATATTATTTCTTAAAATTTGATCGTAATTTGTTTTCTTTTTTCACTGAGCCACAGATAATAATATAATGCACTCCTCAAATGTATTTAAATCCCAAGGATCACTATCTTCCTTTTGGAACTATTAGGTACTATGTGTTCAATAAATGTCGAGTTGTTTGTAGTATTGTGGGTAGGCCTCCCACTAGCTGGACCAATGATCTGGTAAAAGTCGCGGGAAGCACTTGATTGCGGGCAGTGCTTGACCGGTTATTGAGAAAACCTTTGAGGGAGGCCTATGTCCAGCAGTGGACGTGATTTGGCTGAAACGAACAAACAAAAGAACCTAAAGCTTGGTCCGTGAGCACGTAGAATTTTGCGCTCGCACGCTCACTGCGGGCGCCCGTCGCACAGTCGCGACAGCAATATAATTACGCGTGAGCGATAAGGATGGGTAGCTTGGGGTCATTGGACAAAATTCTACGTGCTCACAGACCAGACTATAGTAATTGGTGAAGTAACCATAAACCTTCCCGCAGTGTACGACCGACCACTGGCGGAGCACATGTGCTCGGAGACCTCTGGAGACTTCCGCCGCCTGCTCACGCTCATCGTCACCGTAAGTCTTCATCACCATCATCTTATCACTCATCCTTGTGCCACATATTTGCGACTTGAGGTAAACACGAATACTTGGCTACGTACGCTACACATGTAGTGATAATTCAATTCAATTTGTTTATTTAGATATAACAAAGAGATCCACATAGTAATGAGAGAGAATGTTCAAGTTGCGATGTGTGTGGCCTAGGGGTCACTGAAATATGCAAGTGCTTAATTAAAAAAGTGGGAATAAAGACAACATGGAAAACTTTTCTTTCTTGCCTTGGTTTTTTATATACCGCACTAAAAAAAATTGGCTTATTGATTTAAATAGTTTTTTACGTCAGCCTTAAATTCATTAAAAACGGGTTCATTACTTATTTGTTTCTATTTCCACAAATATTGTCATATTATTTGTCTACTAACGATTTGTTTGTTATTTGTACAGGATGTTTGGGACATTTTATCAAAAAGATATCAATGGAGGAAATAAAAACTAATGCTATTGAATTTATGGCAGTAGTTCTATACTTTTAAGTGACTGCCCATAGTCCCATACACCCCGTTCTTCGATCTAACAAAACGATACCAGACTAGATAATAGTTACGACATGATACCATAACAATGTAACCCATCACCATCAATATACGAGTATGTACTTAAGAAATATGCTTGTGCGTTTGTTTTTCGTTTGCACACTAATCATAACTAATTATTAATTAACTTTTCAAATTATTATCATAATGATTAAATAATCGTCTGCAATGTTTGGTGTTTGTATGTATTTTTTGAATTAAAATATTTATTTAAAGTGTGTTGCAGTACATCCAATCGATAAAAAATACATTCGATGCTATGTTGATTTAATCTGATATTTTTTAGATTACATTTTCACACGAAACTGCTAACACAATACAACTGCAAGTAATCATGAAAGACCCTGAACTCCATGACTCATCAAAGCACCAAGGGCTGGGTAGCACCATGTCATGTTTACTATTTCCCGGTACCATTTTTAATTTATGCCACGTCAAGGAGTGGCTAAATGGGACATGGTTCTAACTAATCGAATTACGGTCAGCAATGAAAATTGAGAGATTAAAAAAAAACGATATTGTTTTGTTTGACAGTCTTTAATTTAAAATGAGAATTTTAGTATGAATGTGTATGTATGTCGCTTAACTGGGTCAGTGCCTAAGGTATGAAAGCGGCAAGAGAGGGTTTTTGTAAACATATGATATAACATGTTTTTGTAAACACCTAACGTCAGCGAGATTTCAGATCTCCTTCAATGTGTTTAGTACGAGTTTGCATTAAACGTCGTCGCTAGCGAGTGGGTCTATAAAGATTTTAGTTCTTAAAAGAATCCGCTAGGGACGCTGTACTATCCGTCATACGTTTGATGTATACTCGTACTAAGCACCCAGGGCCCCGATTACGCTAATTTTTAACGTCTCCTATACAGACAGCTGACGTCAACTGTTTTGACCAATCGTATCGCAGAATCGTTGAAGCGCGTCTGTATTGGAGACGTTAAAAATTAGCGTAATCGGGGCACAGATTTGTATGCTCTGTCACGTCATAAAATGTCAATGTCACCCCTCCCTTACCTCAGGCACTTACTCAGTAAGCGTACCTATTAGTAGGTAGTAAAATCTCAATCTGTTGCTAACCGTAGTGGGTGCAACGCCACTTTCTTTCCTATCGCTTGTGCCGGGTCGCGCGGCCTTGGGCGGCCGACGTTGCTCGCGGTTGATGAATCGATTTACACCGAGTGTTTACTTTATTAATAATTATGTGCGGATGTTTTGACCTTGCAATTATTGTATAATAATAACTACTACAGCTGTTAGTATCAAAAGTAGTTTTTTTTTGTCTACAACGAGAAAGCTCTTGGCCTGTGTTCCGCCTAATGGAAAGTGAAAGATGAAAGGCCTAGTCAAAAAATCACTTTCGAGACAGCTTTACTCGTAATGTTGAAATCTCTTCACGAAGCAAAGTAACTTAAAAATAACGCTGCTGGAGTGAAAACGTCAAGTTTGTAACTTTTACACAGATACTGTAAAAATTTCGTTATAGTTTATAAAAATTGGCTCAAATAAAAAAGCGTTCAAATAGTTGACGCAATGAACTGATACTGTAATGTTGACGTTTGTTCTGTGTATTTTCATGTGGCAGCAAAATGAACGTTTTCCATTCTATTCTATGAAATGATGTTTTTTAAACTGTAGATTTTCAATTTGTACACCGCTATAGTCTGGTCCGCGAGCACGTAGAATTTAGTCCAATGACCCCAAGCTACCCATCCTTATCGCTCGCGCGTAATTATGTTGCTGTCGCGCTCGCACACTCACTGCGGCCGCCCGTCGCACAGTCGCGACAGCAACATGCTACCCATCCTTATCGCTCGCAATTACGCGCGAGTAGCTGGGGGTCATTGGACAAAATTCTACGTGCTCACAGACCGGGCTTTAGTAATCTTCAATAAAACAACTTCGCTATTCATTCATCTTCGACACGAGCCGTCACCGCCCAAGGCATCCAAACCATAGAGTTACTACGTCTGATATCAAAGAGTGCCCACCAGGGCGCGCGCGACGAGGAAGCGGGCGTGGACCCGGCGCGCGCGCAAGAATCGGCGCAGGCGCTGTACGACGCCGGCGAGGCCAAGTGGGGCACCGATGAGGAGATATTTAACAAGGTATGTAACCCTCCTTTAGGCGCAGTTGGATAAAGAAATAACATTTTATTGAGCCTGGATTGCACCATCTTGCATTTATAATAATAACGAACCATTAAGAGCCTGTCAAACTCCATACAGAAACACCAGTTATAGTTGCGTTTAAAGTTAAGGTGGTGCAACTGACGCTAATTTTATTGTGCTGACAGTACACTTTTTTCCGTCGGGAAATTCTTTGCCGACTTTGGCCGATTGGGATGTGGGATTCTCCCCGTAAGAAGGGGGGACCTACCCACTAAAATCGACGGTGTCCTTCGGGGCCATTGAAACAGACCCACGAATTATTGTCATAAGATTGGACATTCGTCCGCGGCTCCGTCTATGGCTAGTCCCTCTAGCCAGCCAGTAAACAGTCCTCTTTAAAGGTTGTCTGAAAAAAAAAAACTTCCTAGGACCTAGCCGAATTTCGCTAACGTGTTGATCGTCCAATTGAATGGATTGATCCAATGCCAACTTTCCATTCTTTTCAAAATCATTTATCAATTGATTTGACACTGGCCAAACCCGCATGTACCAGTAATAACTAATAGATTTTTAAAATGAGAAGTACCTACTAATATCTAGTGTCTTGAAGAAAGTTGTTCAGAAACCGGTGTCACCACAGATCCTGGCTCACGAGAGCTTCGCACAACTGCGGCTGATCTTCGAGGAGTACAAGAACATCGCGGGCCGCACCATCGAGCAGGCCATCAAGGCCGAGATCGGCGGCGAGCTTAAGGACGCGCTGTCTGCCATCGGTCAGTATTCCCACTTCTCGTTCCCACCAGTAAAACTCCTGTGTAGCTAGGATCTACCTATCGGTCAGTATGATCATTTTGTTCATTTGATGAACCCGTATTAGGGCGGAGGGAATATATTTCCCACCGTATTCGTTCCCACCACTGAAATTGCTGTGTAGCCAAGATCGTATCGCTCAGTACGATGAACATATTTTAGGATCTGTTCATTCATTAACTACTAATAGGACAGAGGGAATATATTTCCCACCTTATACTTTACCATATTTCTTATCTTATGATCTATAAATAATGAAAATGTAGTGGGAAGCAAATAATCTCTCTTTATTGGCGATCAAAATTAGCAAGAGCTGCAGACTTTACAAGAGGGTTTATTTAGTATTTGTAAAGACTGCTTGTAGAGTAGCGAAAACGTCATTACACTAATTTGTGTCATTGTCAGCTGTTACAAGAAGTAGGCGAGATCAATCGAGTCCATTGCCTCGTAAGTGCGCAATGCTGGTGAAGTGGTGACTCGCCCGGAAAGACTCAATTACTTCTTGGCACATATGGATCACTTTATTAGGTCAAAGAATGCGAGAGCTATGTCATACAAGTATTACCCACATTACACTCGTATAATAAATCAAAGTTTTTATTTTATTTAGCGCTGATTTTTCAATCGTCGGATAACTTTTAACTAAAGAATTAAGTTTGGCACAGTCATTGACAGTTTTAGTATGGGAAATACAGGGTGTTACAGGTTTTTTACTATTAAAGTAATAGTTAAAATTTTATTTATATTTTTCCTGTCATTATTTTCATGTATACTCAGTATACTTCCACCCCTGAGATGGGCGTTGTTTTACAAAACCACACCCTGTATGTCAAAATGACAAGGTTTATTCTTCAGCTAAAAGATATCTGACGATTGAAAAATCAGCCCTTTAAGGATGAAGGAAAAAGATAAATCGAAATTATTCCATCATTAAATAAGATGACCTAAATCTTTTCTCCAATTAGTAAGCTTGTATCAGCACTGTTGATTTACTAAATGACTTGATTAGCTCCAACTCCAGTATCTAAATTAGCTTCCACTTGGCTAGTCCACTTTCCTCCCACTAAACCGGCCAATTCCAGTGGAGTGCGTGGAAAGCGCTGCGGCGTGGTTCGCGACGCGCCTGCGCAAGGCCATGCAAGGAATGGGCACCGACGACCGCACGCTCATCCGCATCGTCGTCAGCCGCAGCGAGATCGACCTCGGCACCATCAAGCGGGAGTACGAACGCCTCTACGATAAAACCTTGGAGAGCGAGATTAGGGTATGCGTTTGTTGCGTTGCAAGTCCACTCCACAGGTCCCAAAACTCAAGGTCTTCAACGGCAGCGTGTCGCCATTAGCAGCCTCCAAAACCCCGGTATGTAGTTTCTTCTCTGTTTTCCAGTGGAGTGCGTGGAAAACGCCCCGGCCTGGTTTGCGCAGCGCCTTCGCAAGGCGATGGAAGGCGCGGGAACGGAGGACAAGGCCCTCATAAGAATCATCGCGAGCCGCGCTGAGATAGACCTCGGCAATATCAAACAGGAGTACGAGAGTATCTACGATAAGACGCTGGAGAGCGACATCAAGGTCGGTGCGGTTTTTATTACGTTCTGTGGTGGTATTTGAGTTTGCTAGTTATTTTTTGTTAGGCTTGTACAGACGATGACCTAGGAAAGCTAAAGGTCTTAAATGTCAAGCTCGGACCTCACACAATAAAAAAATAATACAGCTCGGTTGATCAAATATTTTAGTGGCAACACCGTGTGTTCATTGGTTGGTTCACACCATTTTCTACTGTGTAAAAAGAATACTTATTTTTATAGTCAAGTATCATATTCAACTAGCTATTTATTAAATGCTCGATTAGTTAGTTATTCGAACTCAAATACTGCCACTAGCTTTTTAGCTCGATCTCAGTCCACTGCACTTATAATCCAGCACATCACTAGCATGAAAGTAATGCTTCAATATCTACAAAAATATAACATTGCATGCAGTGCATACATTCGTAGCTCTATAATACGCTTTCCATGTCGTACTCGTACAAATTACATTACTTTTATGTTGTCATGTGTCGATTATAATGGTTTTAACATTATTTTTATGTCGCTACTTTGGTGGTTTGGAAACAGGAGGTGAGATATTCGTTATTGTTATTTTATTTTTATATTTAGTTATCTGTTTGTACGTTTTGTAATTATGTTTGAGTGAAAAAAGGTGAACACGTTTACACATTGATCGTAAAATTATTTAAGGGTTGCTGTAATTTCATAATCATGAATAATCTTAGTTACAGAACTTTTCAACTTCACAATAATTTGGTAGATCACAAACTAAGACAGAAATCATGATAATCATACAGATTTTAATAATTTCAGGCATTAGCAACCCATAACTTATTCACGCAAAACTATTTCAATAATCTTGCAAGTAAATAACGCACAATTTCAACCTTCTTCCACAATACTAATTCCGCCGCGTTTCTTTCCCGCCGCATGCGCATCGCCCGCCGCTGCCGCCATCTACCGGCTCCGCACTACATTACCCGTTTGTTCCCGCGGCGCCGCAGCAGGGAGAGACATCTGGAGACTACAAGAGGGCCCTCGTCGCACTCCTTGGACCGGCGTAGAGGATGCAAGGAGGATGCACAGTACCATAGACAATTATCTGATCAGATAAATAATAAGTATCTTNAGTCTTTTCAGTGTGGCCTAAAGAAATAGAAGTTTGAAAATGTCATGTGTGAGGTGCAAACAAAAATTAAAGAGCACAAAAACCAAACTTGGTGTGTATTTCGCGAAATTCTGTTGAGCTATTATCATCAGATCAGATAAGTTGGCGCTGTGTAAATAACAGTAAGTTATGGAAACACTTTCTTTTCGGTGTCTTATGTCTAAATGTCGTGTAGATGTTGCCAGTGTTAAAAATACAATTCCTTAGAGAGCTAACTTCTTATACAATTTTAAAACGTTTTACATTATTATTATTAGTAAGATTCTTGATCAGCTTTCGGGCTACAATTTACATAAGCGAATTGATGTTGTATTTCTTTTGTATTGATATTATTATGTCTGTTTTCTGTTGAAACAGGTGTTACTCATATTGTAATTTGGTTATAATGTAGTTGCTACGTTAAATATTTGAATCTGATTGGGAAGTATTATTACTAATTTATTTATTGGATATTGTTTCTAATGTTGATTTTTCTCAAGCTGTATCTCGAATACGCTTACTGTGCTCGTGTCGCGTAGGTGTATACGTGTATAGGTGTATAGTTTTCAAGTGATAGACAGTTGCAGAAATATGCTGTATTATAGACTGTATCAAATATAGCCTATAATATAGAGCTTTTGCCTTCATGCAGTGCCTTGAGATTGTATTATTTGTCAATTGATAATATTAAAATTTTATTGATGTTGATTTTTCTTAGAATTTTATTAAAATTACATCCTGACTGAGAGCCATAATATAACATTCCCCTTGTTTAAGTTTAGCTTTAATTTTTATTTTCTTACATCACAATAAATAAGATATAGTAATGTCGCGTTTTATTACATACCTTTTCCAAATTTGTTTTGTGAGAAATCAAATGCATTGCTTCATCATAAACTTATATATATTCACATCTTCGTGATGGCCGGTTGTCGGCCACCGCACGTAACAGCCATTCTTAGTCAACAGTATAATAATCCGGAGTAAATACAAAGTAAATAAACCTGCACAACGCGCTGCGTGCGCGCATCCGTATCTTACGAGTACTATCTTCTACGACATTCAAAGCGATGTTATTTGCAAAGTAAATAGACGATATGTTTTTAATTATTTTTCTGTTTTATACACACATTTGGTTTATTATGATTAAATATATTTTTAAGATGTAAAGGCAGTAGTAAGTTCGATGGGGCACCGTCTGTGGTTCATCAGCAGTGTTCACAGGAGTTAACGAAACTATGGTGTATTTTCTTTAGGTTCATTAAATTAGGGACTTACAGACTTCAGATAGCATGGTCATGCATGCCCTTCTACTTAGATATAATACCACCTTTTGTTAACTACCTGTTTAAAAAGTACTGTTGAGTTTCTGAACACTTGTCAAGTCTCGCAAACGACTTCGGCACAGAAGGCCGCGTACATCAAATGTACCAACATTATTATGAGTAGCTAAATAATAATCATCAGAATTGGTCACAAAGAATAGTGGCAAAATTGGCAAACAATTTATAAATATGTACACGAATTGCCGCATCACATCACACGATAATTTCGCTAAGTCTGCAACGAAAACATTAAAACTAATAATTTTATACAAAGTATACATCATAAGTAACGCTAAGGAACATACTACGAAGATTCGATCGCGGCTATATGATCGAATTGTAATCGTTAGACAAGTCCTAAATGGGACAGGGACACCTTTCATACGGATAAAAAGAATTCGGCACCATTCTAAAGGACTTATTCGTAAAAGTTTGAACTATATTAAAAATGTAGGTACGTTAAATATAAGATATTGATTTCATGTATTACACATCTTTTGCTGTGCGAGTTTCATTTGTTATTCAAGAACTTTCTCGCCCTCTAAATGATTTATAATTTTCAGAATCTTCGATAGATAAAAACATGATGAATTACGTTTGAAACGGTCTAATACAAACAATATTCTTGTATGTATGCTAGTAGAAGACTTACATTGTCGATTCTAATTTGTGCTCTGTTAACATCGATTAAATTACAGAGTATAAGATTAAACTATTACAATTTGCGCATAGTTCTCTCTTATTTGATGCACAATCGGATTTATATTTGAAGACAAAGCCTTTAATTAAATCCCGCTAGAATAAAATTCTTTCATAGGGTAGTTGACAACGACACAGCTTCATTTATCATGATAATAACTTTCGGTCCCCACGTTTTATGTATGGCAACACATACAATTAATAATTTTATAATACAAGATATTTTATAATTTCATTACTTTAATCATTTAATAAGAGATCGCATTTTGATACGCTTTAAAATCTCAATCGACTAGACCGTCAACTACCCTATATTCTACCATCAATAAGGCGGTTATCACACTGCGCCGCGCTCCGCCGCGGAGCGACAGATTTAATCATTGTATGCAAGTACCTCAGTTTGTATAGAAAACACGCGCGGCACTTCACACTGACAACGCGTCCGCGCGCGTGATTTTTTCTCCGTGGCGGAGCGCGGCGCAGTGTGATAACCGCCTAACTTTTGAAATATACCTACAAGACAATTTTGTAAATAAACTGGCTATACAGGGTGAACTTTAAGAGAGTCGTTGGGGAAAGTCCATAACTTCCAGCGATAAAAGGCCTTCAGAAACAATCGATCATTATGATTGAAAGAGATGCAAAAATTAGATTATTTTATGTAAAAGTACAAGTATTTACAATTCGAAAAAACTTTGAAAGCCTTAGAATTTTCAATCGAATAGCCCTTGGACTTAGACCTTTCAAGAAATAATTTAGAATGTCAATCTAGTTTTCCAAAATTTTAATGATTAGTTATAGTCTGGTCTGTGAGCACGTAGAATTTTGTCCAATGACCCCAAGCTACCCATCCTTATCGCTCGCGCGAAATTATGTTGCTGTCGCGACTGTGCGATAGGCGCCCGCAGTGAGTGTGCGAGCGCGACAGCAACATAATTACGCGCGAGCGATAAGGATGGGTAGCTTGGGGTCATTGGACATAATTCTACGTGCTCACAGAACGGGCTTTAGACGAAGTTCCAAGAACGGTCCCCCCGATGTCAAGCCCCATGTCCGCTGCGCTCCGGTCCGCTCCGCTCCGCTGCGGTCCGCTCAGTCGTTGGCGCCGAAGAGTTTCTCTCGCAGCAGCGACAGCGGCACGATCTGCTCGTTGCCGAGCGCCGGTTGTTGCTGCTCCGCTTTGGATTGCTCACGGAGTTCTGCAAATGGAAACACTTATTGTAAACGTCATAAAAGTAATTTGAAGTTCCAATTAAAGAACGACCATTTCTGGTTAAAGGTCTTCCCCAAGGATTTTCACAATGTCCGATGTAGCGTCACCCGCATCTGGTGTTTTCCGCACCCTTCACTAGATCGTCGGTTTACCGCGCAGTAGAGTATTATGGTAGCTAAAGTCTGCCTCAATAGCCTATCGAGATTTTTGTGGCTGCTAAAAGCTTTTCTGCCCCAACTGCCATCAATTCTACGAGCTATGTGCTCCGCCCAACATCACTTAAGTTTGGGAATTACGTGGGCATGTTTGATTCTCCTACGGATCAAAATGAGCATTTGACGCAGACCGTCCCATTCGCAAAATGCGTCACACTCAGATAAAAGTTAAACCATTTTTGAAATACTATTTCAACTTGTAGGTTGAAAATGCCATTTTACGAATGGTAGATTTTTTTTACATTTTTGAATTTGTGACGAAATGCGAATGAGATGATGTGCGTCAAATCCGTGCTAGGGTTACGGGACTATTCCCACCGCTGCAACTCCTGTGTAGCCAGGATCTACAGCTTGACCGCCAATAAAAATCCAACCAGTGAAGGTCAAGTTTGTCCCGGGAGAAAGTTAGACTGTCATTGCGTCGCTTGCCTCTCTGACGTAACTGACATTTTGCAAATTTTTCAGGCGATTAGACAGATCGATTCGTCTTGCAAAATTGATTAAGATGGTGTAGAGAACTCAGTTTCGAAAAAAATGTCAGATACGTCAGTTAGAGAGGCAAGCGACGATTGGATCCACAACGAAATTAATCAGAAGAACATAGGAGGAGTTCGAAGTTAAGGTTCTTCTTCTTCTTTGTTCTTGGCAGTACTCGTCGTTGGCCGACTTGATTTGTGCCATTTTCATGCGAGTGTGGGACGAGTTATGAAGTGGGACCAAGTGGAAGTTAAAGTTCGACTAGGCCGCCCATGCTAGGTTAATATTTATTAATGTTGACCTGAATAATAAATTAGTAGGACCTAACTGGCACTGCTTACCACTTGATATTTAACCTGACATTTCAACACTTGACAATAATTAGCATGACATTTTAACAATATTTTTCCATTTTAATAATTCATTAATTCTATCTTTATTTTATAATTATCGAAACGTTTAAAAATGACATTTCCACCAAACTCAATGTGTACATTAATTTCTTTTGAAACTATTAAGATCGTCGTTCTGTCTCCTTCCTAAAGTTGCTGTGCCCTAACTGGGTCCACATTGTATAACTGCCTAAATTGTAAGACCTAATGTGAATGCTAATGTGGTTATGCAATAAACGATTGAGTATTGCTAGGGTTGTCACGTACCGTGCCAGCGCTGCAGCAGGCGGCTGTAGTGCGCGGCGCGCTCGTGGCGCTTGAGCTGCGTGAACACGTTGACGAGCCCGCGGTAGTCGTACTCCAGCCCGGAGTAGCGCTCGCCGAACAGCTTCAGGCCTGCAAGCACAATAGACAGTTTGACACCATTCCCCAATAATTCGAAATCACAACTTTTCTAAAAAGACACTTCATTCTGGCCTTAAAAACTTAATTAATTTTAAATTACCCGTAAATTACGATTTTTGGTCGCAATATAATTGTAAAAAAATAAACTTTTTTAAAAACAAGCTTTTATTCTGAATTTCGAAAGCTTGTATCGCGCATGGAATTTATTCCTCTTTTTCTCTGTTTGCGCTACAAGCTTTCGAAATTCAGAATAAAAGCTTGTTTTTAAAAAAGTTTATTTTTATTATAATTTTATTTTACACTTTTTAGTTATATCTTAATCTTAGGACCCTGGACATTATCTAACAGTAAAGTGCTTGAAAAGACAAATCCAACGAACCCAAACTCGACGAGTTTCCGCCGTTTTGTTTAGGAGTTCCTATGGCCACCTCCCGACTCCATCATCAGTCCAGCTCAATGGTACCATAATATTGCATTGTCATCGTACTTACATAAGTATACCAAATTTCAGCTCAATCGGTTGAGGAGAACTGGTCTTAAATTCAGTTGCAAGATTTGTCCCACACATACTAACAAGTGAAGTCAATATAAAGCTTGTAATAATAAAAAAGTAGTTTATTTGAGAGTTAAAATAGTGACGTCACTTGCTTGTAGTGCCATACAAAAACTATGGGAGTGTTTCGTTTTGACAGTTTTAAAAAGTACGTCAATTGATTGGAGGTGTCGCACTATGTGACGAAAGGCCGATCTAGATGGACAATATTATTTGACAATATTAATTAGCTTTAAAGGAGGTATNTAAGTTGCTCACATGGAATAATGGCAACACTTTCTTTTCGGTGTCTATGTCTAAATGTCGTGTAGATGTTGCCAGTGTTAAAAATACAATTCCTTAGAGAGCTAACTTCTTATACAATTTTAAAACGTTTTACATTATTATTATTAGTAAGATTCTTGATCAGCTTTCGGGCTACAATTTACATAAGCGAATTGATGTTGTATTTCTTTTGTATTGATATTATTATGTCTGTTTTCTGTTGAAACAGGTGTTACTCATATTGTAATTTGGTTATAATGTAGTTGCTACGTTAAATAATTGAATCTGATTGGGAAGTATTATTACTAATTTATTTATTGGATATTGTTTCTATTGTTGATTTCTCAAGCTGTATCTCGAATACGCTTACTGTGCTCGTGTCGCGTAGGTGTATACGTGTAGATGTAAGAGTACATAGTTTTCAAGTGATAGACAGTTGCAGAAATATGAAGTATTATAGACTGTATCAAATATAGCCTGTAATATAGAGCTTTTGCCTTCATGCAGTGCCTTGAGATTGTATTATTTGTCAATTGATAATATTAAAATTTTATTGATGTTGATTGTTTTTAGAATTTTATTAAAATTACATCCTGACTGAGAGCCATAATATAACATTCCCCTTGTTTAAGTTTAGCTTTAATTTTTATTTTCTTACATCACAATAAATAAGAAATAGTAATGTTGCGTTTTATTAAATACCTTTTCCAAATTTGTTTTGTGTGAAATCAAATGCATTGCTTCATCATAAACTTATATATTCACATCTTCGTGGTGGCCGGTTGTCGGCCACCGCACGTAACAGCCAATCTTAGTCAACAGTATAATAATCCGGAGTAAATACAAAGTAAATAAACCTGCACAACGCGCTGCGTGCGCGCATCCGTATCTTACGAGTACAATCTTCTACGACATTCAAAGCGATGTTATTTGCAAAGTAAATAGACGATATGTTTTTAATTATTTTTCTGTTTTATACACACATTTGGTTTATTATGATTAAATATATTTTTAAGATGTAAAGGCAGTAGTAAGTTCGATGGGGCACCGTCTGTGGTACATCAGCAGTGTTCACAGGAGTTAACAAAACCTTGGTTAATTTTTTCTTTAGGCTCATTAAATTAGGGACTTACAGACTTCAGATATCATGGTCATGCATGCCCTTCTACTTAGATCTAACACCACCTTTTGTTAACTACCTGCTTAAAAAGTGCCGTTGAGTTTCTGAACACTTGTCAAGTCTCTCAGACGACTTCCGCACAGAAGGCCCCGCGTACATCAAATGTACCAACATTATTATGAGTAGCTAAATAATAATCATCAGAATGAGGGCTATCGTATTTATACTTAACAGTTGGCACCCCTGGCGATTGACAGGACCTTACTCTACAGTGGCGCCATCTTGATGAGTGCAAATGCGATAGTCCTCCTACCACTTTAGCGCTCACAAGTTGGCGCCACTGTCTTCGCTACTAGCAAGTGACAAGACCTTACTCAACAGTGGCGCCAACTGGTGAGCGCAAAAACGATAGCCCTCATTGGTCACAAAGAATAGTGGCAACATTGGCAAACAATTTATAAATATGTACACGAATTGCCGCATCACATCACACGATAACTTCGCTACGTCTGCAACGAAAACATTAAAACTAATAATTTTATACAAAGTACACATCATAAGTAACGCTAAGGAACATACTATGAAGGTTCGATCGCGGATATATTATTATGATCGAATTGTAATCGTTAGACAAGTCCTAAATGGGACAGGGACACCTTTCATACGGATAAAAAGAATTCGGTACCATTCTACAGGACTTAATCGTAAAAGTTTGAACTATATTAAAAAATGTACGTTAAATATAAGATTTTGATTTCATGTATTACACATCTTTTGCTGTGCGAGTTTAATTTGTAATTCAAGCACTTTCTCGCCCTCTAAATGATTTATATTTTTCCACAGAATCTTCAATAGATAAAAACATGATAAATTACGTTTGAAACGGTCTAATACAAACAATATTGTTTAATGTATGCTAGTAGAAGACTTACATTATCGATTCTAATTTGTGCTCTGTTAACATCGATTATATTACACAGTATAAGATTAAACTATACAATTTGCGCATAGTTCTCTCATATTTGATGCACAATCTGATTTAGGTATATTTGAAGACAAAGCCTTTAATTAAATCCCGCTAGAATAAAATTCTTTCGTAGGGTAGTTGACAACAACAGTTATTTTTCGAAGTAAAGTGAGCTTCATTTATCATGATAATAACTTTCGGTCCCTACGTTTTATGTATGGCAACATACAATTAATAATTTTATAATACAAGATATTTTATAATTTCATTACTATCAAGAGATCGCATTTTGATACTCCTTGAAATCTCAATCGACTAGACCGCCAACTACCCTATTTTCTACCATGAATAATTTTTGAAATATACAAGACAATTTTGTAATTGCGCTATACAGAGTGAACTTTAAGAGATCTGTCGTTGGGGGAAGTTCATAACTTCCAGCGAAAAAAGGCCTTCAGAAACAATCGATTATCAATAAAAGAGATTGCAAAAATTAGATTATTTTATGTAAAAGTACAAGTATTTACAATTCGAAAAAACTTTGAAAGCCTTAGAATTTTCAATCGAATAGCCCTTGGACTTAGACCTTTCAAGAAATAATTTAGAATGTCAATCTAGTTTTCCAAAATTTAAATGATTAGTTATAATCTGGTCTGTGAGCACGTAGAATTTTGTCCAATGACCACAAGCTACCCACGTAATTATATTACTGTGCGACGGGCGCCCGCAGTGAGTGTGCGAGCGCGACAGCAACTTAATTACGCGCGAGCGATAAGGATGGGTAGCTTGGGGTCATTGGACATAATTCTACGTGCTCACAGAACGGGCTTTAGACGAAGTTCCAAGAACGGTCCCCCCGATGTCAAGCCCCATGTCCGCTACGCTCCGGTCCGCTCCGCTCCGCTGCGGTCCGCTCAGTCGTTGGCGCCGAAGAGTTTCTCTCGCAGCAGCGACAGCGGCACGATCTGCTCGTTGCCGAGCGCCGGCTGCTGCTGCTCCGCTTTGGATTGCTCACGGAGTTCTGCAAATGGAAACACTTATTGTAAACATCATAAAAGAACTTGAAAATTATAAATAACTTGAAAGAATCGAACTGCCTAAGGCTATTGAACCCACGACCTTCCGCTTGCCGGGCGACTGCTCTTCCAACTGAGCTACTCGTTCGAAGGTCGTGGGTTCAATTCCCGCCTTAGGCAGTTCGATTTTTTCTAATTAATTATAATTTTCAAATTAGTTTGAGATACGACTCTTAACGCTAAAAATTAAATAACTATCATAAAAGAACGACCATTTCTGGCTAAAGGTCTTCCCCAAGGATTTTCACAATGTTCGGTGCAGTGCCGTCCGCATCTAATGTTTCCCGTGTCCTTTACCGAAGTACCCTTTATCGTCGGTTTACCGAGCTGTAGAGTATTGTGGTAGCTAAAGTGTGCCCCAATAACCTATCAGATCTACGAGCTATGTGCTCCGCCGAACATTACTTAAAAAAAAGAACATTACTTAATAAAAGTTTATTTAACAACTTTAACATTTTTTACATTGCTTACATTGCATTGTTGTACATACATTTCCTTAAAGACCCGTTTAATGCTAAGGTTGTACCGACATACGCTTCAGTTCATAAAGTAACTGAGATTTCTACGCTAGGCTAAGCCTGTCATGTAGACAATCTTTTGTCACAAGTTAACAAAATTGTTTATATCATATGCGACCTCAACTGTCAGTCCACAACGAAAAAGAAAAATTATGAAAATTATAATATTTATGCATGCATAATTGGACCGTGTTTGTGTGTGTGTGTGTGTGTGCGTGCGTGCGCGAACGTACTTTGTTGTATACATATAGGTAAGAAGGTAAGATAATATATTTATACGTATACTTACGTTCGGGAATTACGTGAGCAATGTCGCTTTGGTTCTCCTACGGATCAAAATGAGCATGTGCTGGGGGGATTTGACTCAGACCGTCCTATTCGCAAAATGGTCACACTCAGATAAAAGTTAAATCTTATCATTTTTGAAATTATAGCTTTTTTTTAAGATTATGTATTTAGTAATTTGTTATTGCACAAATTCCGTTAGTCCCTCGTACTTAGCTAAATATGCTTGTCACGAGTGAGCTCACCACAACAGTCGAGCGGCGGCGGGGTTCGAACCTGCGTTCCTCGGATCACGAGTCGGAGTCGGCCAGTCCGACCCCTTCACCGTTCGGCTATCGTAGCTTGCAGGTTGAAAATGTTAAACAACTTTTATCAGAGTATACAGGATGTTAGGTAAATGGGTATATGAGCCGACACTAGCCCATGTTAACATGGTCATATAAATGGTATGGTGAAGTCAGAAAATTGATATCTTCATTTTAATTATTGTAATTTTCATACAAATCGGATTTTATAAATTTTATTTTGTATGAACATTAAAAAAATTTAAATGATGATATCAAATTTCTGACTTCACCATACCATTTATATGACCATGTTAACATGGGCTAGTGTCGGCTCATATACCCATTTACCTAACACCCTGTAGTATGTCCATTTTAGAATTCGTGACGTAATGCGAATTACAGTTTGCGTCAAGCCCTCGCTAGGGTTGCCACTCACCGTGCCAGCGCTGCAGCAGGCGGCTGTAGTGCGCGGCGCGCTCGTGGCGCTTGAGCTGCGTGAACACGTTGACGAGCCCGCGGTAGTCGTACTCCAGCCCGGAGTACCGCTCGCCGAACAGCTTCAGGCCTGCAAGCGTATACAATCAGGAATCAGAAAGAGAGAAAATAACTTTATTTTGGCAACAACAGATTCAGACAACAAAGACATACCCAAAAAAATAAAATAAAAAACTAATCAGCATCATCTTTATCAGATCATTCAGTCTCCACAAGAGCAAAACAAAGGCATTTAGAACCATAGTCGTAAAAAAATCTGACAAGTTTTATTAATATAGTTCCAAAATACTGAACTGTCCTATCCATGACATTGACAGTGGGGCGCCACCGTCAATACCGGATCGCTGGTTCCGATTTTTGCCATGTTGGAAACCATATAGTTGAACGATGGTAGCGCCCCCCTGTCATTGAGTTTGGTGGGACAGTTCAGCGTGGGTCATCTATACAGTTTTTTAGCAATCAAATGTGATGGAAGTTTGTCAACCTTGATGCACAAAGTAGCATCAAGAGTATACACAGCTTTTGGTTTAAGGAGGGAGACAGATTTTAAACTCTTAGCCCCTTACTATTAAAACTTACACGCTCGTTGAACAGTAGTTTAGTATGGAAATGTCATCATAAAACAGTGTTCAACAGCTGTGTAACTTTTTATTAGTAAGAGGGTTTCTCACTTCGTCGCGTAGCGTGGGGTTACGTACTATCGGGGACNGCTGGCTACAAACCCATCTCTAGAGGTATCTATTGATGATTTGACTATATATAGCAAAAACAGTCATAATTGCATTCAGTTTTGGTGCATTTAACGCTATAATACATAAACCAGTATACGTTGATACACGGTTATAAAGAATTACTACCTGATAGGAGGTCCTGTCAGCTTAAAATGGACATTTTTCTAAGAAGAAAAACAAAGCTGAATTCTTTATGGCAATTGAAAATAAATGTAAAGGATGAGTGAATAAAAATATAGAATGCCATGCCAGCCACTTTCCAGCCAATTGTTACAACAAATTCGGGAAATGTTCATTTCAATATTTCATAACTCCTCCGTTACCTCGTAAGTTTCGTATTTTATCGAAATATTCATTCCGCTTATTTTTTTCATTTTTGGGATATTTTATCCATTGTTCGTAGAACTCCCTTCGGAGTATAATATTACGTATTCTGAAAAAAAAAAGAATGAAAAAAACATTTTGGCATCAGCTTTACTAAAAAAATTGACAAGGTTCCGCACCAGTCCGCACTTTCTAATTTACTTTGAACAATACAATATGAATGAGACTACAACATATTTAAGTTGCAGCCATGGTACAACAAAGTACATGTAGTTTCTGGTCCAACAAACACAAAGTTCGCGTTAAAAATGTAATATCCATCACATTCGACAGCTATATTTTCGGCAACTGTAAAGTTATTTGCAATGTGAATGAATAAAAATGGTAGTTCTTACCATCAACTTCACGATCCATCATTAACTTTAGCACAATTAATTTTATAAACACTTTAAAATAGCGACAGACCAAATGCAGAAAAGTGAATGATTTCTTCATGAATTCCACCCGTAATGACACTTCAAAAATATTTATTAATTTATTGGAGGGTACTTGCACAAAATTATCACCAGAATCGTGACCTCCAGATAGTCGGCTATCGATTTTGCTAGTGTTATTGGAGATTTGAGTTAACCCTTTTTGTCCATCTAGATCGGCCTTTCGTCACATAGTGTGTCGACACGTTTATAGATGACCCTCGCTGAACTGTACCACCAAACTCAATGACAAGGGGGCGCTACCATCGTTCAACTTTATGGTTTCCAACATTGCAAAAATCGGAAACAGCGATCCGGTATTGACGGTGGCGCCACTGTCAATGTCATGGATCATTGAGTTTGGTGGGACAGTTCAGCGTGGGTCATCTATAGGTACATATATTATCAAGTCATTCAGTCTCCACAGGAACACTACCAAAATAACAAAATCATAGTTAAAAAAAATTCGAACAAGTGATACAGACAGCATTTTTTGGTTTTTGGCACCCAATGGCGATTTAAAACTTCATCATTTGCATCAAGATACGAGTACATAACTTTTACTTTAGCATGCGCTGTTTATACATACTATTTTTCAATACAGATTCCCCGCACAAGTTTTAAGGCTTCCACAGACCAAACGCGGGTCAGAAACAGTGCGGGTCAGTTGCAGCGCGGCTGAGGCACACTGAAAGCAGCGCAGTTTCAAAGCAGTTGCAACGCGGGTGTTTGTCAAAAATTCAATATTCGAAAACCGCTTTCAACGCGCTGCTACCGCCCTGCCTCCGGTGTGTCATGCTAATATGGCCGCCATAGTAATACAACAGCGCGGGCCTGCGTTCGCGCCGCCTGGTTTGTCGTTCGGTAGTTGCAGTGCGGCGCGGCGCGGAGTGGTTGGAGCGCGGGCCCGCGTTCAAACTGCGCTGCTACTGCCCCGCGTTTGGTCTGCCCAAGCCTTTAGTGGGGGCCCTTAGAACAAAACATGTCAGTACGTCGAGTCATATTTTATAGGGGGGAGAGGGGAACAGTGGCTCGGTTACTTACTGATGGCGATGGATCGCAGGTAGAGTGTCTCGGCGGCGACGTGCATGTTCATGTGGTAGTTGTAGAGCGAGGCCAGGAGAATATCACACACAATGTCCCCTTATAGGGGGAGAGGGGAACAGTGGCTCGGTTACTTACTGATGGCGATGGATCGCAGGTAGAGTGTCTCGGCGGCGACGTGCATGTTCATGTGGTAGTTGTAGAGCGAGGCCAGGAGAATATCACACACAATGTCCCCTTATAGGGGGAGAGGGGAACAGTGGTTCGACACTTACTGATGGCGATGGATCGCAGGTAGAGAGTCTCGGCGGCGACGTGCATGTTCATGTGGTAGTTGTAGAGCGAGGCCAGGTGCCCGATGCTGAGCCCCACCTCGTAGTCCTCCGGCCCGAGCAGCTCCTCCTTGATGGCGATGGCTTTAAGGTGCATCGTCTCCGCGTCCTGGAGAATATCACACACAATGTCCCCTTATAGGGGAGAGGGGAACAGCAGGGCCGGATTAACCATCTCGGGGCCCCTAGGCACAGCTCGTTTCGGGCCCCCCTTTGCTGCCGGGTGCCCTGCTGGGCGGCCCTGCCGGGGGACAGGGTGGTGTGTGGGACTCAAAAGGACGGGGTATACCCACTAAAACCTCCGCGGCGTTCCGTCATCGCCCAAGTGGGGGTGTCGCGAGTGTCCGGCCGTAGCCTTAGACTTCTGCGACACCACCGGCGACAGCTCGCCTACACGGCGGACCGTACACGCCCACCTTGAGGGGGGCCGACGGGAATGGCCCGAAACGCCAAGCCGTTCCCGTCAGACGGAGGTGACAAGGGTGCCCCCGCACCCCCAGCCTGCTGGCCGCCACCTGGAGGGAGAGTGGAACGGTCGTACAACCGCCTTCTCCACCCCCTTCTCCGCCTGCGGAGCGATGAGGCGAGAGGATCGTACTTCCGCTCGCGCTCCGCTGCCTCTTTCTGAAGGATGACCTCTTCGCAAAAGGAGGCGACCGCTATCCAGCATCCTTCACTTCCCAGCATGGCGTTGACCAGGCTTGGAAGCGAAAGATCCCGGCCCACGACCGCAGTGAGGACACGGCCCTACTCCTCCCAGCTTGTGCAGACCGCGAGGGTATGCTGCACCGCCTGCACCGTGTCATCCGCCGCGCCGCATTTGTGACACAGCGGGAATTCCTCTCGCCCGATCCTATGCAGGTACGAACCGAAGCAGCCATGCCCGGTCAGCACCTGCGCCAGACGGAACGTGAGAAACCCGTGCGGTCGTTCCAACCATTGGTCCAGAACAGGACCAATGGCGTCCAGAGTGCGGCGGCCAAACTGCGCGCGAGTCATGTCTTCCTTCCAGCGGTCGATCATGATCTCGCGCGCTTCCTGCCTGACGGCGCCGCGCCGTTCCGGGGTCGGGCGCTTTCCACGCGCCTTCTGGTCTGCCATTCAGTGATAGATGACAGACAAGAATCCAGCTTCTAGCTCCCAATGAGAAGTACCAGCGAGGACGCACGCCGCAGCGTGCCCTACCGTTCGGTAAGTCCTTGCGACTTTCTGCGCTATGGGCCTATGGCCCGCTGGGGCCTGCGCAGAAATCACAAGTCCTACCTATGGCACCCCCTAGTATTTTGGGGTTACCTACCGATTCAAAGATTGAAAGACAATCGCACCCCCACCCCCCCGCATCATGACATATAGACCGCAGATTTGCCATGCAGATGTGCCAGTGAGTACTAATCTGCGCGACTTGTGTCACCCCCTGATGGTTGGCACCCGGGGCGGACCGCCCCCACCGCCCCCCCCTTACGCCGCTACTGAGTATGGTGGAATGAGGGATGGTATTGAAAGCGTTGGCTATATCGAATGATACAGCATACAGCCAACACACCCTCAGTCATCCCTAGCCTCCGCAGTGAGGCTTTTTAGCCTCTGAAGGATGTCGACGGTCGACCTGTCATGTAAACCAAAGCAGTAATGCCAACACGTTAAAATGAATTAGGTTCCACAATATCGAAATAATTATGACGATTGAATGTGTAAACCAAAATAAGACGAAGTTTTAAGGTGGTTTGAGTTTTGTTACATAAAAATAATCTTTAACATTTTTTTTTTAATTTTTTAATCGGGAGTGCTGGGCCCCTGGTCATAGTGGGCCCCTAGGCACTGGCCTAAAGTGCCTTATGGATAATACGGCACTGGGGAACAGTGGCTCGTCACTTACTGATGGCGATGGATCGCAGGTAGAGTGTCTCGGCGGCCACGTGCATGTTCATGTGGTAGTTGTAGAGCGAGGCCAGAGGTGGAATTGTGTAAAGCAATCGTAATCATTTGACAGTTCATAACGTACGATTATTCTGTCAAACGCTTTGTATAACTGACTTTATCGTACGTTATGAACTGTCAAATGATTACGATTGCTTTACACAATTCCACCTCTGGTGCCCGATGCTGAGCCCCACCTCGTAGTCCTCCGGCCCGAGCAGCTCCTCCTTGATGGCGATGGCTTTAAGGTGCATGGTCTCCGCGTCCTGGAGAATATCACACACAATGTCCCCTTATAGGGGAGAGGGGAACAGTGGCTCGGCACTTACTGATGGCGATGGATCGCAGGTAGAGTGTCTCGGCGGCGACGTGCATGTTCATGTGGTAGTTGTAGAGCGAGGCCAGGTGCCCGATGCTGAGCCCCACCTCGTAGTCCTCCGGCCCGAGCAGCTCCTCCTTGATGGCGATGGCTTTAAGGTGCATGGTCTCCGCGTCCTGGAGAATATCACACACAATGTCCCCTTATAGGGGAGAGGGGAACAGTGGCTCGGCACTTACTGATGGCGATGGATCGCAGGTAGAGTGTCTCGGCGGCGACGTGCATGTTCATGTGGTAGTTGTAGAGCGAGGCCAGGTGCCCGATGCTGAGCCCCACCTCGTAGTCCTCCGGCCCGAGCAGCTCCTCCTTGATGGCGATGGCTTTAAGGTGCATGGTCTCCGCGTCCTGGAGAATATCACACACAATGTCCCCTTATAGGGGAGAGGGGAACAGTGGCTCGGCACTTACTGATGGCGATGGATCGCAGGTAGAGTGTCTCGGCGGCGACGTGCATGTTCATGTGGTAGTTGTAGAGCGAGGCCAGGTGCCCGATGCTGAGCCCCACCTCGTAGTCCTCCGGCCCGAGGAGCTCCTCCTTGATGGCGATGGCTTTCAGGTGCATCGTCTCCGCGTCCTGGAGAATATCACACACAATGGTTAAAGAGGATTACTAATGTTTGGCCAAAAAACGTTTCCCAAATTATCACATCGCAAACGTTTCGCAAATTTTCATTTGGCAAAACAACTTATTGCAAACTTTTAATTCGCAAATGTGGTTTTTGGCATATTATTGTTTAGCAAATAATTGTTTGGCAAAGTATGTTTTGCCAAATGTTTTATTTGGCAAAAATATTTCACGATAAACTATTTACAAAATAATTTGATTGGTGCATAGAATGGAATACAAATTAGCTTGTTGTTATTATTTTGTTTAGTAGGTAGTTAAGATAAGTTTGTTCTAAATTAATTTTCATATTTCATTCTTTTTATCGAAATTTCTAAACGATTAATTAACAATAGAGGTGATTCTAGGGTCACTGTTCTAACCTAACCTACTATTTTCTGCAATACCTACTTTCTGCAACCATACTATTTTCTGCAATCTCTTTGTTTTACATAAAATTCTTGTGAAAACCATGATCATCTGCCTTATGCTTTGATTTGTGGGTAACGGTGGGTAAGTATGTGTCAATTTGACCAAATAAATTATTTGGAATATTATTATAATATTTGGCAAAATAAAACATTTGCCAAGTAAAATTTTGCCAAATGATAATTTGACCAAATGAATTACTTGAGAAAAGTACATTTGCTAAAAGTTCATTTGGGAAATGAAACTTTGGCTATAAGTTGTTTGCGAAGTGAAATTTGGCCAAACGGAAGGGATACCGGTTAAAGAAGACCCGGATGATTTCACGGCTCATCGAGGGCACCGTCAGGTTTTTAGTGGGAGGTAGGTAGGACCTGGTCGTCTGACAGTAAGAGCCCCACATAACCCATAAGATAAATCACGTTAACATTTTAACTGTTATAGTGAACACATTCTTAACACAAGCTAGTTATTAATTAAATTTCACAAATTAACCCTCGAGCTAAGCTATAAAATATGCTTGTGTAATAGTGGTTTCACCACAATAGTCCAGCGGCAATGGCATTCGACCTACCGACCCCCGACAGGTCCGGAATCGGCAGTCCGACATTTTAAATAATAATGGTGCGTTCACATTGGGCGAACGGGATTGCGCGGCACGCTGGTCATCCTGCCTGCTCACCCTGCTCTTGAGTGAGCAGGATGTCGAGTTTGCCGCGCGAGCCCGTTCGCCCAGTGTGGACGCACCATTACTCTAACAGTAACGCCTAAATAAATGGGGGAGGATCGTGCGGTGAAGCAAGCGTACTGTTGGGGAGAAGTGACTTACGCCCGTATTCACAAACGATACTTGCTTAACTGAAGCAGCAAATCGAACGCACAGCGTTGAATAGAGCCCTGTGATTGGTTTATGTGTCACCCTGTGCGTCCACGCGCACTGTGAAACCTCATAGTAATGTTTGTGAATACGGGCGTAAGGACCTGCGCGATCTCTCCTTCGATACCGTCGAGAGGTGGAGCAGAGTAGACCGTAATAAAGATTATTTTGGAAGATTCACTTTGAGTCGCTGCCACTTTAGTTAACAGTAAGGCCTCACCTGGAACTTCTGCATGCTCTGGTAGAGACGGCCGAGGTTGCCGTAGTGCTTGGCGGTCTGCACGTTGTTCTCGCCGAAGGCCATCATGGACAGCCGCAGCGCCGCCTTGTGCAGCGCCTCCGACTCCTCCAGCAGGCTCGGCTCTGTACAAGCGTATGATCAACCGTCGAGACGAAATATTCATGTGAATAGCGATTGTGAAAAGATATAGTACGAAACAACTGAATTGATACTTGACTATGTAGGTTCTAAGCGAAATGAAGCATAAATCTTTGTGGTGCGGTGGCAGTATAAGGGCTACCGTATTTGCACTCATTTTATGGCTGGGTTGTACCATCTTACTTTAACAAACGTCAAAAATCTGTCAAACTCCATACAAAAACACCGGTTATCATTAAAGTTACAGTCAAAGTTAGGTGGTGCAACTCAGCCTAAATACAGCGTTTAAACAGAAGTAAGTTCTTGCGGTACGGTAATAGGGCGTTGTGGGAGGAGTGACAAGTGATGTGACTGAATAGGGCTGTCGCGATAAATTCTGGAGCACATTGGTCCCGCTGACCTTTGACGTCACAAAAACTGCTACAGATTTTACAGTGACAAACCTTTAGACCGAGTTGCACCACCAAACTTTGATGGTTACTATAGCGATAACCGGTGCTTTTTGTATGGAGTTTGACCGATTTTTGACGTTTATCAAAGCTAAAGTAAGGTGGTGCAACCCAGCCTTTATGAAACTTCAATTGTCACCCCTTCGACAGGCTTAGCTTAGCCTGTAGTGACCGTCACTGTCGAGTCGTGATAGGATCTTATTTGACAGTGGTGCCAACCTGATGAGTGTAAATACGGCAGTCCTACCGCTTCATCGCTGACATGGCACCTCTCCCGATTATTTGAATTATTTCCAAGTTGTTTCGTACTATAACTATTATCGTAAAAAAACAGCACATTCCTTAATAAAATAAAAAAGCAAAAGAACGAAAAATTGCGAGTTCAATGACAACCAAAGTGAGTCGCACAAACTGCGGGATGCATTTTGATTTTAATTGCATGCTTATTTGTTAAAAAGCAAGCGCCAAATGTATTTCAGACTTACGGATCTTTATTTTTTTCCGTAACGTTGATGAAAATGTTAATTCTTTTTCACATGAATTAGATTAAGTTTTAGTCGAATTGAATATTTAGACTGCACTTCTATTGACAAACTTTGTGAATAGAAGTCCACTCTAAATTAATTAAATAAAGTGGAAAATCGTAACATTAAATATACCGAAATCATACGTTTGCTGATCTTTTACCAGTAATACACACACCCTTTAACCTCGAAAAATTATTACATGAAATGATAAAGCAACCAAGATAGGCGAATTAAGGATAGCAAAAAAAGTATATTACAAGGAACAAAATATTTGTAAAATTAATTTTATTAGAAATTATAGTATTTTTTTATTATTCTATTTAAAATTAACACAGATTAGCTCAATATGAGCGATAATAAAATAATATCAAATTGTCACACTTCTACTACAAAATAGTAACAGAGGGCTGAGTGTGAGTTTTTTTTTCAAACGCGCTCACTAGTGAGCGCATCAAAAAATGACATTAAATGTATGACGGATCCCGCCCTAGCGGGAAACTATCAAAAACTAAAATTTTCATACATTTTTTACGCTCACTAGTGAGCGCGTTTGATTACACTCACACTCAGCCCACAGAAGACAAGCGCGTCTCAGGTTGGCGGCATTTGTGGTCGCATTGGTTTATACTGGTTTGCTATTATTGGCAATGTGTCTTTGAGCGTTGTCTATGTGAGCGTTGTCTATGTGAGCGTTGTCTATGTGTGCGTTGCACGAGCGCACTTTGTATGTATATTGTCTTCTGCTCCTATCTATTTTGTGCTTCTACAGTGTTTCTGACAATTTACATACTTTTATTTTTTATTTGGTAAGAACTTAATTATATATTTTTTTAATTTTATTTTTATTGTAACTATTTCTAGTTTAATGTCAAAAATTGATAAGACTAGTCAAATTATAATTTAGGTCGAAAGGTGTCAATTATATGAGTTATTAGTAGTGATGCAACGAATACTACTTTTACGAATACGAATATTAAATCTAATATTCGGCGAATACGAATATCTCTACATTATCATGAAATACTCATAAATTTAACTCTTTTTATTGTGGTTGATGTTTTAGTAATTAACATTTACAAATGGCATTTTTTTTTGTCATTGTATCGCTGTACTTTGTAACTAATCACAAAACAAAATAATACTTGTACAATCGACCTGCTATTGACTGTCAAATTCCAGAGAACTTACTACTTGTTACATACTGACCGGGGTTTTCTCGTCGTGTCGTTGTGGCTAGAGTGTTCGGAGACACACACGTGTGAGACAAAATTTAAAAAAAGTAGGTATTCGTATTCGTAATTATTATTTCACCGAATAGGAATATTCGGTAAATGTCTACTATTCTGCGAATACGAATATTTGTATTCGTTGCATCACTAGTTATTAGTAGACACCTTTCGACCTTATCAGTTAAATTGGTCAGTTTCTTAATTTTTATTCATTTTTAGACTATTTTTACCTTAGATTATTTAAAATTTTCTTAGCCTATCCCACAGTTGCGGCGTGACTTTTATTCCTAGATTAATACTATCAGTCTAGATAGATTTTATTTTCATTTGGTAAACGGCCTACTCCGTTCTTCATTGTTGCGGAGTGACTTTTATTCCTAGATTAATACTATCAGTCTATAGTCTTTTCGCCGAGAGTTCATAAATATTATGAAATGTCTTGCAATAGCGACTGTCGCTTAATTATCGCATTCTGTATGGCGGGCGTCGTTTGTCACAACGCGCACTGAGTACCATGGTGCGAGCCACGCAGCTGTCGTCAAGCACCCCGGCCTGCGGGCCGCTATGTGTGAAATGCAATGTGTGAAACGGAATAGATTTATTTTACATAAGACCGAAATGAATGGTATGACAGTGGGCAGGACCTTGCCCAACATTGGGATACACTATAAGCCACATGATAATATTGAAATACTTTTTACCCAACACATGGACGCCACGTGTTTGATCCGTATCCCCACGTATGCCCTAACCGGAATAATTCCCGTAAATTTAAAAGAGATAATAATAATGATAATCTACCAACTTTTTCATTATATCGACAAAAATAATTAGCGGGCCGCAATTTATAATGAGTTTAGAACATCTGATATTTAATTTTTTTTATCAACTCTCGGCGAACAGACTATAGATAGATTTTATTTTCATTTGGTAAACGGCCTACTCCCTTCTTCATTATAAATCTAGAACTTAATTATGAACAGCTCTTGGCAACACTAATAGTAGAGGTAGGGGCACGGGTATGGCTGTAAATAGCGTTAAGAGAGCCTTAGCGAGATAGTTTTAAAGTTCAAAATCGGACGTTAGTAAGCTAGCTTTTAAGGCCCTAAATGGCAACTCTTGTAGTAGAGGTGGTAAGGGGGTTAAAGTGGCCCTTAGCCAGTTAACTTTAAGTTTAGAAATGGGTCTAGTTGTATCGGCAATATTTGTAGTATTGGCGGTTGATAGCGACTCTTACAAAGCTTGTGCTAGCGATCTCCTCCAAGATGAGCGCCATTACGAGCAATCATAGTTTAAACGGGTGAAACTGGTCGTTAGTAAGCTGACTTTAAGGTTCAAAATGAGTCTAGTTGTGTCGGCATCGCTTGCAGTAAATGTGCAAAGGACGGATGAGCGAGACAAGGCGCTGCGTACCGCTGCGGTTCTGTCGCGCGTGCGTACGGTTGATCACAATGGAAATGAGTGAAAGTGGCTCTTAGCAAGCTAGCTTTAAGGTTATAAATGGGTCTAAAGCCCGGTCCATGAGAAAGCCCGGTCCATGAGCACGTAAAATTTTGTCCAATGACCCCAAGCTACCCATCCTTATCGCTCGCGCGTAATTATATTGCTGTCGCGACTGTGCGACGGGCGCCCGCAGTGAGTGTGCGAGCGTGATAGCAACATAATTACGCGCGAGCGATAAGAATGAGTAGCTTGGGGTCATAGGACAAAATTCTACGTGCTCACGGACCAGACTATAGTAGTGGCAACGTTTGTTGTATCGGCGAGTATTGTAGGGGCGGTTGAAAGTGGCCTATAGCTAACTAGTATTAGATGTTAAAATACGATTAGAAATCTAATTATATCGGCAGCGCTTGCGGTAGATGTGCAAGGGCCGGACCCGCGATCGGAGGCGCTTGTGCATACCGCTAAGGTCCTGCCCGGCGGGCGTGTCGAGCGCGATTATTTGAAACGGGTCGTTAGTAAGCTAGCTTTAAGGTTCAAAATGAGTCGGTGTATCGTCAGTTAGTGCGAGGAATGGCAGTTGAAAGTGGCTCTAGTAAATTAGTTTTAGGGTTCAAAGTGGCTCTTACCACACTAGGTTTAGGGTTCAAAGTGGCTTTTACCACACTAGGTTTAGGGTGCTAAGTGGCTCTTAGTAAATTAGTTTTAGGGTTCAAAGTGGCTCTTAGTAGATTAGTTTTAGGGTTTAAAGTGGCTCTTAATAAACTAGCTTTGGGTTTAAAATGGCTCTTAGTAAGTTAGCTTCAAGGCTCAAAATGGGTCTAATTGTATCGGCAGCGCTTGCGGTTAATATGCAAGGGCCGGACCCGCGAGCGCAGGCGCTGGTGCATACCGCTGAGGTCCTGGCCGGCGAGCGCGATTATCGTTAATACGGGTGAAACTGACCCTTTTCTAGCTAGTTTTAAAGTCGAAAATGAGTCTGGTTCTATCGGCATTAGTTTGGGGAGGAATGGCAGTTGAAAGTGGCTCTTAGTTAACTAGCTTTAAGGCTTAAAATTGTCTAAATGGGTCTAGTTGTATCGGCAGCGCTTGCGGTAAATATGCAAGGGCCGGACCCGCGATCGCAGGCGCTGGTGCATACCGCTGAGGTCCTGCCCGGCGGGCGTGTCGAGTGCAATCTCCTCCAGAATCAGCGCCTTCACGCGCTTCGCTGAAGCCAGCAGCAGGTGGTCGGGGGGCACCAGGTTCTGGAGGAAAAAAATACAATAATTAAAATCATTGTTATATCAAGCGAGAAGCTCAAGACCGAACGAGATGGAGGACTGTTGTGGACGCCCTGTGCCCCATCTAGGGGACATAGGACCATAAGTCAAGTAAGTCAAGTTAGTTGCGAACATGGGTTTACGTAGACAGGGTTACATAGGTTGAACTATCTCTATCTTTCACCTTTCGGCATGCAAAATAATATAAAATAGCTTTATTTCTTGCACACGTTACAAGGAGGGAAGAGAAATGTTAAGACTTGGGAGATTCAAAGAAAGATGGTCTGATGACATTATGACAAAATGGAGAAAGATTTTATGCAGTCAGAGGGTCACTAATGAATCAATCTAAGGGCCTTTGCTGAAACTCATGCGGTCTGTATCGAACAGCACAGTGTGGCGAAAGCGTGCGACGTTTGTATTTTAACTAAACTTGGCGTGTATTTTAACGCAGACAGACGCACGCGGCGAGTGCTCGCGTGGGACCAAACTTGCATCGAATACTTATCCGAAGCGGGCACTGGCCCGTAAGTTTTGGCTTAGACCTTAAAACAAGGTTTAGGACTAGCAATACAATTTTCAAAAATTGACTTCCGCCAAAGTCACCATAGTGTAAATCATACAAAAGTTGGCTTGCCACAGCTATTTACACAGTGGTAAACAGCTTGCGGAAGTCAATTTCTGCAAGTTTTGTTGCTAGTCTAAACCTCGCTTATGATAAATATCATTTTGTTTTTAGAACGTCCACTGTTGGACTTTATTCTAAGCCCGGTCTGTGAGCACGTAGAATTTTGGTCCAATGACCTCAAGCTACCCATCCTTATCGCTCGCACGTAATTATATTGCTGTCGCGAGTCGCGACTGTGCGACGGGCGCCCGCAGTGAGTGTGTCAGCGCGACAGCAATTAGCGATGGGCGTTATTCGTTATCACGGGTTATTAAACGAGTGATTAGCCTGACCAGTGATCACTCGTTATCCAAAAACGCCTAATCTAGTTTTTTTCTTAACGTCATACCACGTTAGAATCTCTTCGTTATTCAACACGATTGTTTCCACAACGCTCTAAAGCCAAACTAAATTCACTCTTAAGCAAACAACATAAGGTAGATGTTTGGTTGACACAAAAAATAACGTGTTTCCCGCTTCGTTATGACAGTTTTGAGGACAACGTCGTACATTGACGATTCTTGAACATATTTTTTGCAACCTAAATGAGTAAAGCGAGTAATGTATGGTGTCCAAATAATAAGGATCGCAACGAATCGAGTGCGTGTGCGAGTGAGAAAGCCATAGGACGTTAACATAAGTGTGGATGGAATAGGTATAATCTTCGTCGTACGTTAGATATTCAATCGAATTTAGTCTTATTTTGAAGGTCATAAGTTCCTAAAGGCCTTGCAGCTAACCAACCACCTAACGTTATTATTATCACTCTTGCTTGAGCCACAGAATACATAATAGTAGCAACAGAAATTGCACTCCTTTGTGTAGGATCCGATGCCGACATTTTAACGGTAATAATAATAATGCAAAATATCTAACGCACATGGTGCATTCGAAATCACACCTTACTACTAAGCTCACAAGAGCGCAATTTTTTTGTGTTCAGAATTGATCTACCTCACAGCTCAAGCGTCAGGGTTGTATAAGCAAAGTAAAATAAATAAAAACTTAATTTTAAGAAGCATTTATTGTATTTACGATTGGTAAACTTTAATCTAGTGGTGTTTGTATAATCGTACCATCTCTTAATAAACTTCAGTGTTGCGATAATTCGAAATTGGACAAACAGTTTTAAAAGGTGTAGTGTCGGAAAATAGACACGGTGAAGTAAAGTTAATGTTTATATTAGCTAAAATATTTTTTTGTTACAGTTTTTTGTCGTAAGTATTTCAAAATTATTTAAAAAGTGTAGTTTTTTTAATTATTTAAATTACTACGGTTAATTATTATTCCTAAATATTACGATTTTCCATTAAAGAAGGATAACAGTGCTGTTGGAACAATAAACCTTGATTGTGACGATGATCGACCGAGCGTGTATAGATACGCGTGTGCTCAAAGGCGCGTGGCGGGCCCTGACTGATTTGCAACTTGAAGTTGTCGCGCGCTGTAGGTAATTATATCGGCCGGCATAGGCGAGTGACGGAGGCCTGCTTGAGCGTTGTGGAAAAAAAAACTAGTTTTGAAAACGTTATGCGTGATTCGAAAACCGTCGCGTTTCGTTATTTCAAAAACCCATAACGACACATCTTTAACAGCAACATAATTACGCGCGAGCGGTAAGGATGGGTAGCTTGGGGTCATTGGACATAATTCTACGTGCTCGCAGACCAGACTATAATCACCTCGATGATGTGTATGGCGCGCTCAGCGTGGTCGCGCGCCTTGTAGAAGCGGCCGGAGGAGTATTCCAGCACGTACAGCGCGTACGCCAGGTCCTCTTGAGCCGTTGCCACGTGCAGGCTGCGAGACCCAAACACGCTGCGAAGCGTGCCCAGCGCCTCCTGTTAAACGTAAGTTAGTATTCTTTTCATTAGTATTCTTAATAAACGTAGTCATATCATCCTTACCGATTTCCCGCCTTTTGTATTTATCTGTGCACTAATATTACTATTTATAGCCTGACCAGGAACATAAAAACCCTCGCCATGTTGCGGAAAATTAATGGTACTAATTTGTTTTAATGGCAACAGTAACTGAAAACTTCATTGACATGTCACCTTGCATGTCAGTCTATTGCTGTCAAATAAACTTTATTTTAAATGTGCGCAATTGATTTTGTGAATTAAATTGCTAAAATCTTTATATAGTCGTGAAAGAAAAGTGGTTCACAATGTGTTAAAGTATTTGTCGAAGAGAAATACTAAGGGTTCGGACAATATTTTCATTGAATAATGTTTCCGACAAAGGTTGTCAAATTGACTGACATGTTTATCGTATAGTACAGTCAACTATGGAAATTAGCTGTGGTTTGTTTCAACTACCTATTTTAAAGTTTTTTGTCACTTTGTAAGTATTGAATTTTATGGAATTGGGAAAGAAGTACCGAGCTTGAAGCGTTCATGAGCAGACATTGTAGTTGAATATTCAAGTTCAGAATTTGATTATTGATGAATAATAATAAAATCCTACTTGCTCGATTGATGGTTTCATTTAATTTATTTAAACCAGTTTACCTATAATATAATACGTTTTTGTTAATTTATGAAAATATTAAATAAGCCTATAATCCTGAATCCTGATACATAAAGTTAGCCTATTAATTTAATACAGGTACGACTGTACCCAGTGTTGCACTATCAAATGCAATTGAAGCGCCTCTATGCCAGGGTTTTTATGTTCCTGGTCAGGCTATATGTATGTTTATCTAGACAATTTTATGCAGCTTTTTTATTTATTTTTTTTATTTTACCAATTTATTTATTTATTTATTTATTCTAGAAGGCTGCTTGAAGGCTTACAGAAAATCCAACGCGCCAACAAGTTATAGTGGTCAATGGTCCGTGACCCTCACTCGGCATGGGGCACACTGAAAACCAGCGCCGTGGCCTTCGTCACCGTGGGCCACGGCATATGCTGAGTGGGGTCCCGTTGCAGTGGGCATCTTGTTGGTGAATCGGTGGCACTGCTCAGTTTACTCTTGTTTTTATTTTTTCTTCTTTTATTATTATGTGCCACTGTCACGTCTATGTAATTGCCTGTATTTGTGTGACGTCCATTGTAATAAATGTATCTTTCTTTCTTTCTTTCTTTCTTAAGTAGATTCATTTTGAAACGGTTAAGGTTCGATTTCCTTTGATGTTAACATCGGCCGCGTACGACATTCGAGCGTTCTAAAAACTGGTTCTTCATCGACACGCCGTACTCCGATCGCGTTCGATGGAGGCACTAACACCTACATCCATATTCACAAATTATGCTTGCTTTAGTTAAGCAGCAACGCTATGAGAAGTCGAACGCACAGTGTTGAATAGAGCTCTGTGATTGGTTCGTGTGTGTCATTCCGCCATTCATCTCTATCGAATAGATTTTTGAGACCCTGTGCGTCCACGCGCACTGTGAGACCTCATAGTAATGTTTGTGAAATTGGGAATATGGGTGTTAGGTCTGATGTGGATTCGTGATCGAAGCGTATAGGCGCCTTAAGCTCCGTAAGCTCAATTTTAAATGATGTTTGAAATGTTTAAATCTTTGGGTTGAATTGTTGGCAAGGATTTTTTTTAAGAAAACTAGAAAAAATACAGGACATAATAATAGAATTTTTAAATCAAAATAATTGCAATCACTCAACAAGTGTTACGCACGCTCTAGTTTATTAATAAGACAGTACAACGCTCACCTCATAAACAGCAACACTGTGCGTAATAGAGTCGATATTGAGCAGGTAGAACCCATAGTCCAGTAGGGCTCCGGCGTACCGCGGGTGCTGCGCCCCCCACGCGGCGCGCGCCAGGCCGACCGCGTGTCGCACCGCCACGCCCGCGGCACTAAACAGCCGCTTCACAACGCACGCTTTACCGCAAGCTCGTACTACTTCTACTGTGATCCTGCGCATACGCAAAAAAATAAAATTAAAACTGGTATACAGGGTGTTAGGTAAATGGGTATATGAGCCGACACTAGCCCATGTTAACATGGTCATAAATGGTATGATGAAGTCAGAAAATTGATATCTTCATTTTAATTATTTTATTTTTCATACAAATCGGATTTTATAAAATTTATTTTGTATGAAAATTAAAAAAAATAAAATGATGTTATCAAATTTCTGACTTCACGATACCATTTATATGCCCATGTTAACATGGGCTAGTATCGGCTCATATACCCATTTACCTAACACCCTGTATACTCGCGCCTTTCCACGTTGATCGATTGGTAGCGGTCTGCGTCCAGCGCTTCCCTGCTACCTTATAATCATACCTTCCTGAATAATAATAGAAACACAAAATATAATCCATGCTTTTTCATGTAATTCCTCCGCCATTTTCCGCAGTTTGGCACCTCACGTCACACATCATTTTACCGAAGTCAGCCCTATGGCTTCGGCGCAGTACCTACCGATCACTGACGTTTGTCAACAAAACGGTGCTCGACTCTTGAGACAAGCTAAATTACACCATATTGTTAACGACATACATTGAGCATGAGACATGTAAAGTGCCCCATAAGGGCTACCTTTTCTTTTTTTTATTATTACTAGCGGCCGCCCGCGACTTCGTACGCGTGAATCCCGTTTTTCCGGCTAATTCCCGTTCCCGTGGGAATTTCGGGAATTCCTTTCTTAGTGCACCTCTACGGTACCTAAGCTACGTCCCTTCCAAATTTCAAGTGCCTACGTTTAGCCGTTTAGGCTGTGCGTTGATCTGTCAGTCAGTCAGTCAGTTTCTCCTTTTATATATTTAGATTTATTTTGACGTTCATAAGTGCCACTTGTGGTCTAAACTGAATAAATATTTTTTTGATTTTGATTTTGTGCACAGCGTGCACTCACCGCACGGGCGTGTGCCTCGCCAGCAGCCGCTGCGCGCGCAGGCTCCAGCGGTGCGCGGCGCTGTAGTCGCAGCGCACGAACATGAGCGCGCTGAACTCCTTCAGCACGCGCGGCGCCAGCGCCCCCATGCCCCACACGGCTTGGTGCTGCACGTTGAACCCGCCCTCCACCTCTTCAGCGTCGTCCGGCGGGGGATTCTCTAAGCTGGAAACAAAAATGATACTATAACGATATTCATTCGTTCGTTCGTTTCAGCCAAAAGACGTCCACTGCTGGACAAAGGCCTCCCCCAAGGATTTCCACAAAGACCGGTCCTGCGCCGCTTGCATCCAGGTACCTCCCGCGACCTTCACCAGATCGTCGGTCCACCTAGTGGGAGGCCTGCCCACGCTACATCTTCCAGCTCGTGGTCGCCACTCAAGAACTTTTCTGCCCCAGCGGCCATCAGCTCTTCGAGCTATGTGCCCCGCCCACTGCCACTTGATTTTAGCGATTCTGCGGGCTATGTCAGTCACTCTGGTTCTCCTACGGATCTCTTCATTTCAGATTCGATCACGCAGGGTAACTCCGAGCATAGCACGCTCCATCGCTCTTTGGGTGACCTTGAGCCTTCTTATGAGGCCCATAGTAAGCGATAACGTTAACATAGATAACGATATTATACACACAAAATCTTCAAAACACACAAAAATCCACCTTCGGCCTGATCGTCACTTACCATCAGGTGAGATACAGGCCAAGAGCTTCCTCGTTGTGGATAAAAAAAAACCCGCGCTAAAATTAGTCCTATGCGCTCCTGCACACGACGCCGACGCCGCGCCGCCCCCGCGCCTTTGAACTGTTTATACGCGCCGCGTGAAGCCCGCTGCCGCGCCACCGCGGCGACGCTGGCGAAATGAGGGCTATCGTTTTTATACTTAACAGTTGGCACCCCTGGCGATTGACAGGACTGTAGCAGAGCTACAAGTCAAGTAGAGTCCTTACCTGGTGATGTAGTCTTCATACATCTGTGGGTCAGTCTGGCAGGCCTGGTCGCGGCTGGGCGCGCGCGCGTGCGGCGCCGCCTCGTCGTAGCCGCCCTTGGACTCGTCCCGCGAGTCGCTATAGCAGAGCTATAAGTGCTTGTTCACGTAGGCACGCGCGGGCGCGGGAAACGTCGCGAGCTCGTGTTCACATTGACGACCAGGCGTTCGCGCGAGTGTGACGTACTATCGTTTCTAGCGACAAGTTCAAACTGGTTGAACTTACCTGACGTCGCGAGTGAAACGCGCGCGCCGCCGCTAGTTTGACATGAACACACACAAACATCTTCACGTGTTGAAATTACCGCGAGCGCTCCGCGCGCGCAAGTCGCTAGCTTGCCCGCTAGTTAGACCGCACGTGCGTTTCGTACGTGAACACTTGGAATCACTACATATGTTTGATATTTCGTCACCCCGCCCGCCACCGCGCCCGCGAGTCAACGTGAACAAGCACTAAGTCATGTAGAGTCCCCACCTGGTGATGTAGTCTTCATACATCTGTGGGTCGGTCTGGCAGGCCTGGTCGCGACTGGGCGCGCGCGCGTGCGGCGCCGCCTCGTCGTAGCCGCCCTTGGCCTCGTCCCGCGAGTCGCTGCAGCCCAGCAGTTGGAGGGACAAGGCATAGGTCTCCGCCGCCGCGGGGAAGCAGCAGTAAGACGACTGTGTGTTCAGTAACCTGGCGGTGGAAATGGAATCTTATTCATAAATACACTCAACATCAAATAAATCGCACCTCCCGCAACAAGCACTTTCAAACGTATGCATCCCCACTTCCCACCAATATTGGCACCATTTAAAAGCCTAATTCTAAACTTCATTTCATTAAAGGATAGGTTTTTACCCCAAAAATGTGTCTTTAGAAGGATCCAGAGTCACTTCTTCAAAAAATAGGCTATTACGCTTGAGCCAACTTTTATGGCTATAAAACTGTTAAGTTGGGATTAATCGGCATCCATCTGTTAAAGAGGATACGTGTGATCATTATTTGGTTTTATAACCATAAAATTTGGTCTAATTGATCCCAGAGGTGAGCCCAAAGTGAGGTCTCTTTTCAAGTCACATTTATGGTATATGATAATATTTTATTTAGAAATTAAATGTGTTTTTCTTTAAGGATATTTATTGGGCTTTCAAATAATACCAATCATGGTGCCCCACACCATGATTGTGTCAGAAGAAAATCTTTAAAGTTCGCGTCGCGGAAGGTGCGGTTGATTTGATGTTGAGTGTAGGTGTGAGGAGACCAGTTTTCACTTTTAGATAGAGAATTAAAGCTTCAACCACACGTGACGCGTGCAGATCGTCATCGCCGGCGCGATCATAGGCCAATGACAGGTCGCGCGGACTGTCATGGGTCGGTTAGTGTGGTTGAAGTATAGTGAAGTCAACGGTATTTGCGCCACCAGTTGATGCCCTGGTGACGGCAACTGGTGAGCTCCAATAGTGTAAGGGACTATTCCCATTTCGCGTTTCCACCGCTGAAAGCCAGGATCTATAGCTATCTATCTCCAATCCAAAGCTGTAGATCCTGGCTACACAGGAGTTGCAGTGGTGGGAAAGAGAGGTGGGAATAGTCCCGTTTATCTATCTCCAATACGGTAGTCCTCATTGATAGTATTTCTGGACGAGTCTGAAGAATTTATTAGAATAAATAATTGAAGAAGAAAATACCCCCCCCCCACACACACACACTAATACACAACACATCTACACTTTTACACACAACAGCACACACCCTACATCCATCTCTGATGCCTTTTCGTCTTCTGTGTACTTTTCATATTTCGATTTATTGGTTCCTTAAATAACGCTTCAGCTTAGCCGTACTTAATTCTACCTGTTAATCGTTATTCTTTCCTCCACAGGACAGGCAATGCCTAGTGTGGAGGTCTGTCTTTTAGTTATTGTATTGTTTGGTTCTGGCAATAAATATTTTCATTTTCATTTTTCATTTCTAACAGTTTTTCAAGATGGTGCAGGAATTAAATACACAAGAAAGAAGGTAATCAACGTGATACAGACCTGTGACAGCACTCAAGAGTGAGCCGTTTGTAGTAGGTGTCTGTCAACTTAAAAGTTGGCGTATTTAAAAGATGTCAATTTCATAAAAATATTTACATATTTTTTCTTATTTACATGAATGTGGTTTGACTACGTTTGTGTGCGTTTGCTTCGTCGCGCTCAAATTTGTTTGATGTAGGAATTAAATAACACAAGAAAGAAGGTAATCAACGTGATACAGACCTGTGACAGCACTCAAGAGTGAGCCGTTTGTAGTAGGTGCTCTGTGGCTGCGCCTGGCACACCTCGCGACATCGCTGTAACACACGCTCGGCATCCGCATACCAGCCGGCTTCGTTCAGGAACCCGCCTGCACAAATAATTAATCGTCATCATTTCATTGCGTCCCTATCCCGGAGCGTGATCCGCTACTTAAGGAATTGGGTTGAGAAGATGTTCACCTGTTTGTCTCTATAAAGTTTATAGTATAAACAATGACAACGTAAAGCTATACTCACCAGCTATTTGACATTCGCGGGACGTGCTCCGAATGTATAATGAGAGCCCGATCAATACCGAAGTTTTATGAGAGTTGCTTTCTGCAGGTAACGGATGAATGGGGGGGCTACATTCCTGGACGCCTGCCTATGATCTAGTTTGTCCAAAACTTATTCGTTCTTTCAGTGAGAAAATAGGCGACACTCAACAGTTAGCGGGTACCTATATCTATGGTTAAAAATAAATATACTTCTACGTGTCGTTATAAAATAGGCCGTAGTATGGTACTGACCGAGTCTCAGGCCCAAGTTGATGAGGTGCTCCACTTTGTGCTTGCCGGCGTCGCACCGGCTGGTGTAGATGGTGGCCAGTTCCGTGGACAGCTTCGAGCCGTGCTCGATCACCGCCTGCAACCAACACGGACAGTTAAGGAGTTGGAAGTGACAGCGCACTAGTATCAGCCGAAGAAACATTTGCCATTCCCATTCTTATAAGATACACCATACAAGAATGCATGGTAAATTCAGTGAACTGCTCCTGAATCGAATGTACCTACTACTACTATTTCTATTTATTTATATTAACCGGCAGACAGTGGTGACTGAGTTTGTTGCGGCGCTTCTTCTCAGCACTTGCCAAATGTTGGTCTCGAAGCGCTGGTAGGGTAAAAAGATTATGAGACATGTAGAGGCTCCTTAAGAGCAAAATGACGATTTGTAAGAACTATTTATTAGTCCAAACAAATAAAGAAATTTTGACTTTGACTTTGCCCTTTTTTGTTAGTTTTGGATTTCTTATGAAAAAAAAAAACACCATCGCCTAAGTGTGACTAATGCAACGTCATAGAGGACGCGTATCACATCATGATGGAGTGTTATTCTTGCATAAAATTAGCATATGAATGAGATTGGTATTTGTAATAGAATTCTAGCTAACCCGCTTTCCGATAATGCATTAAAACTGTACTCTCTTGTAAATAGCGATAAGACGACGTCATAATGTAAGTTAGATTATAAGTGTTGATCATTGTGTGAGTTCTATAAGGGTGACATCTTCTTTCAGAAGAAACCCTCCTTAAATTAAAGAATTAAAAAAAACATTTGCTTTGAAAGCCATTCATGTCCGCCTCGCTAAACTAAAGCGAGTGCGTATTCACGTACCTTATTCAATAATCTATGGATCTGACACAATAATACAGTACAATACAGACGATAGCACGTCAAACTTAACAAAATCATATAAGGGTATACGATTTTTTGTAAACAGTTTATGAACTCTAAAGAGGTCTACCTACTGGGCGTAACTTACTAAATAACAAGCTTTAATAAGGTGAAAGGTATTCAATAAACTACATTGTCTGGCTATCAATGACTTCCTGAATACTTCAAGTTCATTAAAACTATCGCATCGAATAAATAATTGTAACTGTTTACACAATTGTATGCAAAATAGATAATAGTAAAAATAGACGCAATCTAAATAAACAGTATTATTGAAAGGCTGTTTCTATATTGACCTATAGGGTCATTTGCATGCATTGTCAAGGAACATTGTGCGGTGGTAGGGATGACGCAAGTCAATGATATAATACAATACCTAGACAAACGTAGACAATAGGTAACAAACAGACCTGATTTCAGAATGCCTACTTGTTCTACGAAACAGAATATAAGGCCGGCAATACACGGACCGCTTGAAGCAGTCAGGGTCGACAGCTTCAAGCTGCGAACTGCAGAGTTCTTTGGACGCACATACACGAACCGCTCGAGCAGTTGCAACTGATTCGGGCGGTCGACAGCACGGTGAATTTTCATCGTGCGGTCAAGCAGTCGCCAGCCATACACTGACTGCTCGAGCTGTCGACGGCTCTCGCGCATTTACCTCCGCCCACTTTCTTCATTCCACGGCGCGCGCGCTTGTGATTTGTTGAGCAGTTAATACCAACTGCTCGAGCAGTTATCACTGGCAGCTTCAAGCTGTTGACTCTTGACTGCAAAAGCGGTCCGTGTATGTTGATCACTGACTAGCTGCTCGAGCTGTCCGTGTATTGCCGGCATAAGTTTTCATACTTTAGATCGTTTCAGTCATATGACGACGACTGCTGGACAAAGGCATCCCCAAGGATTCCCGCAACGACAATCCTACACTGCTCGTATCCAGGTGCTTCCCGCGATCTTCACCAGATCTTCATTCCACTTAGTGGGAGACCTGCCTACACTACGTCTTAGCCCGTAGGTACATTAAATACACGACCTTTACATGTTTTTCTGAATAAATTCAGATCATACGCACCCATAGACTAATTCACAAACTGCTGTAGCAAACTAAACTTGAAAAGCGAAATATTGTCATCCAGTTAATAATCTTTTTCTTAATCACATCATAGAAAATAATAGTACCATTACGAACGCCATTGACATAAACATAAGTGATATTATGTATTAAACGTGACTCATCGACTATCTACAGTTAGAAAATCGTTTGTCCTGTCTACTAGAACACAGTTAAAAGTACTGATTTTAAAAGAAGATATAATTAGGTATCTGGTTAATTAATTATTTGGTGATGTAAGCAAGCATTGCCTTAAAAGGACTAGAGAGATAGAAACTTGAAATTCCAATAGAGATAATGTTTGGAAATGCAAATCAGTTGTATGTAAGATAAGAAGGCACAAAGATAACGTAAAAATATTTTGTAGCTATGTATCTTTATGTATTTTTTTGTTATTGAAAACACGCCTTTCCGCGTGCAATGCACACTTGCATGCATAATGACTTAATTAGCAAGAAAACAAGATAAAAGAAAATAACTATCGTTACATAGTTTCTAGATCCCATCAACATATCTACGAGGGGACAAGATAAGTGAAATGAATACTGTTAGGACCACCATGTAACAGTGGACACTGCCGTTAGCTAGCCCGGGTTCTGCACTATGCAGCTCAAGGTCTGAATGCATTATTGGCCAATGCTGCTGCACTTGCGAAATTAAACTCTTCAATTTGAGATTAGATATCCCGGAGTTTTGAATTAGCGCAGTCATAATAATTTGCGGGCTAGGAGGCTTAAGAGGCTAGAAAGTATTTGTTAGTGCGAACTATGATGCTCTCGTCTGTGATAGGATTCCGTGGCAAGTGTCACCGAAATGTGGCAATCGTATTAGACTAGCTTTAGCTCGCAGTTCCGCCCATCGGAATGCAGATGCACCCCCGTTTATATTATAAGAAGAAAGACAATAATGAAAGGAATTCAGTAATTGAAAAGAGGCGACAATAACCCAACGGTGAAGGTATAGGAATAACAGACTCCATATCAAANATATCCAAGGAACGCTGTTGGATGTTTCGAATCCCGTCACAGCTGGACTATTATGGTAACACACTCGTATAACACTAGCTTAAGATCACCACGAAGGGTTTAAAAAAAACCGTACTAATACAAATCGAAGCTCGTTGCCTGCTGCTGTCTTTCCCGAAAACTATAATCCGGGCCTCTTCAAGGCGAGAGTGAATAAGCACTTACAGGGCAGATATGTACCATCCTAGACTGCATCCCACTTAACATCAGGTGCGATTGTGGTCAAATACCTGCCTGTTATGCATAAAAAAAAAAGCTGTAACTCAGCAATGTGTTCTAAAACTATCTTGACTGACCTGGAAGCACTGCAGCAGCCTCAGCTGCGAGCCCGTGAAGCGGAGCAGGCGCTCGATGGTGTCCAGGGAGGACAGCTCCACGCCCAGGATGCACAGCTTCTTCTCCAGGTACATCTGTGGACAATACAATAAAGCCCGTTAGAACAGTGGGTTTAGCTAGACAAGAGGCAGTTTTTGATCGAATCGAAAATCGAATTCCGAAACTCCATACAAAAAAAGGCTTTTCGACCATCTTTCGATTCATTTTGTATAGGGGCGCTGATTGTATTAAAAGGGTTAAAAGCGTTTGTCACACTGGATGCGGTCTGCGGTCAAGTCAAATGAACACAACCAGCTCCTATCTTTCCGTTCTTTGCTGGTGCCCGCATTGTCAGATTCAGATCGCATCATTCATTCACGCAGCCGCGTTCACTTTGACCTGACCGCTACTCGCAGACCGCATCCAATGTGACAAATCCTAGAAGGTCACTTCAATGTTTGTTGAAAAACTTAAACCTTACTTTCAATTAGAAATAATGTATGTTACTAATCAACGAAAGCGTTAAGCCTCAATAAGAATGAACAAAAACCAAATAATTAATTCGCAAAATGTAGAAATTTCAATCTCCATAGCAGGGGCAGACGGTATATTGGCATTAAACAGAACCTTTCCAGCAAATAATAAATTACAGATTACAATCTGTAGGAAGACCAACAATCGGGGGTCATCTACATGCAACAAACTTGTATGTATATTAACGATTACAATTTGTTTATATGTAGTACTAGTACACTATAAATGAATCACCAGCTGCTTGTTTGTTAACGATAGCCATATACGTAACTTACAACATAATTAATTTCTTATGTGTACATGAGACAAGATACAAAGTGTTATAATGTATACGATACATGCAATTTTGTAGGTAGTGTGACAAAGATTTATTGAAACAGAGTTCACATCACTCACAATTTGTTTGTTGTGTATGTTTGCTGGCCTTATTCGTTTGCAAGATTCTAAAATTACCCACACTATAAATACAATGTGGCATAACGTTGTCAGAATTCCAAGAATGGATGAAACTAAGTTCATCTTGGGCCAATATTTTGTTGCGCGCAACAAAACTTGCTAATGGTTCAATTTATTTAGTAGTTTGCATCAAAATACCGTAAAACAAGCCAGATTTACTAGTTTTAAACCTTATGAATCCAAACATAAGGTATTCTTCACAGTGCACCTCATCTGATCATTGTAATCCACGGAAGAAAACATCAGGTTACTATGTGGAGTGCAGTAAACGCAATTTTGTATGTCAACGAACGGATGCTATAGGGCTTCGCGGTGTAAAAACTTGCAATATGACTACAAAATGTTGTTTATTTTCAATGTAGTAAAGCCGGTGTCCCAAGAAACAGACGATGAGAGAGCCTAGACTTGAACTAAGAGGTTGATTAACTTACAAAATCTTATTTAAAGCTTCATAAAAGCTGTTTACCGAAAACCGATACCGAACCAAGGTGAACTTTAAGTGTGTTCTTTCTTAGCAAAATTCAATTAAAAACTGTTTTGTGAAAACAAATTGCCCGTCTTGAAATAAGCAAAAGTAATTTAATCGGTGAAGTCTAAAGCACAAAGGGTTTCAGAATATTTTTTTTTATCCTTTTCATTTATAAAGCATTATTTACGTAATACCAATTTATTAGCTTTGTTTATTTTAATTTGGACTTAAATTTTCGTTTCATTTAACACATTGTTGCCCTGGGTCAGTTACATAAACTCCTGCGCACGTCGCTTGAACCGCGTGCACGGACAATGTCCTCGGTCGCTGTACGAGTATGAACACGCAAGTTTGTTTACTTAGTGCCCACTCAACGTAGTGGGCTCTCATTTGAAAATTAGACCGGAGTGGTAATAAAATAAGGTTAATATGTAGCGGTATAAGATGATCTTGAGACATCAGCTCAAAGGTTGAAAACAAAAAAGAGATACAAGTGTTCTTTTTAAGACTCGACCACACGGTCGAATCCGCCGTGTAAGTTTTATCCTGCTTTAGTAATTTAATTTCTTGTTTTTTTACCAAACCACAGATAAAGGTCAGGCGACGATGGTGCCTTTTGCTGAAAGAATACATAACAGTGAACACAGGCTTAGACGACATTTTGCAAAAATCGGCGAAAGAACGTATCCTTAAAAATTTCTATCTAAGCCTGATGGCAGGAAGAATGCAAAAGCCATCGACTTATGCCCGTTTTCACTATCAATCCCTAATTTTTAAGTGACCCCTATAGTAACAATTACCTCAGGAATTTTGTTTTTAGGGGTCACTTAAAAAAATAAGGATTAATGGTGAAAACGGGCATTAGACTTACTAGTTATTACCTAGTCCATGTGACTGAAGTTTGTAATTTTTCATTAAAATCTCAATAATTCAAGTGTTTTCCGCGACTCTCTCGCGGCCGTATGATATCACTGCATCACACGATACGCGATAACAACGATTCATTACGTTCCATTTGTTTCCACTCGTGCGCAAGTGCAGGGCTACGTGCTATCCCAACTAATATTATAAATGCGAAAGTAACTCTGTCTGTCTGTCTGTCTGTTACGCTTTCCCGCTTAAACCTCGCAACCGATTTTGATGAAATTTGGCATAGAGATAGTTTGAGTCCCGGGAAAGAACATAGGATAGTTTTTATCCCGGTTTTTGAAACAGGGACGCGCGCGATAAAGTTTTTCTGTGACAGACAAAATTCCACGCGGGCGAAGCCGCGGGCGGAAAGCTAGTTGACTATAAATTGAACAAATACGATTGTTATTGCCGCGCTATTCATGCCCAGGGTAATTGTACGCTGACACGGCAATTATAACAAACGGTTCAATTATCCACATAAAATCGCATGACAAGACTTAATTTTACAGCAGACAGTATTATTAGTTTTTTGAATAAAAACTGTGTTTACTTATAAGCTGTAGTTTTAAAGCATGAATTGCACACTAAACTTTTTATTCATCATTGATATTGAGACATCAAAATTGTTAACTGAATTTTAATTTAAAAAAGTATACATAATAATTTAACGAAATAATAAGCGGTCGAAACTAAAATAATTGGGTGCTTACATGTCCAGCCGAACTTGTTAGTTAGCATTCACAACACGACCGCTAAATATATTTGCACACTAATTGACCATGGTAATTAGCAACGCGGTGAAACCTTGCTAATGCTTATATTAATCAGTACATTAGCAATTTGAAGAAACATTCATTCCAGATAAGGACATAAAACTAAGAACTTTAATAAACTCCTTTGATAGAGAAACAGTACAATTTCTGTTTTCTTTTTTTCCTTAAAAACACATATTATAAATGATGCTTAATAACTAGATGAGAGATTACATAAAGCGGGATTGTTAACACATACCGTTATCCGCAATTACACATATTAAATTTAATGAGCCTATAAAAACCAAAGCGTGTAACTTAATTTATTATCAAATGAAAACTAGCTCAACGACACTTTTGGCTGATATCTTTGGCCTGTCAAGTGTTGTTGTGATATAAAAAGTACCGTTAAAGTTCAACAGAAATAACAGAATGGTCTCCTGCCAAGTAAGATTAAGCTTCAATTGGCACCTATAGAAAACGCAAGCACTTTGTGTGTACCATAATAATGGGTAGCGCATTGCTTTTCAGTCGAAGGCCGTTGTGTCTGTAACGTAATTTTTAGGAGTTCTTCAGGGATCTATTTTAGGTCGCATTTTTTTTCACATCGAGAATATCTTTAAAGGACATTGTTTTTAATTACATCTTGAGAGTAAAAAGATACAATGTTCCGATAGTAAACACTTTGAGCTAATCAACGTAAATAGGCTACAAAGACGCCTTTAAACGACGCAGCTTCATTCACATTGTATCGCTGTTAAGAGCGTTGTAGCAAAAAGTTGGCGTTCGAAATTGAGGTTTTTATTGCTTGACGTCGCGTAGTGAGTGCGCAAACTGCTTTTATCTGTACAATTTCAACGCTGCGTCGACTAAACGATCTTAATCCGTAGTTGTATCGTACCTAAGACAGTACATCATACATAATAATAAAGAAATAATGTATAATTACCTATTTGATTTTTTGTCAGATGAGACTTTTAGCAAAATCAAGTTACGTAATTAATGTATTTTTCACACTAGTAAATCCCGCGACAAGTTTTTAATCTTTAAATTGAGTAAAGTAATAAGTTGATGGGTTTGAAAGAATTTATGTTTTATTTTATTCTTTTTACAGCATCAAAAGCTTGTTTATGAAAAATATTTACTATTTAAATTTTACTTTTGACTTATTAGTTTTTATGATGCGGGATGGAAAAATTNAACAACATGAATTATTTAAGGAGGATGAAATAAAAGCCACATTTCTCTTACGTTTCTCTTTAAACTTGCCCGATGAAAAGATTTGGTAGCAAATCTTTTAACAACTTATCCTATGTGCCGGTGTCGCACACAAAAAGACTCATATTTTTATTCATAAATCTCAATTCTACCTAGTATTACGTATGAGATAAGGCTATTTTAGACGCAGTGGAAAAAGTCGAAGAAAGGTGACAGCAAATTATCTTTGTTTATATTCTCACACGAAGGTAAGGCAATTCTATCCTAAAATTTAAATACTACATTTACATTTAAATACATTTTTAAAAATATTAAGGATTTTAACTGTCCATTGTTTTATAATTATAAATATGCGACGGAAAAACACCTATTCTTATTTATTTCAAGGATTTCCTGAAAGCCAGTAAAATGGTGAGTGATACAATACCTACAAATACACACACATCTCTAAAAAGTAGAATATTGTTTTCAACTTTCACGGTTACTTATAAATGTTATAAGGTTGGGATTTTTACCTTCTCTTCTTTTAGCATTCCATATTTTTTCAAACCTTTTGAAACATGGAATCCCAAATATTTAGCCTAGGCGCAGACCATCGATTTTTCGTCGGCCGATAGTTTAGTCGGGCAGTTGATCAGTATGGGCATGTATGGAAGTGCGCACATTACACCGATTCGATTTGTCCGATTCTTCATACAATTTAAAATCGGGCACAACTATCGGCCAACTAAAATTCGGTGGTTTGCGCCTAGTC